GCTCAGACTGTGAGGAGAGACCAACCTCCACTTTGTGTCGCTCAACGCAGTAAAACAGGAGACTTACAGGCGGGTCAGAATGTGCAGAGGTCGTAAATACTTCTGTGGGGTTTACGGTTGCTTGTTTCTGCCTCGGGTGAATCCTCCATAACTAGGATTCTTCCTCCAGTCGTGAACGTCCAAAATGTAGCATCAATTTCATATAAACTGGACAAACGCGAAGAGCGAACGAGCAGTTGTGTTACTGGGCTACGACTGGATGCTGCGTGCAGAAGGATCCTTTTTCCTCCTGATGGGAGACTTCAGCCTGCGAGGCTCTGACGTCACGGCGGCGGGACGGCATCTGCAGGAAGAGACGTCACATCTCGCCGTATATCTAAAAGTCCAGTGGGCGGACAATTAGAAACGCTCCACAGGCAGCTGCCATTCCACTTGTTACAGGAGAAAGAGCAGCGACCTCCCCGGCCTTCCACCTTTTCTTCGTCTGCGGAGACTCGGTCCAAATTGTTTTTGGAAAAAATTCACCGACAGCACCAGAGAAATGGTGATGTCAGCCGCGCTGAGCCGCTGAGCGTTTCCTCCTTCTCTGTCTGAGATTTATTCTGCGGGGAGAGACTGAGACATTTCAAACATCCGTCTTTGAGCTATTTCATCTCTCTAGTACATGAAAATGAATCTGGTGTCACAGGCATCACATCGGGGCAGCATAACTTGCTCCTAAATGCCAGTGAAGGTTCACCTCCCTGCCTCGTGGTTTGTGTGTGAGAACAACGGGAGCGGACCCATTTATTATTGTCACACTCTGCAGGTCTCTAATGACCCCAGATCTCAAACAGCCCCCCTGCTGCATCTCGTACTCATACGTCATCTCATACGTAAATCATGATAATAATAACAACCCGGTACAGGGGGAGTTTTCCTCCAGAGGCCGTCCAAGGAGACCAGAGACTCGCTTCACGCTCAACAAACCATGAAGCTCTTCAGGATATATAATAGTTTTTCATTACAGATCAGTGTCGCCTCAGGGCCCATTTCTAGGCCGATCTGCAGCCTCCACATGATGTTCCTTATGCGGTGTTTGTTGGTTCTGGGTGCTTGTTTATACAGCAAGTCCAGAGTCCAGCATTTAACCGCAGTCACCGCGCCGCCTGCTTCAACACAGTGACATCATGGTGATAACGGGAAGGGAGGAGCTCATTAACGCCCACCTGACATTTGAGTCTCTCCCCACCTGCATTGGAATGTGTGCAGCTGAGACGCTGTTTGAGTCACGAAGCAAGTGACACACACACACACACACACACTGCGAGTCTGCGAATCCCATAATAAGACCACGGCCGATGTGACCAGCTCAGGTGTTGCTGACTTTAATGGAGGAGGAAACTCAATAAAGCGGCGGTTTTCCATTGGAATAAAGTGGCAGAACAGGGTCGAGCTTAAAGTGCCACTTGGTCAGCGACCAGCGTCTGCTTATTTAAGCCCACGTGGTGTGGGGGGTCGGCACGGGGCCCCCCAGCACATAAATGCCATCACCTGTCTAGAGACCAGGCATTCGATACAGGCAACAAAGATCCCTGGCAAATCGTATACGCCAACCCCACTTTTATAGCTTTCATTCATCATCCACCTTCGACAGATTATGAATGTCTGAACATTTATACGCAGCTTCAAAGTGCAACGTGTCTCGTGGTCTGAATCACACTGGCACGGAGCGTTGGAGTGTGACATGTGTAATCAGGAGGCGAGAACGGGCACGTTCACCACTCACCAGTCGTATGAGTGAATCATCCGCATGGACAACGAAGCTATCGGCATCGGCCTGCGGCTAATGACGGCGCAGCACTAGACGAAGATGCTGAAAAGTACTTCTCTGTCTTTTCTGTTCACACTGGAGCTCAACAGAATCCATTTTTGTACTTTCTACACCTTCGACTCTCACACCTTTTCACACCAAGCGAGCGTCAGTTATCTTCCTCCTTTGGAACATTTGGATCCACGAACCCCCCCCCCCCCCCCCCCCCGTCCCCCCCGTCCCCCCCGTCCGGTCTGCACAAAGCTGTAGTAACGCTCGGGAGCCTTTAGCCGCCCTCCAGCCGTCTTTCACACCTTGTTAACCCCCCGGAGGTGAAACCTGCAGGTGTACAACGGCCTCTTTGAACCTCACCCCCCCCCCCCCCCCCCCCACTCTCGGCCTTCCTCAGCCTCTCCCTTCCACCCTGGCGGCCCGTTGTTGGGGCTGAACAGCCCCGGAGCCACGCGCCGCCCCTCCCCGTGGAGGCACAAAGGCAGCATTTACCAGCACGTTCTGGTGACCTTCAGAGGGCCGTGTTGTTGTAGCTGTGGGGGGGGGGGGGGCAGCTCGGGTCATTACACCCGCTCGCAGGGAGGGATGACGGGTACGCGGGCTGCTTTTACAGGCTCCTGGGATAAAAGAAGTGAGCCCGACACGCGTGGCGATGTTCACGTGTCCCACGCGTACTTTCTACAGGTTTCGTCCTCTGGTGAACCTCCAGTCCACATTTCACCCCATTGTGCCGCACGATAACCCGCCCAGCTCCACTTCTGTGTGCCGTGTTGCCTCGGCGCCATTGTCTTGTGTCACTGCTGCTCTATCGGTGCCGTGGTCCTTCTGTCAATGCAGACTGTTCTGTATCTGACCGCACGATACCAGAACGCTTCGTGCAGCTTACTTATTGACAGCTGTTCAAACAGTGAAGGGAGGAAAGTCATCTGTGAAATATGGGCACAGCCGGCCGGAACACGCAGGCTGTGCCGGCTTATTAAGGGAAGGTTTCATAAAGGACATTTTTCCCCAAACATGCATCTTGTTATACACTGTGTGTGTGTGTGTCTGTGTGTGTCTGTGAACTCTTATTGTTGAGAGGATTGAGACCCCTCTCATGTCTGTGCAGTAAATATAAGGCTACCTAGCACATGTTCATATGTAAAGGCATGTATGACCGAGTGAGAATGCAACACGTTTTCTTGGTTCCTCGCGCTGACCTGCGTAACATCCTGGTGTCTCTCCAGGTGTGGTTCTGATGGAGATCTCAAACGCCCACAGGAGGGTCTTCAATGAACTAGATGAGAACGTAAGTAGCCTCCAAAATAATCCTCAACCGACGCGCGACTCACTGATGTTTGCGTTGTGTTTGGGTAAAAAATAGGACGACTGACACATTTTGTAATCAAAATGCAAACTCAAAGCCACAGCTCTGGACGTTGCTTCATCCTGAATCGAAACCATGAAACAAACATAATGGCGCTGAAGATTTTAGTTGTTGTGAATCATTCGCCGCTGCCGCTCGCTCCAGTTGTCTGATCTTCGGTTGTCTGACCTAACGTGTGTGCGAGAGGGGAAACGTGTCAATCCTTAACCACGACGAGCTGATAAGACGTCCGCCAGGAAGCCGTTACCGTGCACGCCGCCGGGCCACTGCGCGTTGTGTTGGCCTGAAGTGTGTTGCTTTTTTTCTCTGCAGTTCAAGACGTTCCACAGGGAGATTGTTATCGAGCTGGAGAAGAAGACGGAGATGGATGTGAAGTACATGAACGTGAGTGCAGTTCTACGTTGTACAACAAATGTCATCAGCTGCAAACCGGCTCACTTCTGTCATCCCTCTCTTATCGCACGACGCGAAGGCCACCTTCAAGCGCTACCAGTCGGAGCACAAGGTGAAGATGGACCACCTGGAGCGCTCTCAGACGGACCTGAAGAAGCTGAGGAGGAAGAGCCAGGGAAAGCACTCGTCCAAGTACGAGATCCGAGAGAACGAGGTGAGCGGGGAAGCCCAGCGATACGCCTCGAACCCGAGTCCCGGTGCTTCGATGCGGCTTCGCGCCGCAAACGTGTGAGACGTGTGAGACGTTGTCGCGTCGCGGTGCTCGCACAGGAAGAAGAAGGCGCGGCACTTTGCGGGAGTGAAGCTGCAGCTTTCGATTCCCGGTTGTACTTTCATTTCACACAATGACTCAGACATTTGGGATGTGGCTTTGAACACCCGATACCTTTAAAAAGTTATTTTTCCTGATAGGACAAAAGGAACAGGAGCATCAGAGCGGCACCGCGCCTACAGCTGTTTGCATATTCCGCGTTATTATCAGTGCAAACAGTTCTAAATGGCAAAAAGAGCTGATAGGGATGCAGGAGAAAACGAAATCACTCTTCATTCATCTCGCTGAAACCTGTTTAGTGGTTTGGGAGGTTTGATTCAAGCTGAAGGGCAACACCCAAAGCAGGTTCCTAACAGCTATTTAGAACCAATGAGCTAACGTGCTGACATGCTAATCCAATATTATGATCTTACATGATTTTTATCATTGTCTCGCATGTAGTTGAGAGGATATTTACGTTCTGGATGTTTGTCCTGGTGGATAAAGATCTTTACATGACAAATATATTGGTCCATGAATACACAACATTCAATGTTACAATCAACAATTCTATATATTCTTCAGATATTTCACATTGTTAAGCTTTCCAATCAAACCAACAGCGTTATGCAATAATATATTAATATATTCCTCTGCGTCTCAAACACACACTTTGCTAATTTCCCCTCAACACTAACGGCACTGAAATGAACTGTTACTGTGTTGGTGTGGAGGAGCACAGCGACGACCCCCCGCTGCTTCAGCGGGTCTGTTGTGTGGTTGGCAGCAAAGGAAGCGCGGCTCAAATCAGCGGTGCACAAGTCGGGTGTTTAGAACCAGACGAGACACGGCAGCTTTAAACATCACCGTGACAACCTGGGAAATACTATTTGATATTATTTAACTATCTACCATTATTTTAATTCTCTCTCTTCCTGCTTCAGGCCCATTCTGCCTCACGGGCTCTGGGTTTTATAGCGTTGTTCATTGTCTCCGTGGTCACTTTGCTTCTCACTCACAATATTGCTCATTTAAAACCTGACTGGCTGTTAAAGCAGAACCAACCTGTGACCCCGTCTGCAGTTCATGGAGACCATTTCGTCGCGCCAGGTGGACATGCAGAAGTTCATCGCCGAGGGCTGCAGGGAGGCCTTGCTAGAAGAAAAGAGACGCTTCTGCTTCCTAGCAGACAAACACTGCGTGTTCTCCTACCAGATCAGCAACTTCCATGAGAAAGTAAGCACGGACACATGCGTCATCCCGCCTGCAGGACCCTTCGTCTGACCCCTTTCTTTCTCCGGTGTGTCCAGGCCAAGGAGATGCTGGCCGCGCAGCTCCCGAGCTGGCAGGAAAAGTGCAGCGACATCACCAAGGTGCCGGACACGGTGAACACGATGATAGAGGAGCTCTCCCCGACTCCGGAGCAATCGCCCGTGGTGCAACGCTACGACGGGGTGAGCGTTTAGCTGCAGCGGCACATCGGGACATCCTGCCACGACCTTTATTCTCTTATCTGACTCTCATCCTTCTGTGAGATGCTCCAGATAACAGAGGTCCAAATATTACATACGGGTGTTTTTTATCTTGCAACGGTGCTGATATCTGTTGTAACCGATCTGTTGTGTGTGAAGTGTGTTATCATTATGTTGTTGTTCTTGGAAAGTCCCCTGATAAGTTTTTAAGTGGCTGTTTATTGTGCACGAGGGACAATTACCGAAAATGCTTCTCATCATTTTATTTCGCCCGTCTCTTATTGCATCCGCTCACTACATTCTTCTTCGTGGCCTCAGTACAACGCGGGGTCAAAGGTCCCTCCGCCGGCGCCGCAACTGAAGGCCCAAATCAGCCCGCTGGTCGACATGTTCAACCAAGAGCCCAGGATTCCTTTCAGCCCCCCCGCGGACAACAGCTCAGGTACGGGGGCCTCCTCTGAAGCCCTGAACCAACACCCGCCCCTCACAGCGTCACTGGTCTCCTCCTCCGTTTGTTTTGTCAAAACCGACGTGATGCCGTCTTCCGGTTTCCAGAGCGGGGCGGTGTCGCAGAGGGCGGCATGTCCCGGTCCACGTCCCAGTCGTCCGGTCTCAACGTGGGCAGAAAGCCCCGGGTGAGGACGGTCTTCCCCCACGCGGCCGGCAACAACCCCACGCTGCTCAGCTTCGAAGAAGGCGACGTCATCGTCCTGCTCGTCCAGGAGGAGAAGGACGGCTGGTTGTACGGAGAGTTGGAGAAGACGCAGCAGTGAGTTTCCTGTTGAGGCCTCAGACGTTCGCCCCTCGGTGCTGATGGGGGAGCTTTGGCGCGGCGATGTGGAGGAATTGGCTGGTTTTTTGGGGGGGATTCTTCTTTGTCTCATTTTAAGTCTTTTCCTCCATCTCAGCGGTTTCAAAGTCTCACGATTCAGATTTCTTATCGTCAAGAAACACCATGAAAACCCGACAAACGCGTCGTCCTGCTCAAAGGTATCGTCTGCGTGGCCTAAAGTCTGTCAGAGAGAGACCGCCTTGGTTGTCCAACATCCTTCTTTTTCGCCGTTAACACTCAACCCCACAGCCCCGCTATTGTAAATATACAGTAATGTGCAGTAATAAGTCGTAACGTACTGCAACACGGGCTGAAATATCGCTTCAGGTGACTCGTTGACAATAACAAAGACGTGTAATTCTTTCATCTAAAAACACGGGGAGCGTTTAGGCCTTTTGCGAGATAATAACACAGAGAAGTCTGGCGTGTGGATCAGGAACCAGCAGCAGCTCCGGTTCTCACGTGACTCCGGTTGGAAGAACCTGCCGCTCGCTACGTGTTTGTTTTAAGATTTAACACGTCGGCCTCGGGACGCTGACAGTATGTCAGGTTTGTCGCACACGGCAGTCGTAAGTCGAGGTCTCGCTCTCTCTCTCTCTCTCTCTCTCTCTCTCGCCCTGCCCAACAACACAAACAAACACACACACGCCAAAGCGTCCAGGTGCAGACGCACGCACGCACGCCAACAATAAGCATCTGCCGTTGCATATTTCCCTGCACGCCGGCACACCGTGAGGAGGAAGTAAAATGAGCTAAGAGAGAAAAAGCCACTGAGAACAAATGTGGACAGCAGCTCTGACTCCATCTCACCTCCATCACCAGCTCGCATAACGTTCACGTACAGAAATAGATGGTTGTGCAGCTGCAGCAGCGCAAATACACACAGCGGCCTTCGTGATTCCCCTCATCTTCAGCTACCCGCTTTTACAGGTTTACTGTAAACTCCATGGTGCCGGAAGAACTTGTGTCCACTATTTGAAGACATCTAACACCCGGTGTGTGTGTGTGTGTGTGTGTGTGTGTGTGTGTGTGTGTGTGTGTTGTAAAGAGGCTTTCTGAGTTAAAGTCTACGGTGGTTTCAAAGAGGACACATTCTGTCTCTTAGCAACACTGCGCTGGTCCGATGAGCCATATTCTCCCCCCGACGTGACGTGGAGACAACTTCTGTGTCTTAGTGAACAAAATCTGCCTGACGTGGATTAAGTGCACGTTTCCTTCAAGTGTCCGTAGGAGCAAACACGCACGATGGTGTCAGTGTCAGTTCTTCTGCTCCGGCTCTGTAAAGGACTCTTATTTTGTTTTATTTATTATCTTATTTTACAATCAAAGTCCTGCAAACGGGACATTTAAATTATCCTTTTAGTGGGATTCATTTTTAGACATATTACTAAAGCAGAACCTCCTCTGACCATCTTGTATGATTGTGCAATACACATTAACCTGAATTGGCCTCATTGCTGCCGGTCCAAAGGTTTACCTCCAGAAACTGGCTCATTGTTGACAATCTTTCTGGTTAATCTGTGAATCAAATGCTTGGTTGTAATATTTTCTTCAGCTTGAGTTAGTTTGGATCGATACCTCTCCCACTTCTTATATGACGTGGAAAGAAGATAACAGTTTATGGATATCCAGGTACTCTTTAAACAATAAAGCTTTTATATGATGCTATATTTAACCCTGTTATCGTGTCTTTCTCCTTGTTAGGCGGGGCTGGTTCCCCTCGTCTTACTCCAGACCGTATTCTGAACCAGTGATATCTAACAGGTGAGAAAACACTGCGGCATGCTGGGAAGCCGAAAGCAGGGATTCGTTTTACAGCTCAACCTTTGTTCCCGTGTTTGTTAGCAGCAGTCTTGGCACGCCGCTCCATCGTCGCAGCGTGGCCAGTCTGCAGGAGCGCGAGGAGGAGGAGGAGGAGGAGGAGGAGGAGGAGGAGGAGCCCGTGCTGCTGCCGCCGGCAGACTACAGCGACGGCACCGCCCCCGGCCCTGCGACCCCTGCGACCCCTTCGCCACTGAACAAGGTCAATACCAGCAGCACACGGAGCACCTCGTAACCACGCGTCCTCGGTTGTGTTCAGTTACTCCTCCGATGTGATATCTGGTCCATGCAAGTGTTAACGTCCACGGAGTGGGACACGGCCCATAAAGGTTGAATGTCCTCTGATACAGTATCTCTTATTCATCTCCGCCTCAGTGACCGCACCATAAAATGCTAAATCCAGAGTCTGACTAATCGTGTTTAATCAACTTCCTCCTTCCTGCACGGTGACTGACTCCACGCCCTCGAAGGAGAGCGCAGCCAGATACACGCCTCAATTCCTCTAACCAGTTTGAGGAAACATCTTAAATCTATACAAACTGTTTGCCCACAGTTGTCATGTATCAGAAATCGAGGCACAAAAAAATGCTCTCAGGCAGGTTGAGGACTGAAGAGGTTCGAGGAGGAGGACAGTGACACGAAGGACAACAACCAGCAGGTGTCCAACCGGCTGACAAGCGCAGGCGCTCTTCTTCCTCCCTCGTCATCACCTTCCTCGCTTTGTGTCTGAGGCTTTCACCACGAGATGAATCACAGCGCCGGTCTCCTGCTCTTATGATTCCACACTGTGCAAACGTCTCCCGGCCCGGACGAGACGTGTCCAGAGGGCGGCAGGCCGGCTGTGCGCTGTGGGCTTGTTGTTGTGACTGTGGGGCAAAGGTGGGCTCCTGTGGGCCCTTTAGACCTGAGTGGAAAGCATTCAAAGCCACTCTGCATACTCCTAATACAGGATTCGGAGCGCATTGTACACATTATATTTAGCTTTTTTAACTTGACTTGTGGAAGTAATTCTCAATCAGATTTAAACCATTCTAGCAATTTGACCTGAAGTGTCTGCAACCCTGAAAAGAAATTCTATCCAGAAGTACGAAACCCCACCGAGGTGGTTCCTGTGATTTATTCCTGCAATTATTAACCACTGGGATGCAACCTTTTTATCAGCTACACACAGGTAAATTAGAAAGATTTGTATCGGAACAACAAAATTGTTTTAGTAACACTGAGTTTACTCAATCTAATCGAGTTAATGACTGAACGATAAAATCTTACTTTAAAAACCTTTTCTTCCACCTGACCTCAAATGAAAACAACATCCCGCACTAACAGACTTAATTCCTGCAGCTTTGTGTCGACTCGGTGAGGTTAGCGTGTGGTTTAAGTATGTGCCAAAGCTTGTCTGCATGGATCGGTGAGGACTTAAACCAGTCTGACCAGTCTGGGGGGGGCGTGGTTCGGTGTGCGTGTTGAATGAGGTGTCTCATTTCTGTCCACCGGCTCTAAAAAGGTCCTTTTCTTTTGTGTTTTTTTTAGGTTTCTTTAGGTAATGGGACCGCAAAGGCTGCCTTTCTAGGGTGAGTGACCTGACACAAATAACCAGCACTGGCAGGTTTCCACGGATGTTGTTGTGTTGTGTAATCAGATGATTTCTTTCCCTCCTTCATTCCTGCAGAGGAGGGAATCCGTTCGCCACCGTCAAGCTGAGACCAACGGTGACAAATGACAGATCCGCACCACACGTCTAACGCCAAAGACGAGGCTTTTCGCCGCTGCCTTCAGGGCCTCACCGGACCCCTGCGACACACCAAATATCCCCCCCCGGCACGACCTCTCACCAGGATGCATGCTGCTCTGTCTGCGTGCCAGGCTGCTCTATTAAAAGAACCCATTGTGTTGTTGCCCTTAACACCGACATCTTGCACAATCAAGGCACGGAGAGGTAGAATGGCAACGATTTTTGACACGTAAAACATTTCGCGTCGTAAACTTCGCCCCAAAAAACAATGTTTGGGATATGAAGGCAGTCAAGATGCTGGACTCCACCGCACAGTCTATAGATAGTAACTACTGAATGTAAATACTCAGATAAAGTCACTGGGTCCCCCACAAACACTGATGGCGTTTCTACTGCCATGCTAACAAGGAGATTTGGGCGAACTGTCCCTTTAAGATGCAAAGCGAGTCTTTTCGGGCTGGTTTGTGCTGCAGTTTGTGCCGTGTTTTGCCGCAGGACGAAGGGCGAGCAGCAGCCGGGCCGTCACCCCGACTCGCCGCAAACATCGTGCTTTCTGTTTTTGTTAAGATCGTTTTTGTCTTTCTTTTTTTAAGAGGTATTATGACATACGAAGGTTGTGACGATGAAGGGAGAGTGACAGTTTTGGGAAAAAGGTTTGTCATTTGAGTTAAGGCAAAACAGTACGTCACTGTTTAAAATGAGAAGGCTATTTATACACACTAAGTTTGTATGAGATATTTAAATGATGTGGGCAAAAGTCATTCTGTGAAGGCGTCCTTTTTGAGTACCACAGCTGCACGTGACCCCAGGGTCACTATAACTTGACAAACAATGACCCCAATGCCTTCACCCCTCTTGTTTAGTGTAGATTCTGACAACAGTTCACCGCTTATATGACATTTGAACTCTATGAATAAAGTGGGTCATTGTTTTAAAGTATTAGTAGAACACGTTTTTGCCGTGTTTTTGCTTCACCGAATGTAAATGTGTGATGAAACTGATTAATCCGCGCAGACCCACTGGTTGTGCGACAGTGAAGCCATCGTGGTTATCGCCTCACGCTTTCAGAGTACCTCGCCACTGTGTTGACCAATGTAGTCTTTTTTATCTCAATAAAACAAGTTAAAGTAAAAGTTTGCATAATTCGTGTTTGCGTTACTGCCTCGCATACAGGTTTATCTTGTGGAAGAATAGAGCCTCACAAACATTTAATAAACAGTATATTGACTATTAGAGAAGCAGAGAAACTAAGGAAAATGACTAACTAAATTAATTAATTGATCTTGAACATTGGGTCACCCCTGCTATTTATAAAAGTGAGTTCTAATCTTCATTAATTTAATCATCATAGTCTCCTCACCTCATCTCAAGGCCAGTCTGCACACACCTGTGTGGGACGGCAGGGTTTCAGATCAATGAATCGTATTTTAAAAGCTGATCATACGTAATATCAACTTGTTACCAGACAAATGTATTTTAGCATCAAGTACTGGAAACAGGACCATACTCAAAGTACAAGTACCCAGAAATTGTACTTCGGTGCAGTACTCCTACTTTTCACCGCCGTCGTGGGCATTTTTAGGTTATGAGGCCGGCAGCGCCCTCTGCTGGATGCCGACGCGACGCACACGCGCCGCAGGGAACCAATGGGAATCGACGGAACAGCGACACTTCCGGTGTCACGTAGGAGAGATAAACTATGACGTCAATATCGGAGGGACGCAATTGCGATTCCGGCCGCTTTTCAGCGACTGTCACCTGCTGACGGAGCAGCGGGGCCGCTCGCGCCGGTTGACGGTTGATGAGAGGAAGCGACAGGTGAGTTCGCTGCGTTTCAACTCTCGTTCACCGGCTGCTTTCGGCGCGAGGAGACCGGAAGTGCGAACCGAGGAGCAGGCGTCAAAGTTTACGGCCGGTTCTCCTCAACAGAGAGCGCGTGTGTGTTTGTTTGTTTGTTTGTTTGTTTGTTGCCTCCACGGCTTAACACGTTCCACGTCAGGTATCACACGCACACGCACACACACACACACACACACACACACAGGTGAGGGGCGGCTAACGTGTAGCACGCGCTGTGCTAACACAGCATATGGATGCTTATGGCTTTATTGCTGTGGCGTCATATCAGCCATTTGATTGTCATTATAATAATATTATTATTATACAGAGTGGGTCCATTATGACAAGCTTCAAGCAACCTTGAATATAAAATATTATGATATGTATGTAATAATGTAATAACATCCAGAGTTGTATTTGATTATCTTTAAGGATTGAGTTAAAAAAAAACAACCCTTGTGTATTCGGAATGAATATGATTTCAACACACGTCGTGCCTGATGTCGTCCTTCATTCCGGAGGACATAGGACATTTAGTCCCTTTCGCTGCACGTCATCTGCACCCCCTCCTCCCGCCTCCAGGTCCCCGCCATGCCCGTCTCTCTGCTGTGGGCGGTGGACGTCTACGGGCGGGTCTACAGCCTGTCCACGGCGGGGCAGGTGTGGGAGCAGTGCCGCGACGCCCAGATGGAGTTCAAGCGGGTGACGGCGGCCCAGCGGTGCTGCTGGGGCATCGCCTGCGACAACGGCGTCTACCTGAACGTCCACGCCTCCGACCTGCCGGTCCGCTGCCAGGAGGAGGCCTACGAGAACCAGGTGGGTTCCCGCCTCGGGCCGCGTGTGCCGGGTGCGATTGGCGCTTCCCCCCCCGGAGCCACCTGCCGAACGTCAGTGTCCCTCTTTCTGTCGTCAGCGGTGGAATCCCGTGGACGGTTTCTCGGATCGGTTGCTGCCGAGCGATCGCTGGCAGTGGAGCGACGTCACGGGTCTGCAGCACCAACCTCTGGACGGCTTCCGGCTTCCCTCCGTCAGCTGGGAGTGGGAGGGCGACTGGCACGCCGACGAAAACCTCGACGGAGAGCCCACGGAGAAAGGGGTGAGCGTGCAGGTCGTGTCGCCGCCAAAGTCTCCACCTTTTTTGGCTTCTTAATTCTTCTCCTTCGCTCTGACGATTGGGGCGCTTGCGTCTGCAGGGATGGACCTACGCCATCGACTTTCCCGCCACTTACACCAAAGACAAGAAGTGGAACTCTTGCGTCCGACGCAAGCGGTGGCTCCGCTACCGGAGATACAACGTCATGGACAGCTGGGCGAAGGTGCGTGCGTGTTGTGTCTTTGTGTGTGTGTGTAACGCCTTGCGTTTGTTCACCTGCGTGTCTCTCTTCCCGTGCGTGGCCTCACAGATCCCCTCACAGCAGGCAGCGCTTCCAGATCCCTTCAGCGACATCAGCTGTGGAGGCTGGGAAATCAGTGACGAGCCCCGGGGCCGGATGTCCCTGTGGGCTGTGTCTCTGCAGGGGAAGGTACACACACACACACACACACACATGCAACGCACACACCTCAGCTTCAGGTGTCCATGGCAATGTGCGCGTGTGTTTATTAGTTTTATTTGCGATATATATCATCGCATTACGCCGTGAAAGAGCAATAACCGTCAATCAATGATGTGCTGAAATAATACAGCGAGGCAAATTAACTATTTCCACATAACTTGCTGTTCACACTCCTCACTTATGAAACCTGTAACGCTTAAAGGTCTTTATTAACCGATCTAATGTAAATCTGAAGGGCCCGTTTCCGTCGCGTTGCTTGATGCAGATGCATTTGTCCTCCTCGCTTACTGTCCTGCCACCCATCCTCGCCGACCCTCCTTTTCCCCCACAGGTGTGGTTCAGAGAGGGAATCGACCACCACAACCCAGAGGGCTCCTCGTGGGAGGAGATGACCCTCCCCGGGGAGGTGGTCCAGATCAGCTGCGGCCCGGGGGACCTGGTCTGGGCGGTGCTGTGGGAGGGGCAGCTCATTGTCCGGGAGGGCGTCAGCAGAGACTGCCCCAAAGGTACGGCCCCACTCCTCTTTGAGTGCGAGTTGGTTCTTGTGGTGTGTATTGAGCACATTGTGTCTCCCCGTGTCAGGTACCTCCTGGGCGGTGGTGGACTCCCCCAGTCCTGAGGTGGGGGCCACGCACGTCGCCGTGGGAATCAACGTGGTCTGGGCTCTGACCAAGGACAACAAAGTAAGGGAACCCTGACCATCGCACTAGATGACCAGAAGGACTGACTTTTAGTTACCAGTTAGTTGCTGAAGAGCCCTTTCTCCCCCCTCACCTGCTTTGCCAGGTGTGGTTCAGACGCGGCGTGAACTCCCACAACCCTTGTGGCTCCGGCTGGATCGGCATGGTCGGAGAAATGCTCATGATCAACATAGGACTCAACGATCAGGTGACTTGAAGCCGCGTGGCCTCACGCCTTCCTGCCGGCGGCGTTCAGTGTGAGGTTCTGGGATGTGCACCGTCTTTAGTCGACCTGTCGTCCGTAGGTGTTCGCTGTCGGCCGCGAGGATCGGGCGGTGTACTTCCGGCAAGGCGTCACCTCCAGTGAGCTGAGCGGGAAAACCTGGAGGGCCGTCACGGTCCCCCGAGACGGAGACCGATCGCACTCCAGCGCCAGCAGCGTGCAGAGGTGCAGAGGACACACACACACACACACACACACACTGGATATAAGATTTAAGTCTTCTTCTACAGAGCACGATCGCGTTCAGAGAGCAGGGTTCATTCAGGGTCATCGTGTCATCATGTATGTAATATAAAACCCGCTCCGTGTCCCAGCGCTGGGTGTTACTTCTGCGGCGAGGAGCGTGCTCCATCAGCAGTGAGTGACGTGGAATCCGACACAGAGAAAGGATCCACAGATGGCTCCGGCCTCCTCCTCGCCGCCGCCGCCGTCTCCACAGAGCCCTCAGCTGATGCCGCGCCTACGGACCCCCCCGAAGCCCGCGTCCCCAAAGTCACCAGCGACAGCTTCATCTCTGACCTCGTCTCTGACCGAGAACCAGCAACGGCCCCCTGGGGCGCAGCTGTCCCGGAGGAGGACCTCGTCCTCGGAGAAGAGGAGGTCCGAGCCCCCTGCGCCGGCGCGGCGATCTCCTCCAGCCAGTCCGGAGGCCTCGGCCAGTGGAGCAACGTGGATCTGGAGGAGGCGCAGGGCCAGCGGGACCAGGCCGGGGCGCCGGCGGACTCGGCTGACACGTGCAGCTTGTCATCTTTGGCCGCGTACGCTCTGGCCGCGGAGGACCAGTACGGGGCGGACCAGCACCCTCTGTGGGCCTGGGTCAGTGGGGGCGGCTGCTCCGTGGACAGCCACTCGCAACTCGGCTGGTTTAACTGCTCGACCACGAACGCCTCGCGTGAGTTGCATCGTTTCCTAGTAAACCATTAAGCTGCTGGACTGAATGATGAATGAAAAAGCGATGTGATTAGACATAAAGTACAGCTTGTGTACTGTGGTGCACTCGTGTGACATGATTATGCAATGACACAAAGAGTACCACCGAGGTTTATTCCACAACCGTTTCCTTTGTCCTTCCCAGCCTTGGTCCAGTCAGTCCAGTCCATGAGTCTCTCTGTCACTCCGGCACAGACGGCCGCCTGGCGGAGACAAATCTTTGAGCAGCTGAGTGAGCGGACCAAAAGAGAGATGGACAATTTCAGACATTATGAGCAAGCCGTAGAACAGGTACCTGCCATGTATCAAGGAGACGCGGCCTGCCCCACAGCGGGGCCTCGCTGACGTGTATTCCTGTTTTGTGGACGCAGTCTGTGTGGGTGAAGAAGGGAACCATGCAGTGGTGGAGAGACTGGAGGCCGCACAAGTGGACGGATGTGCACTTTGCCCTGGAGCAGTTCTCCGGACCGGAGGGCGACAAGGACGGCATCCTCTTCATCTACTACAACTTTAACGAGGAGAAGAAGGTGGGTTTCATGAGCCCTCTGCAGGGTTCTTCTGATGTCCCTGTCAGATTGGCCCGTTGCTTGTATCGCATGATGGAAGCGAGACTTTTCAATGAATCTCCGCTGCTTCTGTTTACTTTCCGCCTCCTTGTTCCGTCTCTTCTTCTTCGCCCTGCCGTCACTCGCTCCAGTACCTGCATGCCTTCATCAATGAGGTCACCATCCTGGTTCCTGTGCTCAATGACGCCAAACACTCGTTCGCCATCTACTCTCCTGAGCGGACCAAACAGAGGTGGCCCATCAGGTTGGCGGCGCCTACAGAGCAGGAGATGCATGATTGGGTATGAACGAACGCTGCTCAGTGTTTCTGGTGCCAGAAAACCACTTCTTGGAGGTGACCTCCATGCACACGGTTGCCTACTGTTCCCCCACTAATGGCTCCTTTCTGGCTCTAATCCCTTCCTTTCTGTGCTTTTCCGACCCGACGGGTCGGCCGTTTACCTCCTTCTGCTAATCAAGCTGGCGTTGCTGAGTGACGCATGCTGCAGCTCCCGGGGGATCCAGGGTCCTCCCTCCAAACAGGCCGTGTGGTCCGTAACATGCAAGGGAGACATCTTTGTCAGTGAGCCCTCTCCTGGTCTGGAGGCCGTGCCTTACCCGACCCCCTGCGACCAGATGTAAGAATACGAACAAGTCACGCACGTAAAAAAAAAACCCGTAACAATCGAGCCTCTTATGAAGCGTCGATTGGTTGATTTGTGCAGGTTCTGGCGGCAGGTCGGAGGTCACCTTCGCCTGGTGGAGAGCAACAGCGTGGGCGTCGTGTGGGGGATCGGCTACGACCACACCGCCTGGGTGCACACGGGGGGCGACGGGGGAGGCTTCTCGCAGGGTCTGGCCAGCAGCACGGATAACATCTACACACAGGTGGATGTGAAGAGTGTCTACATCTACGAGAACCAGCGGTGGAACCCCGTCACCGGCTACACCAACAGGTGGAGGTCCAACGTCTGGCTTTCAGGAAATGTGCAAACTGTTTTTGTCAGCGGAAACATCTGGAACCTCGCGTCACTTTCTTTTTTCACTTTACACTCACAAGGCACAAAAAGTGCAGCGATGTCCCTGTTGTTTGTTTCATCTTTTAACAGTTTTTTCCTCTAATGAGGACAAACTTTAACAAACAAAGGCAGACGCTAATTACCACAACAGCTAAAGGGTGTGTTGTTTTGTAACGTTTGGCCTGGAAGTCACGTGACCCGTGTTTGTTCCAGAGGGCTCCCTACAGACCGCTACATGTGGAGCGACGCGTCGGGACTACACGAGTGCACAAAGACCAACATGAAGCCCCCCTCCGCTCAGTGGACGTGGGTAAGTACGGCGACATAACGGCCTGGTAGATTGTTGAGCGAGACTCTTTGCTGCCGTAGATGAACGTGAAACTCGCCCCGTGGTTCTATTCTGAAATAAAATATACACGTTTGCTGTTAAATGATCCCGGACGAGGTGTGTAGCCGGAAACGCTAAATACTGAAACCTTCTCGGTTTTCCACTTATACCCATATTTGCTGCTTGCAGGTGTCCGACTGGGCCATTGACTACGGCGTCTCCGGGGGGACGGACAGAGACGGCTGGCAATATGCAGCTGACTTTCCAGCGTGGGTTTCATTTACTATTCCTCTTTTTAGAAATAAAAAAACCCAACGCAGCCCTCATAGTTTTGATTTGTAATGAATCTGTTCCTCCTTCCTTCCTCTTCCTCGTGTCTCCACGCAGGTCGTATCATGGCTATAAAACGCTGAAGGACTTTGTGCGTCGCCGGCGATGGTCCAGGTACTATGAGACGCTGCTCCGTCACACATGTGTTTGCACAGGGGAAATATATATGTACATACATGCATGTCTGTCTACTCAAATCTGCTTGTTAAGGGGTCACAGATTGGGGGCCCATGTGAGCATTTGTGTGTTTCGCTCCTGCACAGGAAGAGTAAACTGACCACAACAGGACCCTGGCAGGAGATCCCGCCTATATCGCTGATTGACGTGAGCCTCCTGCCCTGCGCGGCCCCGAGCGGCGTGGACGTGGTCCCTCTGTGGGCGATCAGCAACAAGGGCGACGTGCTCTGCAGGCTGGGGGTCACCGCTCTGACTCCGGCTGTGAGTCACGTCTGCTGCACGATACGACACCCCCCACCCATCCATCCCCATCCACCCATGTAACTGTGCTGACATCCACCCGTTGCTCCCTCAGGGATCCTCGTGGCTCCACGTGGGAACCGACCAGCCCTTCAAGTCTGTCTCCGTGGGGGGGGCCAGCCAGGTGTGGGCCATCGCTAAGGACGGCTCTGCCTTTTACCGAGGATCCGTCTCACCACAGAGCCCCGCGGGTCAGCAGGACAAACCTTCTCTCAAAGTTAAAGACAGAGGTGACTTTCACTTATCAAGTGTTGTGTCCCCCCCTGCAGGAGACTGCTGGTACCACATCCCCTCCCCAGCCAGACAGAAGTTGAAGCAGGTGTCTGTCGGGAGGACGTCCGTCTTCGCTGTCGATGAAAATGGTAAAGACTTGTGACGCGCTTGTGTTTGGAGGTCGATTACAACAAGCAGACCGCTGATGTTCGTGTGTCCTGACTTCCTGTCCAGGTAACCTGTGGTACCGCCAGGGCGTGACCCCGAGCTACCCTCAGGGCTCCAGCTGGGAACACATCTCCAATAACGTACGCAAGGTGTCTGCGGGGCCTCTGGACCAGGTCAGTACCCGGACGCTGTGGATCTCCGGTTGTCATCGACTGATGTGATGGTCATTTGTCACATCAGCAGTCGAGAGCCTCTTTTTCTGACGGCACATCTGTCGATCCGTTTATACGTTTTAGTTTATCTTTTTTTTTAAGTTCAGACTACTTTAATTTGAGTTGTTTTTATTATTTGAAACTTCTCACACAAAAGTCTGCGGCTTCGATTGAATGATTCAGAAGATTTCTATATTTCAAAACGTATATACGTCATTACATCCGTTATTTCACGTCCCGCAGGTGTGGATCATAGCCGACAAGGTGCAGGGCAGCCTGAGCCTGAGCTGTGGAACCGTGTGCCATCGACTCGGGGTCCAGCCCGTGGAGCCCAAGGGACAGTCGTGGGACTACGGCATCGGGGTGAGACGCCAAAGCAGCATTGGCTTGAATCCAACACGTTGCTGGTTTGGCCGCAGGTGGACATTCAATCTCTCTGTCTTTGGGTCCTGTAGGGCGGATGGGACCACATCACAGTGAGAGGGAACTCCACGGAGCCGCCCCGTGCACGCCTTCCCTCTCTGACGGCGCCCGCTCCTCCCGCCCCCCCCGCCGCCAGGAGCGCGGAAGTCAACGGCAGCGCCGGGGAATGCTAGGCGCACACACACACACACACACACACGCATGACCTTTGTAGTCATATGCCGTTTTTATTTCTTCAACCTTCATCACTGCAACCAGTGTGGGAGGACGTTGTCACTTTTAGAACAATCCCAAATGCGGACGCGACGTATGTTATTCGGTCGACCTAAACTTTACTTGAACAAAACATTTCTGTCTTGTTGACCTTTGGTCACGAACATTGAACTCGATGGTCTTAATATATTTCCTTATTTATTTATCAGGCTGTGATGTTTCTGTGAAAAAGTACCTCGTGTACGGTCAGATTTAACGCGTGCTGAGTCTCAGCTCCAGATGTGGTAGTGTGCAAAACAAAAGCTAATTAGCGACATTAGCCCACCAGGTAACCATTGATAGGAGGACAGAGCAGCTACTACCATGTAGTATCGCCACAGGCTGCTGATCTGACGCGCGTGTGTGATTTTTATACCACAAACTGCAGCTGCTGCATATTTCCAATGTTGCAGCTTTCTGAACAGAATTGTTTATTCTTAAGTTTGCGTGCAACGATCCAGACGGTTGTTTGAGTCGGAATGTGAAAGCGTGACTGGCCGAGGTGTGAAAGGCTGTAAACGAACACTTTCTGTCTTTCTTGTGCACCTGATCTCTTATTTCTTTTGTTTTAAAGTTCTTCCTTTAGCGCCGTTAGCAGTGTTTCTGCAGCGGCTTTATTTGCCTGTGGCGGTTGCTGCTTGCCTTGTACAAACAGTCACCCATGTTTTGCAAGGAGTTTAATGTTATTTTTTAAAATATGTTGTTGTTTTTAGGTTCTCTCGGAGTACGTGCAATGGTTAACTATGTAAATAAGGGAGTCATGTAGATGTACTTAAGTAAGTGTTGTGGTTGAATCTTCCTCTTTCTCAGGAGAACATGTGCATGCGTACTTTCTGACCGTACTAGAATGACTGAGCAATTAGATATTATAATAATATTATATTATACAATCTGTATATTAGTTGCTATAATGATAAAATGCAGCCTTTCAGGCATCATTGATGTTTGTGGTCCGGCTGAGGGAATGTTGAAAGTGTCAAACACTGATGTGCAACACGCATGGTGAAAGCAACAGTCCTCGCCAATAAATAAAGTTGTTTATTGATAATAACTCCCGAATTGGTTTCTCCTGATCTTTTTCCCCACGTGGAGATACAAACAAATGGAATGACACACACGCACACTTTTACCGATCGCCCTTGGCCTCCAGTCACGGAACGCACAAACTGTCAGAAGACACGTGTTCTGAAAATGAGCAAACACGTTTTTCTACCTTCAACATTTCGGTATTCAAGCAGCTTGCCTTCCTTCTCCTCCTCCTCCACTCGACGGTTATGACCGGAGGCAACGCTCAGCAGGCTTCTCAACCAAGAAAACACACGATGACGAGACAACAAAGAGAACAAGTTCCTTCTCTGGCTCAAGAAGATGAGAATTACAGAGAAATTATGTCAAATGAGGCCCCGTGAGAACAGCGAGTAAGTTCACCGGCACAATCCGCCCGCTCCTCGCCGTCTGGTCTGCGGGCTGAACGGTGCTGGAATAAAGTCGCTCTGTCCATGAAGCTCCAGTCTAGACGGACCCCTTCAAGCGTCGACGGCAGCGGCCTGATCCGCCCGTTTTCTGCAGGGGGGCGGGGGGGGCTCCTTCCCGCCTTGCAGCCGCTGTTAGCTGCGCTGGCTGAAGCTGCGTGCGTGGGTGAGGTACTGGGTGAGATCATCCTCCCCCTCCTCCTCCAGGTGCTTCTGGTAGCACTGGAGCAGCTTGGCGGTGCTGGCCTCCGACGGGACCCCGCCTCCGCCGCCGCCGCCGTCACCGGCGGGCAGGCAGCCCCCCGACATGTCCACGACGATGGTGGTCAGGGCCTTGATGTAGTTCTTGGCCAGGGTGAGAGTCTCGATCTTGGACAGCTTCTTGTCGGTGTTGACGTGGGGGATGGCCTCGCGCAGCGCCTGGAAGGCGTTGTTCAGCTTGTGCATGCGCTGGCGTTCCCTCTCGTTGCTCTCCAGTCGCCGGACGCTGCGTTCCTTGGCGCCGGAGCCGTGCTGCCGGCGCCGCCGGGACCCCCCCCTCTTCCGCTTGCCGTCCCCGCCCCTCAGGGACCCCCTCCAGGAGCCGCCGATCCGCACCGAGGCCTCCGAGCCCTCCTGCTCGCTGGAAGCCGGTTCTGGTTCCGTGTCTTGTTCTGGCTCCGGCTCGGCGTCAGACCAGGTCCTCCTGGATGGTTTGCCAGCCTTTCCTTTGGACTTCATCCTGCGGCCCCCCTGACGTTCCTCTCTGTGACGATTCCTCTCAACTTCAACGCGCCTGGACCAAAAGACGGAAAGAAAAAGGCCTTTTTACATGGATTCACCTAACCGGCCTCCTGCAGTGGGAAACCTCCATGATGTCAGGCTGTTAATCTACGCCGCGCTTATCCTCACGGCCTGCGATAAAGCCCCTCTCAAGGTTACCATCACAAGAACACGGAGGCCATGTCTACACCCAGGAGATGTACAGCTTCAGAGAGGATGCAGGGGGAACCTCTGGAAGTCAGTCAAATTCACTGTAGGTCCACAAGCTGGATTCATTTCTAAAGCAAATACTCAAAAAACGTCTCCGATAAAACTGTTTTACTGAACACAATAAAAATACATCCCTCGCTTTGTTCCATGAAGCGTTCGTGTAACTAAAGTCCCTTTAATTCACTGTAGTAAATCGTAGCAGCATTTAAAGAGAGACATTAAAGTCTTACCTCAGTGATCCAACTTTCCTCCTCAACGTGCGGACTGAAACATCCCGGAGCAGCCGATCATCCAGCGCAACATCAGCGCGAGTAGAAGCGCGGAGCCGCACGCAGCGACGCGCGCACGCGCACGCACACACACACACACACACACACGCGAGCGCGCGCGCAGATAACTGTCACACGCGAGCTACCTGTAACGGACTAATGGCCACGTCGCGCTGCTCGGCCAATCAGTGAGCGAGCCGCCTCCCCCGCCGCGCGCGTCCGAGGCTACCTCTGCGTGACGTCACGGCCCCGCTGCAGAGAAAGACTCGTGCGAATGATTTACTAAGTGACAAATAAAGAGAATATAACAATATATTATACATGACAGGTGGTTATAATTAATGCCACAAATACCTTATTTTACAATTATGAAGCTCAATCAATGCATCATGTTTTATGATCAAATGTTTTTATGTAAAACTCATAGTAACAGTTAATGAATAAGAGGGTAAAAAGTACAACATTTAACTGAAGTGTAGCATAAAATGCAAAGTGCCTCAAGATGATAAAACCTTGGTGTTGACATACTTTTGTGTGAATATCAGCATAGACTGATATAAAACATGATTCAGTGTCTTCAGTCCCGTTAGCACCCGTCTGTTACCACAAAAGACACAATAATGCACATTATTCGTCGACCTGCACACATTGTGAGATACTTGATAGAGTCAGAAACGTTTTGTTTCCTCTGCCACTCGAAGCAGTTAACATAATTTCCATCGTGGCTTATCGCCTTCATTTGAATACAGTCCTCCAGGCTACACCTTCACGCACAGAAGGTCCAGGTCTCATTACAACCGCCACAATCGTTTAGCACACAAGCAGCTTTAGACGGCCAGCGGCGCCCTGTGGTTCGCCAGGACAAACCCAGTTTACGCATTTGCATTTGTGATCCGAGGGAGCGCCGTGTCTCTTTGACCCCGGGGACCCAAACGCCACTGGTGGCAGTTTGGGTTATTTGCCCCTTTGCTGCTGTGACGGAGAGCGGCGAGGAGTCATCCATCGGTTTCACGAAGCTCCCTGTTGCATTTAAACAAAGGCTTTAACGCTAAAGGAGCAACTTCAACATGACGTTAAAGACTAAATGTGGCATGTGAGGAAAAACAGACGGAACATCAGAAAATAATGTCAAAGAGCAGCAGTTTTATTCAGCCTCTGTCAATATTAACCTGACACTGAGGCGGGTTATAAGCTTATAACAAACACCTTCCAACAACAATAATTTACAGATGTGACGCTCCCAGAGTACACCGGGCTTTAGCTTTTGGTGTCCTTGAACGCCGTGTGTGTGTGTGTGTGTGTGTGTGTGTGGTCCAGGTTCAGCACTTCCTCCTCAGGTACACTTGTATCAGAATCAAACGAAAGCCCGCTGATGCTGCCCGGTGGAAACAATATCTGTGTTTCTGCCTCCGGCGGCTCGCTCTGTTTATTCAGTCGCAGCTGCTGATAAATTCTGAGCCCAACGCACTTCAGTAATGAGGCGAGCAAACAGGGCCTCCGCAAGCACGCTCCCTTCAGGCAAAACAAACCGAAAACAGCAGCTCGGTGGGAACAGTGGGACTGTGGAAGCGACGTCCAAACCTCCGACCACACGGCCCTGCGTGGCGGCGATGTCATGAGCGCCGGGCGCATTCAACCCATTTGGAGCAGCGAGAGGAGGAGAAAAAAAAAAAAAAAAAGCCCCATTAAAATCTGTGACTCACCAGGAAAGAGGAGGGAGGGGGGGGAGGAGGGGGGGGGGTGACTGGTTAGAGGGGGGAGATCTGGTCGATTAGTCAGTTTTTCCATGAAGCCGAGGCTGCACGTCTGAAGGGAAAACAAGTGTGGATGTCACGTTAGGCCGAGCTGGCCTTTGGCTGACAGCACTCAACGTGGCGGGGAGGCAGCGCTTGACCACCGGCGTGTCATAAAAATAAGCCCTGTGTGCGTGTGTGTGTGTGTGTGTGTGTGTGTGTGTGTGTAAACAAGTCTTTATCTCACAGCTCAAGGTCTGACTCGCTGACATGTGTGAGGAACAGGCAGGTTTGGGACAGCGCGAAGCGTCGGGGCAGAGCAGCGCCGCTGGGGGTCGGCGGGGTCGAGGCCTGCCGCTTCTCCAGAGCTGAAAAGTCGTCTTCCCACTCCAAGCCTGCGGCAAAACACACACCATTAGTGGCGAGCGAGCGCCAGGAGCCCGCGGCTTTTGGGATTAGAAGGATTTTTACACACTAAAGTTTGTTATCCCTCCCAGTGTCCCGCCCGGATCCTGCAGCATCGCAGAGGCCTCTTCAGCTTAAGTAGTTAGTGAAATACCTACAAGGGTCCACATATTAACTTATTCATCAATGAACAACACGTTTATTAATGAATTCAGCTCTAAGAGTTCTAAGACAACCAGTGACCGTGATAAGTACAGTCCAGTGGAGAGTTGAATATTTTCTTACATTACTTGGGAAGAAAAGTTTCTTGCAAAATGCCCGTGTTGATGTTAAACATGAGATAAACATGCAGAAATCACGGGCATCGCCCGTTAAATTAGTACCGGTGTCTCCAAATGCTCCGTCCGGCGGAGCCGTGCGGGCCTCACAGTGCAGCTCCGAGGTGGGACTCTCCTGGGGGGGGGGGGACAGAGGACGTGAAACAGCCTTCAGGCTCCAGCGTAACAGACCGACAGGGACACAGTACCTGATCGAACAGGTAGACGATGACGTCATCCTCGAAGGACACGCTCTTCCTCTTCTTTGCATTCGCGTCCCTCTCCGGCGTCCCTCCTGCAGCGCAGACGGGACCTCTGAGGACGTTCAGATTGTCTCTGACAACACGTTGATTCCCGTTGGCGTCGTTGGTGTCCCCTAAAGACGTCCCGCGGTCCTCCGGGCAGTAAACATCACGCAGACGCTGCAGCGGTGTGTCCTCGTCACTGCCGTCCTGCCGGGTCGCCGGGTCGGAATTATTCTTCGGCAAGCTTAAAATGTCTCGCATGTTCAAAAACGAGCCGTGTCCACGGGGACAGAAGAGGGCGGAAGGAGGCGGCAGAGGATGACGAGGGTCTTCTCGCTGAGGGTGGGTGGAGGAAAGGTGGAGGTCTCTTTAACCGAGGCGCTGCACCGACGGCGTCGGCCCGGATCGACTCCCCTGAGGATCTCCACCGCCGGCGCTGTTCATCCCTGTGGGACGCACAACTTGTGTTAAGGGCTGTATCTACTGGCACAAGTCCCCATACTGGTTTCTGTGATGTCGGCCATTAATCCCACTGGTTTGAGGCCCTTTTTCCTCCTTGTGTTTAAAAACACTTTTTACTCATCATTGTGTGTCTCATTTTACTCCCCTTTTTCCTTTCTGTCGACTGTTTATTATCAGCCATCAGGGGCCACAGGGGCCCCGCCGACACACACACACACACACACACGCGCGTCGTTCGGCCCCTCGCTCCTCAGCCTGAATAAATATCGGGAGCCCATCCATCCGCGGAGACAAAGGCAATAGGAAACTTTCGCTGCTCTGCGGTAACCAAGCAACCGCTGGATGAGTGACTCAGGAGGGGAAGAGAGGAGCTGACTCACTGCAGCTGTGACGTAAAGGATGTAAAAGGAGACACACACACACACACAGAGGCACGTATGCAGGAGGCCGTGAAGCCTGCTAACCGCCCCTCTTTGAGTGACATCTCGCCGTTTAACGGGTGGAGGCGGGTCAAGGGGGGGGCGACAGATTACAATCAAATGCAAACACACAAACACACACTGAAATCACCACAAAACACTGAAAGCTTCCGCTGACTGACACATCCAAACGATACCTTCTCCTCATTCCTCTGTACCTGCACCTCCTTTCAGAAATCCACTTCAAACCGTCACATGAAATCACCCACGGAGCTCCGTCACCTCTGTAAAAAAAAAACAGGTCTTTCGGCTGATGTCTCGCTGCATCGGGACGTTACAAAACGTGTTGCAACACGTTCGATCTCTCTGCGTCCAAGCGAGCACGACACCGGCCGAGCTAAACGTATGGGCTGCGAGAGGGAGGAGGGGTGAGGGAAGACCGAAGGGAGGCGATGAAGAGGACGGATGTGAGGACAGTGGAAGGACGGAGCGCTCACATGCACGGGACCCTCCCTGGAGGCTGCAGAGTGCATGATGGGATCAATAAGTTGGCCGGGTGAGAGCAGCAGCAGAACGGAGGTCACGGTGACACCAGCCGCAGACACACAACCTTAATGATATCAACACGCATGCATTAAGCAACTTTTATATCAATGAACTATTGAAGGATTCCTGTTCTCTCTCCCATACATTCATAAACAATGTGTGACTCCTCACTATTACATCACATGTCATTGAGCTTTTAGCTTTTATCAAAGCGACTTACAATAAGTGCATTTCAACCATGAGGATACAAACTCAAAAGAACAAGAAGCAAGAAAGTGTAATTTCATAAAATAAGCCGATTTACAACTTGCTATAAAATAAATTACAAGCAGGACAGAGATCTACTCGAGTGTTTTGCTCTCAGTCACTATCTGATGATTTTAATACATTGTGATAAATATTGAAAATGATCATGTTGCATTTCTGCTACAAGTCAAAATAAGGTTACACATTGTATTCTTTTAGCCTGAAACCAAAAGCTTCAAATAGGCTTTTGTGGGGCTTATTTCACATTATTCATGTTGGTCTCATCAGATCAGGGAGCATCAGCTCCCTCTGGAGGTGCAAAGCAGAACCGCAGGCGGCCTGTGGACACGTGTAACTATTGTTATGATGCAGCTACAACACACAGATAGAAACACACGACTCTGACCTCAGTGCTCCCACATTTAATGGCAGCCTCCCGCTGGTAAAGTCGTCCCCTTGGCAACAAAATCACTGATGCTGGAGTTCTGCTTTTCACACCCAGACAGCATCAGGATGTTGTTTCCAGGAGGCAACAGAGAGCGAGGGCAAGTGAACCAGAGAAGAAGAGAAGAAGAGACACAGAGACGGAGTGTCTTCAGTCTCTTTTCGCCTCCGGGCCACCCTCCCCCTTCCCGTCCCCCTTCCCGTCTCCCTTGCCGTCCCCCCCGAGGCATCGGCTCACCAGGCAACCTGCCGCCCTGCGAGGCCCTCGGGGCGGCCGGCGCTCAGTGTTCCGGTGGAGTCGACTCTTTTTTCGCTGGACTTTGCAGAACGTGCGAGGGGCTGAAAGCTTCTCGCCGGCAAAAAGAAAATGTGAGCTCGTTCCGGCACATTCTATTTCACACGGGACGGGTGATTGATGCCGGGCCATTCTGAGTCGCTCATAACACGATATCCTGTCAACTCAAGCGTTCCACCATGTCCGATGAATGAGTGGCACCTCTTTGGTTTCGGGCCTCGGTGGAAGTCGAACGTTATTATCCGCTGTGGGTCATTTTAGGCAAAAGAAGGCCGTAAATACCAATGTATGAAGTATGTGATCTTTCAGCCACTGTTGCATCTCAATCCCCCGACCCGACCCGACCCGGGGGGGGCGACGTCAGGTAAAGAAGGGGTCTGTTTGGCTGGAATTTGTACTCAATTGGTTTTGGTTGCTGCTGTGATGGAGTCGCAACGTGCAGCGTGAACGCGGCGAGCTGTGGGACGATCCTTTTACGCCGCGGACGCACAATCATCACATCCAGCCGGCCAGTGACACCCAGCAATCCGTGAGAGGGGGGTAATTGGAGCCCTCCGGGCTTATTCTGAGCGCGCGGGTTACACCGGGCCCGAGGAGGAACACACATGGAGCCGCGGCGCAAAGCACTGTGGGTAAAACAGGGGGGAAGCGGAGCGTCCACTCAGAGCGCCGGCGCTGCGGTTTGGGGGCCTTTATTTGGACACGGCAGGAGACGAGCGGCTGAAATGCGACACGGAAGCATCGGCACACAGAGCGGTAAACGTGTCACTGTTGTGTACATGTTTGTTCAAGGTAATGAAAGCGTAACGATCTCGCCGCGCGGCGCTTTTTTCTTTTGCAGCCTTCACGTCTTCAAGGACAGAAGCTCGGGGTCGAGCGCTGAGCGGAGCCCCGGACCACGTTTGGAAAACACTTCTCGCCGGCGTCTCGTCTCCGGGGAACGGGGATTGTGCGGCGTTTAACTCCTTAACACGATGACATGAGCGTGCGATCCATCGGGCATCGCTCGGGGGGGTGGGGGGGCGAATGTGTGAGCCTCTGTTGACAGCAGTACACCTGCTCCCCCCCCCCACCACCACCACCACCACCTCGGCCCGGACCGGGGGGGCTCGGCCTCCACCAGCGCCGCTGCTGCTGCCAAGGGCACCGACCATATCGGGAGAAGTGTGCGTGCGTGTGTGACTGCAGAGACGGGGGGAGTGTGTGGTTGTGGGACAGGGTGTGAGTGAGAAGGGGGGGGGTCTGTTGTTATTTGTTTCATGGTGCTGTAAGGGACACTCACTGAGACTCCTTCATTAAGCCGTCCTTCACCACGCGGAGTCCATTCCCAGTGAATGTGTGTGTGTCGGACGTCAGAAAACATGCAAAATAAAATGAAACCACTACATTTGCTGGAAAGTGCTGAATCCAAATCTTTCATGTATTAGTTCATTATTATTATCATCCGCTATGTGACATAAGAGCAGGAATGTGGCCTTTGAGTTATTGTTCTACACTGTATGTCGAGGGGGGCGCTAGAGGGGGGGGTGGGCTCATGTGTTGTGGTGGAGGTGAATAAAAACACGGTTTATATCAACGTTAGAAACAAGTATGATCAGACTTTCAATCGTTTGCCTCCCGTCACACTGCTGCTGCTATCGAAAGAGGGCAGCTTGCACCACTAAGCCATTGCATCAGCGTGGGGGGGGGGGGGGCTGTGCCTGTCTGTCACTTCGTGGGGGCCCATTGCTGCTTCTGCACTTTCAGAGGGTTGAGCAACGGTGTCGGCCTGCAAACACCCACCTCATCTCGGCCCGTAGTGGAACCTACTGAATACTTCAGTAATAACGCAAAGTAGACGCAACGCACACAAGTGACGAGGAATCGGCCTGAAATGCCTCTGACCTCACACACACACACACACACACACACACACACAGAACCCCCAGCAGAGTGGACCCGTTTCAGCGGCTAATGTCTCATCTCTGTCTTTGGGAATGACGGGTCACCGGGCTTCCACTGAGAACTCGTCTGGGTCCGTTGATGCTTCTCTGCTGTGTATATTCATCTGTGCAGGACACCCATAAATCAAGACTAGCACCCCCTCTGTCTGCTGAGACCTCCACCACCTCCCCTCCTCCCTAGAGACGCCCGAGGGAGTCCCTGACACCCCCCCCCCCCCCCACTGAAGCCTTCGACCCTCCTACACACCCCCAGCACACCCACCCTATCGCTTGCATCCCAAGCACTCGCCCGGGGCCCTGATCCAGTTGCAACGACCACGTTGGTGCCAGAAATGGAGCGAGTCAGGGCGGTTCCTCAGTTACAGCTCAAACAGTGAAGAAACAGACGCAGCCGGGACGCAGAAGTGAGAAATGGCCGCTCTTGTTTGCCGTCCAGGCAGCGTTAGATTAGGAAGCGTTGGCCGCTGAGAGACGTATGTGGAGGTTTCACAACGTGAAGCTGCTGGCTGGTTAAGCAACAAAGTTCAGCACAGAATGTTGCACGCTACTCATTTCTACGTATTAGATGAATAGAGATTAAACACTACATTCATTTTCTACATTTACATTTTTTAACACACTGTCGTCACATAAATGTGCATAAAATAATGCACACACAAAAGTCCCACACGTCCCGCCTTGTTTGATCCACGTCAAAACAGAGCGGTGGGAAGAGACGCTTGGACAGGGACTGAGAGCTCGAGGCCATCGCCGTGGACGGGGAGGTGGAGCCGTTGGCGAGGGCGGAGCCCAAAGGGCTGGAGGCGGAGTCGGGGTTTAGGAGCGTCGCTGCCAACAACTGTGGATAGAAATAGACGAGGCAGCAACTGGGCCCCCGGCACCGCCTTCCTCAGGGACGGCTTCATCTGTCTGAGGAGTCAAACTCCTCAGAAGGGACGCGAGGGTTTAGTTTAGCATGCAGGAGGATTTCGTTTCTATCCCGATGACATCATCATCCATCCGAATTAAGGTGGCTTACAGGGTGAATTGTTTCTAGTGAAGCCATTAAACATTTCCCATCCTCATGTTCCATTTATTTTAGCATGCCGGATAATCGGACTACGAATACGAGAAGAGTGGAGACGTGAACGCAAGAAATAAATGTTTTATAGAGTCAACAACTCTGTGGTTGATCTCTTGAAGGACGATGACTTCTTGATTTAACGTGTGGACGGATGTTACAGGGGGAGAAACAGCCACACAGTAGATCCCCTCGACCCCCCATGATGCACCCTGTCACAGGGTCGAGATACGCTTTGTTTCTATGCAGCTTTTACCTTTTTTGTGTAAAATGCGACCGACCATCTGACCTCTCGTACTCACCTCTGGCGGCTTTCATGTGCGTTTGTCCCGTCGCTCACTCTTCCCCAACTCGTCCAGATAAAAACGTCCAGGTCCTGCGTGAGTTCCGTGTTCATCAAGCGCATTCACCTTCCTTTAGGTCGCTCGAGTTTCTATCAACTTTTAACGGTCGTCTTCCCTGTTTCTGGTCCTCACACGTCCCCCCCCGTCCCCCGTCCCTCTCCCTCTGTGTGTCCTTTCCTCTGTGGACCCCCCGTCCCCCCCTCTTCCTCCTCTCATCCGACGCTCCATCACACAGGAAGCCTGGTTTTCCTGAAAACAAGCGTTGCAGCGTGGAAAGGGACCGGGCTTTGGGGGGGGGGGGGGGGGCAGGTACTTGAGGGGGGGCAGAGGATGTTTTTGTCGGTCCTGTGTCCCTCTGTTTGCTGCAGACCATCCGGAGGAAACCGGGCTCGCGTCACTGCAACGGGACCTTGAGGCCGTAAACACGTGCGCCGATTAAAAGTGAGGAAAACGCAGCGCCTCAACAAGCAGGACGAGTTTCAGAGAGACGGTTTGTTTAGAGTCTGCAAACCGGACACTCGGGCTCCATTTCCTGTGTTTAACGGTTGCAAACTGCCGCCTGCAGCTGTGGCAATTCCTCCTCATCCTAAACACACCCATTATACCCATTGTTAGTTTGCAGCTTCAACGTGAAAATAAAAACTAACACGGCAGCATCCACAGGCCGTCACGTGGGGTCATTTTCGTCATGTCCAGTTGTGGAGTTTATTAGGTTTTAATTTCAACCCTCGTTCAGCAGGATGACACAAGACAAGAAGCCCAAATCCAGCTTGATTTATTTAAACCTCATCACATGGTCACAAAACACATACTCACATTAATTCAATTCCTCCTATTTGAGAAAAGGGTTTTATTAGACCTGTAATTTTAACCGGCTTACAGAAATCTAACATGAATCAATTATATAAGCTCCAATTCATATCCTTAGATTCCTGAGAAACGTCTTCAGGTGGTTGACTGATTCTGATTGGACGACATTTCTAAATTATTTTCTAGCAGCTGAATCCCTCGTTTTTTACTCAGAGGTGTAACTTGATTTAGTTCATTTAAAGACACGAGTCATGTAGCATTAATGCACATTGATATAAATGCGCCCACGTGTTTCAGGGCGCCCGTCACGATGCGCCCATCGCGCGTTCAGCATCGTTTAGATGAAGCCAGCGTGTGGCGGCGAGGGGCCTGTGATGGATGTGTGACGGTGCAGATGTGTATATAACATAATAATACCAGGATGTTCACAGGAACGCTGCCGGGACAAGCCGGATACAACCGCACTGACAGATGTTACCTCACCAGGTGTTGGCCGAGGTGGGTTCAGAGCCACGACGACCTCTGACCCCTGCAGAAAGCTCTCTTGGATGCAAAGTCGTGCCTCCCTTTCGCACACACACACACACGGCGTGCTGAAGTGGTCACCTGCAGGTGACAGCGGACAGAAGGACACTGGTGGTTTTTGACACTGGGTGGGGGCACGGGGGGGGAGGTGATGGGGGGGGGGGGGGCCAAAGCTTATTCATGTAACCAGTCAACGGTAGTTTCTTTCCGCCACATCCACCACAACAGAGTCTCCTCCGGCATGGCGATCACCGACTTCCTGGCAGCCTCCGACATCACATCGGCGATCAGCGCTTGCAAAGGTGAGGAGACGATTCCGACGTCCCGAGCTGACGGCCTCTGTCGTCTGAACTGCTCCTGTCTGTGATTCAACTTTCAGCGAAGGACTCCTTCAGCCCCAAGACGTTTTTCAAGGCCGTGGGTTTATCCAAGAAAACTCCAACAGAGATCGAGAAGGTCTTTAAAATCCTGGACCAGGACAAAAGCGGCTTCATTGAACAGGATGAGTTACAGTTGAGTTTCACCGTACAGATTGTCCATCTATCCATCTGCAACGTTCCACTTTGCCGTCTCTTCTCTTTCTCACCTGCTGCTTCGTCTCTGTCAGACTGTTCCTGCAGAACTTCTCCAAAGGAGCGAGGACCCTGACCGCAGCCGAGACCAGGAGTTTCCTGAAGGAGGGGGACGCAGACGGAGACGGGAAGATCGGCTGGGAAGGTTGGAGGCTCAAAGTGTAGAATGAGATCTTCGTTCCTCGCTGCCAGAGAGACGGGGAATCGCCTCAGTGAATCACATGTTCAAGAATGCGCACATTGATGCCTGAGTGACCTTCTGAGTGATCACTGTCCTCCGATTCACGCACACAGCAGTAGAATGATACAGGTGTTTCCAGGTGTGAGCCATTTGAAAGAAAAGAGCACAATTAATCAGCAAAACAGTAAAAGAAAAGAGCAGCTTGTCCTCATGCAAGTGTCCCTCATCTGTTGCCTATTTTAAAAAAGTTCTCTCTCTTCTGTTTAGAGTTTTCTGCGCTGATCAAGTCTTCATAAAACACACGTGACCCGTGTGATTCATCGAGATCACCTCAGGACGGACCGTTTTTTATCGAATGCCAACCAGCTGTCGTAAATGACACAGACTCAGCCGGGGATCTTATGTGTCCACAGTCAAATAAAGCAATTCAAAAGGTGAAGGATTGTGTGTTTCCTCGTGTGTGTTCCTCCTGTCCCGGTGCCGCAGTGAGCACTCGGCCTGACGGAGGCTTCGGTTTCTACTAATTAACGGCATGAGCAGCTTCACCCTGCAAAATCAGGTGTGGGAGGGGGGGGAAACAGCTGGAACGGAGGCTCCGGCAGTGGGAGAAGAAGCTCTATGATGGGAGGAATGGGTCTCTGGCTGAGCTTCAGATGCGCTGGTGGAACTGGGACGGGGTAGAGTTTCTCTGCAGGACACATTCATCTGCACCTTCCTCTCTTCTCACTTCTATTTCTGGAGGGGACAAACTCCTGCTCTCAGGTGGGGCACTAGAAGAACATCGCCGGTTAAAAAACAGGAATCTGCCCATGCAGGGGGGGGGGGTCAGGGGGTATCAAAGACCCCCACAGCCTTACTCGATATGTGTAATTTAAACCTGATATTGAAGAAGGGCAGGAATAGTTTCAGTATCTGTGGCCGAGTCGTCCGAGGTGAGAGACCTCATGTGACCACAGGCGATGTTTAAGGCCAGAAGTTTTTAACAAGATTTGTACTGAAAATAAACATATGGTGGTGGGGGGGGGGGGGGGGGGGGGGGGGTTCTGTAAAATCCCCCCTCTTGAGCGTCTTAAGGAAAGGAGGGAACAAATTAGTCAACAAGCTCGAAGAGGCCCGACGTTGTAGAACTACATCTGGAGTCCAAACAAGAATAAATGACTCTTACGTCGCCCCTACAATTAATATATGATACAGGTCAGGTGACAATTAAAGCCATTAAAATCTGCTGATGATTCAATACGGGCGTCAATGCCACCTGATGCGTGACGGCTCCGTGACAGGCTGCACCTGTCAGGGGGGCAAATATGGGCACGGAAGGCCCCCTCGCACCGCTTCATTGCCTTCATTGTCTGCAGCCCGTACGAGAGCTGCGTGGAAGGAGGTCGACCGCACGACGGCTCCGCACCAGAGGGTCGAGCCGACGGGGGAACCTGTGATATCGGATTTGGGTGTTTCCTGAAATAGCGTCAGAAATAGTTTCATCGCCATAAGGAGAAACGGTGTGAATGGGTGAAGGAGCTCCAAAAATACAACCTGGCACACGGTGCCGAGCTTCGTGTTCAGTGGATTCTGGTGATACGTGCTGGTGGATCCTAGCAGTTATCTCAGCACGTGTCGCTTGCTGTCTAATCGGACCTCTTTGGCCCCCTGATTACACCCTGATAGATACTGCTGTAACACAGGGGAACATGCCTTTAACTTGCATGCGTTTCTCTTTGCATCTAAACCTTGTGCGTTTTTAAAATGCAATATGATTTCTGGACTCATTCCCCACATCAACCCTCGCCTGTGAAGATCAATCAACACAAACCGGCCTTTTTTTGACGCTGCAGGCATTTTATGGTCGGCGATCACAAACATTTCCCCCAAAACTGTGAACAAATCAGATGCTCGTGTAGACACGCGGCTTTAAGCACGATATGACATTACGGACGCAGCCCCCGAGGAAACAACGTCACTGCGGAACCTGTGTGAATGCCCAATAAGCAGCTGACTCCTTACAAAGCTGCCTGATAGTTTGAATAAACAATACAAGAGTTCACTCTGGCCTCCACGGTGCTCTGCACGGTTTAACAGGTCAAAGCGACGTGGCCACAGAGAACGTTTCACCCAAATCAGCAGCGTATATAATTAGCTGTGTGCAATATCAAGCACTTTTGCATAGGCCCACACAGCCTACCATTTAAGCATCTTCATTTATGTGCTTATAAATAGAACAGCTCTGTCTACTGGACACATTTTTCGACCGACTGCTTCGACTGCTTTGCACACAGTGTCCATTACATAGCCTATGCATCATATTTCCGCCGGTTGAAGGTATATAAGCTCGCGAGAGCGGCCGAGAGGTCCACTGCAGTGAACAGATTCGACCTGAGCAACCACCCCTTACCTTCAGAGATCACCCTGAGGTGAGTTGCACTGAGGAGCTGCAGACCTTTAGGCAGATCCACTGCCTGACTCAGAGTGTTTCAGGGCTTCGACTTCATGCAACGGGATACAAATCGAGGAAAGGGCCAGAGTTGGCTTTGGACTATGGAACCAAATGGGGGAAAAAAAGCTATTTTCCAAACCACTGCTGCAAAGGATACTTGATCTTTTGCCTTGGAGGGCTTGGTTTTGGGAAAATTGGACTACCTTTTCTGATGATTTGTGCCTTGTCTTTCGGGGCTGCCAGAGAGGAATACTCAGAGAGCAACTGTAAAATATATTGCATGATAAAATAATAGTAGCTCCTTAACTTTGAATGCTGAATCCTGACCTAAAGTGCAGCGAGGGAACTTAACATGCTTCATAGATTCCAAGTAAAACTGCTTAATCCTGTCTGATTTGCTACAGCCGAACTGATGAACTGATGCTTTGTCCTCTGCTCTCCTCCCTCAGCTAAAAACAAATCAAAATGGCATTAGCAGCATCCCTGAACGCGGCTGACATCACTGCAGCCCTTGCAGCCTGCCAAGGTAAACCCCACCCGACAATGACTCGATGATGCAGGCACACTTTATGTAGCCCAATTCTTTTGTTCATACAAAATCGCATTACGAGATTAAACACACACACAGAGCTCAAAGTGGACCTCTGCATCTTTGCTGCATTTACCATCCGGTGTCATTTGAAACCCATCAAGGGGCTGGATCGATAGCAGTGAGCATGCAGAACGGGACCTTGGTGGCTTCTTATCTTAGCGGACAGCCTGTTTTCTGATTCATCTCTGTGGCCCCTGTGAGAAAAAACAGTCAGAGGAACGGCAACCAACGCCACCGAAACGACGGCTGCAAAAACACGCCTCAGCTCCCGTCTGATTTGGTCTGCAATGCCTGAACGCGATCCCTCGTCTGTCTCCTCACAGCTGCCGACTCTTTCAAGTACAAGGAATTCTTCAAGAAGATCGGCCTGGCTGCCAAGAGCGCCGATGACATCAAGAACGCCTTCAAAGTCATCGACCAGGACAAGAGTGGCTTCATTGAGGAGGAGGAGCTGAAGTAGGCACTTCTCTTCTCTCGCTTTTTCACTTCCACTTTAGTGTAGGGGGACATCAGACGAGGAGGTAACAGGGCAGACTTGACATTTTGGAACCAAATTAAGGGAATTACTTGACCTCTTAAATGATTCTGAACTAAACACAAGGAGAAGAATACACTGAGCTTAAAGCCAACCAGCCAAAGAGAAAAATACAGTCCTATTTCTGTTGTGCAGGCTCATGCGGTGTATCTGCTCTCCTCCACAGGCTGTTCCTGCAGAACTTCTCTGCATCTGCCAGAGCTCTGACCGAAGCCGAGACCAAGGCCTTCCTCGCAGCCGGCGACGCTGACGGCGACGGCATGATCGGCATGGACGGTGAGGAGACAAGAAGAGCTTTTAACTTGAATTGCAACCTGATCTAAATATATGTGCGGCCCTCCAAATATCTTGAACGGACACTCATGGATTGTCTCCTCCTTCCCTCCCCCCTGCAGAGTTTGCCGCCATGGTCAAGGGCTAAATGAAGAAGTGACCAACATCTTACTTCACTACTCTAAAGGAACAACTTGAGCCAAGACATACTCCTCCTCTCCTCTTCCCCCCTCTCCTCTCTCTCTTTTCAACTCTCCACACCAGTTTTATACATTTGCCCTCCCCCCCCCCGGACCGTAACCCCCCCTGCATCTCTCTCTCTCCCCCCCCCCCTCTGGCCCTGCTATGTCCATGATGAATGTACCTGGTTGACTTGTGTCTCTCTCTCTCGCTCTCGCTCTCATTCACTCCTGTCCTTGTTTCACTATGTGAGATTTGCTTACTGTGAGATCAGTGATGATGCACTTTTATGGGAAACGGACAGACGATGAGAAAACAATAAAGGTTCTTTTTCAATAAGTCTGTACCTGGTCTTCAATACGGTTCTGATTCAGCAGATCAAAGAAACAACAAAGTGTTAATTGACAGAAAGGTTAAAACGAAACACAGTCAAGGGATCACTCTCAGCACTTTGCACTAAAGAAGATGATTTAAATGATGAATCCGAGAACAGGAAACAAGTTTTCCGAAGCACCAAATGAACAGAGCACAGTGAGTCATATAAAACAGTTATTTTAAAGTTAGATTTTTATGACGAAGGCACCGAGGCCACACTCATAAATACTGAACATTTAGCTAAAATGCTAATCCAAAGCAACAGCAGCGCGAGTGGGAATCATTTAAAAGTCTCTGTGATGTGCATCATGCAACCTAAAGATTTCTAACATTAGCCGGCATACCAGGCCAAGTAAGGCTGCAGCCGACTGCTGATACGGTGATTTACACTGAGACGGAATACAACTCCCCGGCACGCCACGTTGGATGTCTCTGCGTTGATGGGAAGCAGCCACAAGGTGGTGCATCCGATCAGTCCGAAGGCCACCAGGGTTTCACCCGCTCAATGGCTTTACATGGACCACCTGGAGGAATACAGAGACTTCATTTTCTGCATTTTTAACCTTAACGAGTTTGAGATGACGACTCACAAAGCGGTGAGTCAGAGCGCCGCCGCGTGTGATTCTCTTAAGAATAATGAGATTTATTCCCTTGGTCCTGGTTACAAAAAAAGCATCCCTTCCCTCTCTGCTGACGCCGTTAGTGCTGACCGGGTTCAGGAGGATGGGACGGCTTCCCTTTCAGACAACAACATCGTCAGCTCAGACTGGCCAGTTGTCATGGTGACCAGGTACAAACCTCGTGACCTCTGTGAAAAATAGCTTCAATCTGCTCCCAACTTGCCATCTGACAGTGAGGCATCCTTCAGCACGTCCACATGAAAACCCTAATGGGGAAAACCGCGCTTCTTTTAGTGTATCCTGGACTCGTAAACAGATTTTTGATGGTCAATTGTTTACTTCGTAAGATGTAAGACGAGATTGCCAATAGTTATTTTTTTTTTATAAAGCTTTATAATTTATAAAGTGTGTATTCCAAATGCATTGCATGAATGTAAACATAAGTATCCCATTCTGCATAAGTCCACTGTCAGAAAAATGTGAGTGTTTTTGTTTCTACTGAAACACCTTGTACGTATCAGTGAGACACACAATGTCACGCGAGGACATCACAGAGTCACATAATGACCCACTGCTCTGATTGGAATTTAGCAGATTACTCACTAAAACCAGAAAGAGGGAAAAAAAAGGGACCTGATTAAATTGGAGACATTTAAGCCGGCACACATGCACCCTGCAGAGATGGAGAGGAGGGATGGATGGAGCAAACGGTTGATTGGACAAGTCCGTGACAGCGAGGAGGAGGGGGGAGGAGATGTCAGTGGCAGATACGCACAGTGCGCGTTAATTGGCAGGTGAGGAACACGAGAAGGAGGCGGCCGGCTGCAGGAAACATCTGATCCGCCGACAGGTTGGAAACTCAAGCATCCTTCGCGGCATATAAGACGGAGGCAGCTGTCAGCGTCTCCACAAAACCTCCTCCATCTGCTGCTGCTGCTGCTGCTGCTCGGGACCCGGAGCCGGAGAGGAAGCCCAGCCAACGGCGGTGAGTCGCCCGGGGGGGGGGGGGGGGGCACACAGGTGTTGGCCAGGTGTGCTGCTGCCTGCTGCTTTGTTCTATCTCAGTCTGAAATGCTTTGTCCTGACTAACGGACGTGTTGACTACGGAAAGGAGCTGAGCAATTAAGGACCTGATGAAGTTTTTCATAATTTGGTTCATGACACTATTGTTTTTAGGCTCACTAAGCAAATGTGATTCCTATAAATAATTCATAAAAGATGCATTTACAGAACAGTTTAAGCGTACATATAAAAACACAATGTGAAACCTGTTGTCAGAGGATTCAAGTTACAAAAGCCACGTTAAGCCAAGTCTGGTTTTTCAAAGCAGGGGAACCTTTTCTGATGCAAAATTAATTGTTTTTTTAATCACTTTTAAAACGCGGACTGCTCGTCCACTCAAATAACCTTTCAATGGTCCCTAATTGCCAAATTCCTTGCACAACACAGCCCAGTCCAATTAGCGGCAGCCCCTGCATGGGGAATTACAGCAAGGCCGCCTGGTGGCTTAATTAAACCAAAAGCCTCACGCATCTGGCAGGAAAGATTCATTCAATCTGCCAAACAAATCTCATGTTTCTGCTTTTGCTGATTCTCTAAATGTTCTTCTGCCAACAAAAGAATCCTGACTTGTGTTTGATGAATATTAACCTTAATGTATCTATAGTACAAAATCAATGAATCCAGCATGACGCAGATAATAATAACACTAGTTCTTTTCTTTGAGCACACAGGATCAAGATGTCGCTGAACTCCATTCTTTCAGCTGAGGCCATTGAAAATGCTGTCAAGGACTGTCAAGGTAGCGTCTCACACACACACACACACACACACACACACACAGAAACGCCCTGCTTACCAATGTTAGAAGTCTCCACTCACGTCAAGCTCATTGTGCAGCATAAATGACTTATCCATACACGTTAACAGTAGAACACCATCACAGGATTAATGTCTTAATCTTTCAATAACTAAGTAATCCAGAGTTGATAATTCAATTTAAACCACATGCAGTTTTAATCTCCAACTCAACTTCCAACAGGCCCAATTTTCTCTCGTGCGTTTGTGTGTGTTTGCAGCTCCGGACTCATTCTGCTTCAGAAAGTTCTCCCAGCTGTGTGGCCTCTCCTCAAAGACCCCCCAGGAGATCAAAGAGGTCTTCCAGATCCTCGACGAGGACCAGAGCGGCTTCATCGAGGAGTCCGAGCTCAAGTGTGTGAGGCGACGACAGGATGTGTGATGGAACGGCTCTGCGTGAGAGCGCTGGTTCTAGTCCTGATGCTGTGATTCATTTGCACCTCGACTCACTGTAAATGTCTTAATCTGCTGTTGGGTAAAGGACTATTGCCTTTGGGTCATATAATCCAGCCGGGGGAGCGACCCAAGCTGTGAGATTCAGGAATATGCGCGTTTATGTGCGTTTATGTGCTTATTATTGTGCAGAATTGACTCCAATGATTACAGCGCATGTACCCGTGGGTGTGTGTGTGTATTTCTAGGTACTTCCTGCTGCGGTTTGTCCCCGGAGCACGAACACTGACTGAGGCAGAAACCAAGAGCTTCATATCAGCCGCTGATGATGATAGCGACGGCAGAATTGGAGTACAGGGTTGGTATCTAAGTTCTTACCTTCTGTTTGTAATACTGCAGGCATGCATTATTAAACCTTTTTGCTGTAGAGGTCAGAATGAATCCATCCTTTGAGCTCAGATTTAAAAACATACAATGTGTCTTTCTTATATTTTTTACCACCTTCAGGTATTATTTTTGCAGATGATTCACAGCCAATTCAACTGGCTTTTTCCTCCTCTAGAATTCCAGAAAATGGTCCTTTCCTGAGTTTTACAGACGATAGGAGCTCAAGTCTTCAGGTCTTCAGTCCTCCCTCCCCAGGAGCCTTCTGGTCCAAGCTTCCATTCCCTTGTGATCTTTTTCTATTAAATGCGGTGTGTGCTAATTGTTTTTCAAACTTAATTTAATGTGTCTTTCCTATGGCTACTTTTATATTTTCTTTTCTGTGAACACCCCACATCTATCATGGCATTAAATAAACATGTGGAAACACAGATCAAGTCTTTGTACTTATGTCCTCTGTAATTGATGGATTAATGCAAAGAAATGGTCTAAAATGATTCTTCATTGCATTTATGTTCAACAATAATTCATAAATGTGCACAAATGCTAGCAGATTCATCAAGAGGATAGAGAGAGCCAGGAATAAGTATGGGGAATAAAAACCTGATTGGGTTATTTTGCATGTCTGAATTTGACAAGAGAAAAAGTTGCAAAAAACCTTATTCTTTTTTGATTTCATGCCCACTTGGAATATGATTACAGTTTATCTATTTGTATTTAGTATAAGAGTAAGCCGGGGTGTAAAGGATTTAATGTGTTTACAAGGAAAACGTTTTTAAAAAGTTGTGTTCATAGTTATACAGTAATTATTGTGTTGGTATCGGTTATTATAAGTTAATAGTGTTACCATAATCGTAAAGTAAAGTGAGGATTTCATCCTCTATACACAATGTATCTTCAAAAGTATCCAATATGAGACACAGCTTAAAAGAAATATTGCATTTACTCACATCTTTGCACATTCAAAAGTACATGTGATATCTCAGTTACTCAAATTCCCAGTATGGAGTAGGAACCTTTATTTGAAGCAATTGGTTAAACACGAACAGTTGAACTTGTGACACCGCGCTGTCAAAAGCAGGAAGTTAAACATGTAAAGTATTATGCGGCATCTCCTCTCACGATCTCCTTTGCTGGTTTTTTGTTTTTATTTATACACTTTCTGACCACGTTCACATGCACGTGTTTGATCAATAAGGTGAGTCTTACCGGGGTGTTTTTATTTTACCGTCACGGTTCCTTCCGCCAGGAACACAACTCCTCTGCTAGTAGCCGGCTAACTAGCTGCTCAAACTGACAGCTAGCCGGCTAACTAGCTGCTCAAACTGACAGCTAGCCGGCTAACTAGCTGCTCAGACTGACGTTAACTAACATCGGTCGGTTGTTGGTGGTTGTGCTTCTAAATGCGTAGTTATGTCGTATGTTTCATTCAATGGGTAGTGAGTTAACGCGACATCGAGAGCGTGAAGCATCGATGGGTTTGACGGCAGCTCAGCCAACTGTTCCCTCTTTTAACCGGTTTTATTTTGTTGCAAAAGTAAGTTAAGTTGTCTCCGGGATGCGGAGGTCACAGCTATCGTTATCCAAGTCAATATTCAAATACTCTTCTACGGAAAACGAACCTGCTGAAATTTTCCCTCCTCTGCATTTATCTCATTTTAGTGGTTTCTACATTACATTCAAAGGTTGTTTTTTTTTTAACTTTATTGGATTGTTGTGGTTCTAGTTGGCGGATCAGCTGCATTCATTAATCCTTACGCAGTGTTTTTAAAGAAAGAATAACTTCACATGGAGCCTGCGATTCACCTTTAGGGTTAACTAATTACTAGCTGAATGCCTTTCAATGCAAAAGCCCCGCAATACTCCAACTCCTTACTTTGACCTGGTGTGCGTTAACGGTAATTGTCTGCGTGTGAAAGTCAATAATTATTATCTCACCAATGTGACTCTCTTCATCCTGCAGACCCACGGCATGCTCACCAAACTGTCTTTGGAGCAAAGGAAATCCAGCGACAAGTCACACTAATGCTGACGATTAGGTAAAGCGGACCTGGTTGTGTGATGATATCTAGAGGCCTCTCAGTTTTTAACTGCATATTTGTATTTCAACTTTCCCTTTGTGTCTGTTACAGTCCCAGAATGGCCGCAGGAATGCAAGAGAAACAGTTCACAGTATCCCTGCTCAATTTTTTCATTTACAACCCCACATTTGGGCCACGTGAAGGAGAGGTGAGGATGATTCCTAGATGAATATGTGCAAAGCAGATGTTTCACAACTGAATTTAGATTATTCTGATAATTCAGAAACCCTTTTGATTGCGCAATTGCTGATTCAATATGTGTTTATAGGAGGAGAAGAAGATCTTGTTTTACCACCCCAGTGATGTGGAGAAGAATGAGAAGATCAGAAATGTGGGCCTTTGTGAGGCCATTGTTCAGTTCACAAGGTGAAGACCTGAATACTTTAAAACAGAAGCACAGTAAAACTAGAGCAGCGTTTTTCCGCCTGCAGGCATTTCCTTGTTGGTTTTCATTTCTTTGAATCTGAGATAGAAGTGATTAAGGTGGTCAGACGCACGCCGATGCATATGTAATGCCTGTAAAAGCACAGATTAAGTGGCTGATCCTCTGGTTTTTGTGTCTCATCGCTGTAACGTCTTTTTATCTTTCAGGACTTTCTGTCCAACGAAACCTGCCAAGTCTCTGCACACACAGAAGAACCGTCAGTTTTTCTTTGAGGCTGAGGACAATTTTTGGATGGTCATGGTAGGGGAAAGGCTCACATGTGCATTACTCCAGTGTTCACGCTGTTTGTCTGGAGGGTCGGTTGACCGTCTATATATCATCCATTTATATCTGCCGCACTTTACTTCAATTTCCTTCCTCAGGTGGTTCGAAACCCAATGGTTGAGAAACCAAACAAAGATGGTAAACCTCCCACAATAGAATACCAGGAAGAGGAAATACTTGTGAGTACTAAGAAAAACCAGTCAACATCTGTATTTCTTTGATGTCATGAACGTTTTACCTAACATGTCCTCTTGACTCTGTAGGACACTGTTTATGGTGCCGTGGTAAAGGAATGCTACAGTATGTACAAGGTGAGTTTCAGTAGGTTTTAGAATCTGTCTGTTTTTATAACATTGTTCTTCTAAAGGCCATATAACAACACCCTTACAGTAGCTCAGATTACCGATATATAGACTCTTCATAATGCCAAAAGAATCCTTCAATAACAGTTGTTGTTGTTGTTGTTGTTGTTGTCTCTTGTAGCTTTTCAACGGCACCTTTGGCAGAGCGATGGAAGCCGGCGGAGTGGAGCTGCTAATACAGAAGCTTGAAAAGTTCTTCTACCGGGTAAGAAGCTCATCTCTGAAAGAAACGCATGCTTCACTTGGGAAAGTCGTTGAAAAGGTGCTCGTCCTTTTTTGTTATCTGTCTACCTTCGCTGCCTTCACCCCACAGCCGCGTCCCGAGTGACTCCGCTCCGACCGCTGAGGCTTATGTGAAAGTATAAAGAATTAATTTCTCATTAAGGAACACCCTCCTTAAGTTAACACAGGCTTCCCTCGCCGTCGTGTAACCCAAAGACGGGGAGAAAGTGATGCTGCGGTGTTGGTATCAGAGGTTGAATGATGTAATCGTCTCAACAGGGCATCAGTCAGAGTTTCTAATTCCTTTCTTTTAATATTGCACTGTAAGCAATCTGTGGGTAAACTGACCCTTATCTTCCTCTCCTGTGTTTTGGGCTCGTGTGCACCTGCGTGCGTCTCCAGTATCTGCAGACTCTCCACTTGCAGTCCTGCGACTTGCTGGACGTATTCGGAGGCATCAGCTTCTTCCCACTGGACAAGATGACCTACCTGAAGATCCAGTCCTTCGTCAACAGAGTGGAGGAGAGCCTCAGTCTGATCAAATACACCGCCTTCCTGTACAACGACCAGCTTATCTGGTACGGACTGAGCACTGGTGTGTGTGTGAGTGTGTGTGTGTGTGTGTGTGTGTGCTCTGTAATGTTGTTGTGTGTGCAGGAGCGGACTGGAACAAGATGATATGCGGATCCTGTACAAGTACCTGACCACCTCGCTGTTCCCCAGACACTCTGAACCAGAGGTGAGGAGGCACAGGGACAAAAGCTAAAGGGAGCAGGGAGGTGTTTGTAAGACGGAGAGAAGAGGCTCACTCCTAGAAAACCATTGCAAAGCATCCCTCTTGTAAATGCACGACCGTCTTGGTCTTACTTCTCCCGAATATGACATTTACAATCCACTCATTTCCCCTTTAACCCGTCGCCCTCTTTTCTATCTGCGTCTCTCAGTTGGCCGGCAGGGACTCTCCTCTGAGGCCGGAGGTCGCAGGGAATCTGTTGCACTATGGCAGGTGGGTCGCTGGTCTGTATGTGGGAGCATGAATAACATGTGAGCTAATGTGCAGTCCACAGAGTGTCTGAAGAGGAGACACCCTTGGCAAACACTTGTTTAAGCAGGAGGATGATTATTACTTCTGCTTCAGGGTTAAAATCCTTTTGTTTGGTTTCAATACACATTAGTAACAAGAAACGGTTTCCTCAGGTGTTAACCCACATCTGCATAATGTGCAGATGCTGCATTGTCTACATTTGGCATCATGGGGCAGGAAACACAGCTCAAGAGGTCTGACACACCAGAATGTAACGAGTATTTGAGTCTCTGATAAAACCACAAGTCACAAGTAGCAACCAGCTGTAGAGTAAGAAGCAAGGAGAACATCGTCATGGTTCCACCCTAATGTTGAGCCGCGTGCTTCGAGTCCCGAGCAGCCGAAGCACAACAGTGAGTTCCTTGTTCCCACGGCGGTCTTGCCCTTTGGACCGGCCGTGGAGAAGTCAACGACTTCTGGTCCATTTATAGTCCCGTTTCGCAGTGGCTCTGACTTCGATATTGAACGTCACACTTGGGACATTAACTCTCCCCTTTGTCCACTGCAGGTTTTTGACCGGTCCCACTAATCTCAAAGACCCGGAGGCTAAATTCCGATTCCCTAAAATATTTGTGAGCACCGAGGACGGCTACGAGGAGCTGCACCTGATCGTATACAAGGTGAGGAGGAGCAAATGGGATCTGCCAGGTCATCAGACCTCAGGCTCAATCCTTCAGGGGTTTTGGTGTGGGGGTGGTGTAGGGGGGGTTAAATATTTTAGAATGATTTCTATAATCTGTGATTTCTATTCTGCTGCTCTATCAAGAAATCATCTGGGTTTTGGGGGATTAGACAGCTCCATTTTAAAAATGATGAAGTACGTCCGATGTTGCTCGTCATCACATTAATGTGCTTTCCAACCTGTGTGACCTTGATTCCAGGCGATGAGCGCCGCAGCTTGTTTCATGATCAGCGGTAAGTGTGCTTCGCCGCCCACCTGCTGTCGCTTCAGTAACGGATGCAGTTCACTTCTACTCCCCGGCTGGATGTGTAAAGAGAACGGTCATTATTTAAGGGGGTTTTCTAGTACGAAGGACAATTTACTGCTATTTGAAATGCTGAAATATGCTATTCTTTCTTTTTCCAGCTCATGTCTGACTACCTTCTCCCCTCCTTCTCGTTCCAGCCTCGGCGGAGCTGACGAGGGACTTCTGCGAGCAGCTCGACGGCTTGGTGGGCCCCCAGCTCACTCTGCTGGCATCTGACATATGTGAACAGTTCACAGTAAACCGCAGGATATCCGGGTCAGTTCAGAATCCACCGCTCTCCTGATCAACAACGTACCAGCCGCTGAGGAGGACTTTGTACTCGGACATCTCTTCCTTTTAATTGGCTTATGCCATTTACATCATTGATAACACAAGACGAGCTTGTTAGGCTGCAGCATAAGCGCAGTGGATGATGACATCTAAACTAGCGGCGTCATCTTGTCCGACGAAAACGTGTATTGCCTCAAACGAAAGCGTCTCTCTTACAAACAGCCGTGTTGTTTATTCGTCGGTTAAGTCACAGTTTTAACCCCAGCCGTTGGACTGAGACACGTCCTCATCTGTAATCCACGACCGGGCTCCAGACCCGTTGGATGGGCTCCATTTTAAACCAACTAGTGAAATATGCACTGAATAAGTGATGCCGTCCCAAACTCCTCCGCTGTCATTGAGTTCTGGTGTGTTCGTAAATAATTCAAGGTTGTATGTTTAAGTACATAGCCGCTCTTTTCCAGCGCTGCACTCGCCGTTGTGCAGTAATAACTGTCCTCAGCTCACGTTAATGCGGGCGGAGCACAACTTGGATGTTATCATCCAAAGTGTTTTGGCTTACTGCATTATTTATTAATGTCTGAGCTAAAATAACCTTTAAAGGGTGCTTATTTTAATGTATGTGTTCTTTTCGTTGTGTCTATTCAGTCCAGAGAAGGAGCCCCAGTTTAAATTCATCTACTTCAACCACATGAACCTGGCGGAGAAGAGCACCATCCACATGAGGAAAACCGCCAATGTTTGCCTCACCTCTGTTCACCCCGACCTCATGAAGATCCTGGGAGACATCAACTGTGACTTTGCCAGGTACAGCAGAGAAACTCTTCGTTCTATCTAGAGCAAATGACACCAGAGATCATCATCATCATCTGAGCCGAAATCAGATTGTAGAACTAAAAGTCTCCTCAGCTCTGAGGGGTTTTCACAATTCTCAAAGCAAGGAAAGAAATATGAAAAATACAAACTCTCTCCACGGTGTGAGTCGTTTTACACATGATGCTGCCGGGATGTTTTTAAACTGACTCTGTTTTGAAGCAGTCACGGGACCGAAGTCATGAGAGAATCCCATTTTCAGTCCGAGGGACATTCATAACATTTATGTAATTTATTTGTGACACTATCAGTTCCTCTTTAACTGCAGATGTGTCATTAATTATGTAACTACGTTCTAATAAGAAGTTAAATGTTTTAGTATTCTAACTTTGAACATGTGCATCATTTCTGATTCATCATTAGAAATAGTAAGTTATATTTTTTTAATTGGATTTTCTGTGTATGAAGAGCAGTTGCCCTTAGAACCTACTGTAAATGTGGTAATTCTTTTATTTAATGTTGCTCTGTTAATGCTCTGTGGCACCCAGGGTTAATGAGGATGAAGAAATCATCGTAAAGGCAATGACAGACTACTGGGTAGTTGGCAAGAAGTCAGACCAGAGAGAGCTGTATGTGATCCTGAACCAGAAGAACGCCAACCTGATTGAAGTAAACGGTACGTGTCAGCGAGGCGTAAATCCGTGTCATTACCGCCCATCACAAAGGATAATCTGCCTCCATGCCTAATCTCTTCTTTGCCCTCAATGCTCTTTGTCTTTCTGCTCTACAGAGGAGGTTAAGAGGCTTTGTGCGACGCAGTTCAACAACATTTTCTTTTTGGACTGATGGAGCTGTGAGACGGAGGCGATTTCCCTACACTAAAAACTGTCAGCGTTGCGGCATATTATGACAGCATCAGCGTAATGCAATAATTGCATTGTAAAATAAAAAATAAAAATTCAAAGCTTTGTAACCAGGTTTGTTTCTAATTGAATCTATAGCATTGTGACTTTCTACTGTAATTAAATGTAAATCCAGATTTTAATTGTAAATGCACTTTATTTTCTTTGATTTACTTTGTACATACTTTTACTTTTTTTTTTGACTTGGGATATTGTCTCATCCACAATTGAAAATCTCAAATTAATTTATAAACTGACAACACAGAACTATTTGCTCCAGCTTAATTTGATAATCAGTCATAGTTTTAAAATAAGATGTTATTGTGCTTTGCAAACAACTGTTATCTTTAAATAAATTAAGGAGGCATTTTATTTGGTGTACGGTAGTTTTTTGTTTCAAGATGTTAAAAACTGGAACCTTAAAAAAGACACTTTCAACCAACAGCATCAGAGGTAATTTATTAAACAGTGGAACAGCGTCCATTTACAACAAACCAAACCGTTTAAGAAACGGTTGCTACAAAAAACGTAGAAGAAGAAGAAAACGAACCAATCAGTGATGACCACCCCTTTCGATTTACAGCCAATCAGCGTCGCCGTGGATGAATTTCAAAAAAAGTGCCCCGCCATGATTGTTGTCTAACATCAAGCTGAAGCAGGAACCGTACTTAACTTGTTTTGATTTTTTTTACTGGACTGCCAGCAGAGTCTTTCTATCATTTTATTTTTCGTTGGGAGATAAAAGGTAAGACGTGTGCTTTGATATACTTTCTAAGAACACAGTTATACTACTTTTGTTCGCCGCTTGACCGGTTTAACCGTAGTTCAGTTCGACGCTTGCTCGTGCGTCGTAAATACACTTTGGAGTTCCTTTGGCCCGTTAGACAGGCAACGTGCTAACTTTACGTTTCGTATTAATACACAACGTGTTGCTGTTCACTCGGACTAGCCTCGATCGGACTTTACCATTAACACGGAACGTCTGACGGTGACCCGCAGCTTTAAGCTAACGTTAGCCAACGTCCGGCTGTTGTGTAGCTAACGTTGCATAGTTCAGGTAAACGTGTCGCACGAAAATTAGCGACCCGTTCTCGATCTTCGTGTTGTGCCGTGGAGTAATTTTTATAAGGGTTAATCGAGGGTCCGTGGAAAACTATGACGTGATGTTGAGCTTAGTGACGTCATTTTTGAGATCCTGACTGACTTTAAAGAGTTTTGTTAAATTAAATGATAACCCAGTTGAGTGTATAATAATGACAACATGTACTAGATGCAGTTTTGACTGATTCCCATCTGAATGCGTTGTTAAAGCAGAGAACTTTCCTCATTTATTTATATATAATTATTTCAGTTAATCATTTTTTCCCCAGGTGGCATAACGTCCAGCACATCCAATATAATGCAGCAGCACCTCACATTCCCCCCCCCTCTTTACTCCAGATTCCTGAACATGGATTCTGCATTCGCCCACCTGCGCCAGCGGGACACCAGCGTGTCGATGCTGAGGGTGAAAATGTCCCGCAGGAGATCTCAGTCCCAGAAGGAAAACCGAGAGCGGGTGGTGAACACACGCAGGCAGCTGGCTGAGCTCCCGGAGCTGGAGATGTCTTCCCTGGATGCCTCCATTGCCACGGTGAACATTTCAAACATTCAGGGGAAGACATTGAACAATGGCAAATCTGCTAAAGGTACGTCTACCAAACTCCAACATAATCACGTGTTCCCAATAAGTGCCCCACAGCCTTGACCCCCCCCGCCCCCCCACGCCCGCCGCCCTCACCTTCTTCACAGACGTGGCCGGAGAAGAGCGGTTGAAACAGCTCGCGCGCTGGAAGGAGCGTAAGGCTCTTGAGAAAGAGAAGGAAAAGAGAGAACGTAAAGGGGTATTCAAGACGGGCATGTATCACCCCAAGGACACCCTGACCATTCCCTCTCTGCCCGTAGTCCCGGCTGCCTCAACCAGAGCAAAAGAAGTGAGGGATTTTACTATTTACTGTAAACGTCTCCTATTTGATACAGTGACCTGAATCACAACAGGTGTGGCTTCGTTTTGCATTTATAGTCATGAATGACTCCAAATAATCAACATGTCATTTCTTGTGCTTTTTATTTCAGACAAAGATGAGCTCGACTTCATCACAGAGTGTTCGAGTCACTCGGTCGATGAAACAGCAGCAGCAAATTGAGAGGGTAATTCTCCTCTGAGAAACCTTCATTATGCTCTCCTATTAACTTCCATAAAAGGCAAATCTAATGTTCACATCGTTGCATCTCTTTTCTTTAGACAACCTTTCTACAGCCTCTGACGGTGCAAGATCCAAAAACGCTGGCAAAAAAAGGTGCGTTAATCTTATTATTATTTTAAATGAAGGGCGCCATCTTCTGTGACCTTGTGTACTTCAGACCTGACCTCTCGTCACCCCCCCTGCAGCTCAAGCTGCTCTGGACAGAACAACCAGGAGCCGCGTGGCTCCTGTCAAACGTGCACCTGCTCCGGCTACTGCCAAGATTCACGATCCTGCAGGTGAGTAGTGACAGTAAACGTCCTCCCACCCAGCTGGGAGTTTGGGCCGGATATTGTGTTCGCCCTGTTGTGTTCCCTTATGTGCATCTCATTCTGCGTCACGCCTCCCTACTGAAGTGGAGCCCGCCGTGCGAGCTTTGAGGTCCAAGTCGGCCAGCAGGCCGGCGGTTACAGCAGCTCCTGTGGTGGCGAAAGACAAACCGATGGGTGAGTCTGCAGCTCGGCATCGCGGAGACTGAAGCTGCTGTTGTGGTTTGACACAACTGCTGTTTAATGTTCCTAAATTCCTCTTTACCCTCAGATGTAAGAACCACGAGAAGCCGAGCATTCATCAACCACGTGGCCCCCTTTTCTTACAGAGAAAACGACTGTAAAGGTATCGTTAGATGTCGGTCAAGAAGCTGATCTGTTTCACATTGCTTACATTAACATCTTGTCCCATTTTATGTTCATCTCCCTCTTTTTTCCTCAAATATTCAGCAGCTGTTGAGGCGGATGTGACCATGGTGAGCGTTCCTTTGGGTTTCACGCCCTCTGTTAAAGCTGCGCCTACATTTTCCCCAGTGAAACTTGGCCTGATACGCGTTCTGTGTTGTGTAGGAGTCGCAGGAAACGCCGCGTCCCCCCGGCCCGGCGCCCTCCTCTGAAGAGCAAAACGTGGCGGTGGAAGCTCCTGCCGTCGCGGTTGAAGAGGCCTCCTCTTTTGCTCCAAAGGGTTTTATGTTCAAGGCTCCCGTCGGCTTGTCGTCCTTCAAGTTCGAGCCTCTCACTCCTCGCTCAGCAGACGCCTTCCTTACACCCAGGTCGGCCCCAGCGATGCTCAGCGTTCTGTGGTTTATCACGGGAAAGTTGTTTCCTGTCTCAACGCCATGCTGTTGCTCTTCCTGCGTAGCCCCAGCTTCAGCCTTCCAGAGGTCCCCGCGTTTAACCTCCAGCCCCCGGGTGAGCCGAGTGACTCCTCCCCCTCCAAGTCCCCTCGCCGCTCTCCTCCCTGCGAAGCCCCCGCGACTACAGGCAGCCCCCTGGAATCCAAACGGGGCGTGCCGTACTTCAGGTGGCGTCCCGCTTCACGATCTTCCTGCTCCGATGTTTCCAATTGCTTTTCGATTGGTTGAAGTTTGTACAATAATTAGTTCTCTGTGTGATTTCAGGTTGGAAATCGTGTCTGAAACCGAAGGACTGATGACCCTGTGCGCCGACTGGGAGCCTAAAGTGGAGGATGAGTCCATCCCAGAAGAGAGTGAGTGGGCGGGCTGTGTGCCCACGCCGTGGTGTCCGTAATGGGGGGGGGGGAAATGACATCATTCCCCACGGTGAGAGTCGTAACTGTCTGTCTGTCTCAGTGAGAGACCGCATGCGTACCGCTGTGGGCCAAGCCAGGCTGCTGATGAAGGAGCGCTTCAAGCAGTTCAGCGGGCTGGTGGAGGACTGCGAGCTGGGCCGGGGGGAGAAGATCACCACCTGCACTGACCTGCAGGGCTTCTGGGACATGGTGTATTACCAGGTGGGTGTCCACAGGAGAACGAGGCGGGACAACACAGTGTTTCAGACAGCGATCCTCATGCGCGCTCTGTGCTTGTGCCGTTCTTTGAGGTGGAGGATGTCCATAAGAAGTTCAACGCTCTTAAAGTAGCAGAGGGCCGAGGCTGGGTGGAGGAGCACGAGCCCCCACCCCCCCGACAGAGGAAAGGGGTGAAGGTGAAGACTCTTTCTAAATATCCAGTGGTCCTGGCGTGGACGTAAAGGCTTAATAACGTCTGCATTGTGCATTTGACAGAAACCACCGTCGGCTGCACCCGCCAAGGCGACAGGAACCAATCAGGCCGCCAGGTCTCGCCTGGCGGCCGTGAAGGCGGCCATGAAAGCCAAACAGCAGGCCGCCGAGGCAGAGAAGGCAGCAAAGGACGCCGGCGCTGCGGTAGAAGACGCCGGCCCGAGCTCCGAGGAGTCCGAGTCCCGAGCCGAGCCCCCAGCGACGGTGGTCTTTGACGGGGGCTTCTTCCAGGTGGAGAGCCCGGCCAAGCCGCCAGGTGAGCGAACGCCTGAAGGCCTCACTGTCGCTATCAGCTTCTCCCCGCTGGGCAAACGATGACGCCGTCGTATGTCTGCAGGCTCGTTGAGGAGAGCCGGCCGTCCGAGTGCTGCGGCGCTGCCTCAGACCCCCCCCTGCTCCAACTACCTCTCGCTTAGGAGGAGCACGCGGCGATGCCTGGCACTGCCACAGACCCCCCTTCTCACCGCCGCCTCTCCCGCCCGACCCCGCCACACGCCCGCCCGCCTCACCCTGGACCAAGCGCCGGCGTCCCCGCGTGGCACTCCTCGGGCATCCCGCCACAGGGCGAGCAACAGCTCCCTTTGTTTCTCCCCCGTCAGGGACGCGGCGGCCGTGCAGGGAGGCGCGGCTCCGGCGTTGAGCGCGCCCGCCGCCGAGCATTCGCTTCCGTCCATCTGTGTCGCCGAGGAGCCAGCCGGTGTGTGTGTGGACCTCCCTCGCTCCCCGTGCAGAACCCCGCAGCGCTCGTTATCCCCGAGTTTCTCGCTGTCGCCCAGTGTGACTCCCAGCCGGCCTCCCACCTCCTCCCCCCCTGCTGTGCTGAGTCCTGAAGAGGCCCAAGAGTCTGTGTGTCTCACACCAGGCACTTTGGTTGTTGAGGTAAACACACGTCACTAAATGTCATTAAAACAACCGAGTGAATTTTATTGAACTGTAAAATCCACACGTTTTTTTTTTATTTATTTTGCTCTGCAGTAAACAAAGTATTGTGTTTTTGTTGTTGTTTTCAGGAGATTCCCGGGTTGGACTTTGAGCGTTACCTTCTGCCGTCTCAGAGAAGCAGCCTGTCCCCCGGGGGGCTGGATGTGGAGATGGAGAGCCCCAGAGGTCAGACAGAGGACCTGCTTACGCTGCCGGAACACGGTATGATTGTTGCCTCTGGGAAAGCTGTGCGCGCGCACACACACACACACACACACTGTGTGTACGCCTGGTTTCATACCATAACAACACCAATTTAAAACCATGAATTCTCTTTAGGAAATGTACCTGCAGTTCTCTGAGCTCCTCTTTAACTGTCAATCCTGAAATATCAGGCCGCGCTGATAAACCGTAGTGATGGCTCTGTTATGAGGGACCGTTTTAAACTCCTTTCTTCGCTCACGTCTCACGTCCTCACAGCCCTTCCAGCGGTGGGTTCAGCGCTAAACCTTCAGTCACCACAGGTCAAAGTTCTTCCTTTCTTTCTCTTTTGGTGTCTTTTTATTTAAAAAATGTATCTTTTAATCCACATTGGACTTAATTATCACTGCTACATGTTGTGTGTCATTGCTGAATGATCTCACTGTGTTTGTCTTCATGCGCTCTTTAGTCGACCATGCTTCTCTTCACCCCGGACCTGAAGGATCGGATCCGCCAGTCCGTCTGTCCAAGTGACCTCATGGTCTTCACACCTCCCCTCTGATGTGCAGCCCAGACATTATCTTATACTTTTCTACAACCTTTTTACTGATGAAAATATGAAATATATATGTAAGTGACAGGAAAATGTGTAAATATATTTGTGTTTACAATTAAAGTTCTAGTTACAACAAAGTGGAACTGTCATCTTCATTTATCCCCGTTTTATTTTATTGGTCACTGTAGTTCAGACAGAAACAATGGCCCCTCTACCTGTAACACAGGAGTGAGATGCTGCTGCGATGGGGGCTTCTGGTAGGAGCGGTGATGTGATGCCATCTAGTGGCTGTTCTGATGCATTTATCATGAAAGCGCCCAGTGAAGAACTTGGATTTCCTTCATTTAAATAAGTTGGTTTCTTGGGTAAATCTAGAAGAAGGCTTCATTGATTAGAAAATACTCTCAGCTGACCAAGCTAAAAGGCTAGCTGTGTGTTGCTGGAGGTGCTGCCTGTCCCTCTGGGGGGGGCTTTGGCTGAGCAGGAGGTCTCTGTGCCTCCCGGCGGAGCTTCTCCTCCTCAATTCTTCTAGACACCAACTGGTTGTGTTCAAAAGCCGGGAAGAAGACGTGTTTGAAGAACTGGTGGATGGTCTGCTTCCGGAGCTCCACCTCGCAGCCTCGTGCCTCAATTCCTCTGCTTGGTTCCTCTTTCGTCTCACTGCTTTGCCCTGAAGGGATGATGACACACAATCTGTTCTCCAGTCACAGCACTTTGTTCGCTTTCTCAGCAAAGCTTCTCGAGGAGTGCAGAAGTCCTTTTCCCGTCTACAATTCATACTTAATAAATACCAACAAACCTGCAGACGGAGGTTTCTCAGAGGCTTTAGTCTCAACATCTTGTTGACTCTCAGCATTCTGATCAGTGGACGTTTCTGCTGCATCATTTGACTTCCTTGTCTAAGAAAAGATAAAAATACAATAGTTCTTTAAACTCGGCGCCCTGCATATTTGTGTGATCTGACGATTTACCGATAAGGCTTCTGCAGGTCTCCCTTCACATAACGGAGGATGTGTGATTATGATTAAAGACACTCGTGTGAAATCAATGCCGAGGTGAAGCACTGACTGAATCCATTTGATGCTACACCAACCTCCACCGCTGTGGAGCTGCACATGTCAGGAGTGATGGGCGAATCCACTGGAGAGTTAATCCTCTGTCTGTTCTCTTGTGTGAGATTCACAGTTTTATTCTGCAGCTTCATTAACAGCAGAATCCCAGTCTGAGCTTCTAAAAATCACCTCCGTGACACGCTCACTGGCCTCTGCCTCGGGGCCTGATGGGGAGGACAGGCCCCCCCCCAGCGCTTCGGACCCCCGCTGACACGTCACCTCAGCAGAGCCCAGAAGTACCTCAAAGAACTCCAGGAATGTAATCTGCAGCAGAAGAAGTGGGAAAAGGGACTAAAGGGAAGGTAGATGAATGCTAATCTGCTAATGAACCATTAGAAGGAGACGAGGGAGTCGGGGGGGAGGGCGGGGGAGAACGCTACGGGCCGACCTCCACGTCCAGGCAGGCAGACGGGTTGTCGCGGTCGCGGCTCTCTGCTGTGATGATCTGCAGTAATCTCGCAGGGGTCAGGTTGGTGTCCAGCAGGCGGAGATCCTGGAGGGGTCAATAAAATATTCACCAATGGGTCGAAATGAGAGAATGAAATGATTGATTTGCATGATGAAATCTTTGTGTTGCAGCATGTTGCACCTTGAACATCCCCAGCAGGTGTCTGCAGGTCACTTTCCGGCCTCTGTTGTAGGCCTGATAGACGTCCCAGCTCCTCTTTGAGTAGCTCACGGCCACCGCCGCGCAGTCCGGCTGCCTAAACACGAAGCCTGGATCACAACTGCAGTTACGCCACTATTCCTGCACAACGCGGCGCCTTTGTCTCCGTCTCAACAGCGTCCGCACCTTTAACGTTCTTGTAATTAGGGAGGACGTTGTCCGTCATCAGTTTGGAAAAGCAGGCTGCCAGGAGGTGATTTTCTGACCTGCGAAAAGAGGGAACGTGTCTCTGCTGCGACATCAGTCCTCCCTGAACCAAAGTACCGGGCCAATTGACTCTGTAAGCAGACATTCCTTACGCCGCGTCCTTGTGGTAGATGTGGAAGGCCGCGATCACAAGACAGCTGAGGAGCGTACCCAGACGGATGGGAGCGAAAGGAGAGCGGATCTCCGCTGGGGGGGCACCCTCTGGCAACACAGAGTGAAAGCATGAAGCCACAAATGTCCTGTGATGTGTATTCGACGCGCTGCAGTCCTGCTCACCGCCGATGAAGCGGTCCATCTGCGCCGGGCTGATGCCGTGCCGGTGGACGTTGCAGTCTTTGAGGAGGCGCCACAGCTGCAGGCGGGACAGCAGGAAGCTGCCGCCCGGGGAGGGGGCCCGGCCGAGTCCGCTGTAGAAGCTGTACGCAGACCGCAGCTCCGCCCGCTCTCCTCAGCACCGCGAACTCCACCTGTTTGCACGCGAGTCAGAGCATCAGAGCAACGACAACTGAAAGACAAGCAGAGCGGTGTAAGATGGGGGGGGGGGCGACCTGTTTGAGCTCGGCGCTGCGCTTTGTCTCGGGGATTCTCTGCAGGAGACACTCGATGTTCAGAGGCACGTCTGTGGTGGAGGTGGGTGAAGGTGTTAATGGACACGGCGCTGCTGGACCTGTTCGTGCTGCGGGTGACTCACCGGGTGGAGCGGTGGAGGCTTTGCCAGCGGTCAGGTTGAGTATCATCATCTCTCCCTCAAAAACGTCCCCATCCTTACAAGGGCGAAAGTCGTGATGCAACTTCCCAGCAGGGGCAAACCGAGCTGGTTCACCCTGAATTCGTGTTGACTGTGAGGCAGCTCTGTACAACTGACCAACCTTGCCGTGTGTTTCGTTCCGTCTGCGTTCCTCTTCACAACGACCCCGGACGAAATCCCCGCTGTAGCGATGGCAACACCGCGACCCGTCGGCGCGCCGCGCGGCCCGCGCGTGCGTGCCCCGTCCGTGCTTCCCGGCGGAGAGGACAGAGACGGTGAGCATGCAATCACATCAGTGCGACACGGACACGTGGGCGCCAGCCTGCTCTCCTACTTGGACTCCGTTGTGCCACGTCCCAACGTACTGCTGTCCCAGATTCAGCCAACGCATCGTGCCCTCGCCGTGTCTCAGGTTGTTCTTCCACTCGCCGGAGTAAACGTTTCCCGAGGGGTAGCTGCGGAGACACCGGCGTCACCTTTGACCTCCGGGCAGTTCAGAGGCCGCGCCGCGGATTCGACCATGTGCTGCATACATACCGTCTCACCCCCCACCCCTCTCGGTTGTTCCTCACCCAATCGCCTTTGTACCATGACGTCTTGTCCTGCGTGTAATACACGACACCCTGAAACAGCAGGAGAAACCGTTACGCGCACACAAGGAATAAAAGGACTGGAGGCTAAGGTGTGGACGGGTGGGGCGCACCTGGCCGTGCCTCCTCCCCTGAGCCCACTGGCCCGTGTATGACGCTGCGTCCAGTTCACCGCGGTACGTCCCAGTCCCATGCCGCACGCCACCGCGCACCTCCCCCTCATAGGAGCTGCCATCGGGCCAGGTGTAGGTGCCCTTGCCCGTGGGCATGTTGCACACAAATTCTCCCTGATGGATTAGATATTAACGAGATGTATTACTTATATATATCTGCATGTGTACAGGATGCATGTTCAGGGTGTTCTGCACACATGGGCTGTTGGGCACTTTGCTTAACACTTGATAACATTACATTTTATTACAGTTTTCATAATGCATCGATATTGTAGCGTACGTCATATTTCAGGCCGTCAGCTCCTGTGAAGACGCCGCGACCATCCATAAGTCCCATGGACAACGTCCCCTTCAGATAAACAAAGAAGGGACCGGTCTTATTTGTCCTGATGGAAATGACAGCGTTGCATTGTGGGGCATTTTCAGAATATGTGTGAGAATGCATTTCAAGGTAAAACTGATTCTCTCACCGAGCATGATGATGTGCAAGCATTTGAAAAACACGTTGGTTTTATATTTGCATCGGTTTGAATTATTTCAAACTCTTGATTAACGTTCCAAATGCTCAGCCTGCATCTACCGTCTGGTCACGTGTCTCATATTAACCAGTACCTTGTAAATATGACCACCTTCGAAACGAACGACCCCCTCTCCGCACGTTCCTCCTTCGTACCTGTTAAAGAGACGGAATATTAACGTGATGGTGTAATAATCATAGCAGGACGTCCGGTAGTCCACGTTGTGCGGGACGATGTGACGTTACCTGCGGACGACCAGACCCACCAGAGTCGGGGTGTCATGGATGTCGTCACCCTCGTCTCCCGGGTGGGTTTGGGTTTGTTTCACATGCGCGTGCACTTCAGAACGCGCACCGCAGCTCGCCTGCTCCTCGTGCCCGCGCGTTTTCTCATTCCCACCTTGGTTTTTAATCGCGGTGTTCATCTTTTCTTCCGTTTGTTGTGTATCTGGAATCGTCTCCATGGTAACGGTACCGCGCGCTGACTACCATGGCAACCGACTACGGCAGCCTTAGTCAGTCAAAAAGGGTACTACCACGGGTTTAACTTGACAGATAACAGATACAATCAGGTTTATTTACCCCATTAAGTGGGTGTTAAGATATAAAAATATTTATTTTTTATAATGGAAATACAAATAAAATCAGAGCAATAACAAACAACCGAAACACACAAGAACACAGTAATTCTCCCAGCATGGTTATTCTTGTGAGATGATGTCCAGGTTGGCGAGGTGTCTCATGGTGGGCCTCCCGTGAGGACAGTTCCACGGGTGGTCAATCTCCCCCATGTGGACCAGGAGCTTCTTCATCTCAGCTACATTCAGGGCAGTGCCGATCATCACCTGAAGATGGATGTGAACAAAGTAATAGAGCGTGTTAACGCAGTCATTACATCATTAATAACATTTCCATGGCAATTTAATTAACAGCAGACGCTTAATTCAAATCACAATACCATAACTCTGATTAAAAATGAGAGTACACCTGGTCTGAGTAAATATCTGAAAATTGTCCCCTTTATTAACTCACAGATTTTCGACAAGCTCGGGAGGCAAACATCTGCCTGACGCGGGACGGTCGACACATGACCCCCGGGCTGTCACTCAGCATGAAGATCAGCTCTTCAATGTCGGCCGGGCCAAAGGTCCAGTTTTTACTGGTGGGCAGAGACACCAGCTTAACTCTCTCCATCACCTGAGCTGCAGGCGGAACAAAAACACGACTCTAGGTTCAGCATGTGGGACCATCACAGTGGGGTCGCATGGATTTGAACTTGAGATAAATCGGGATGCATCACTCGTATTAAACAGTTAAATGTTCATACCGTCCTCATCCACAAGGAATTCAAAGCCATTTTTTCGGAATATCTCCATGTTCTCTAGGAGGACGTTTTCACTGACGGCGGGGAGGTGGAGCTTCTGAGGTCTGTGAACAACAACAACAGATCAGTAAAGCGGCCTTTTAAAGCTTCATCAGCTGAGTCGGCTTTCTTACTGGATGAGTTTCTGTCCTTGCAGCACCGTGTGCTGCTGCAGCATCTCAAAGTTGTATTTCTCATCCGTGGCGTGCTGGTCGATCATGAAGAGGTCGGCGTTGAGTTTGGCGATAATGAAGCCCAGATTGAACTGGCCGATGATCTCCATCTCTTTGAACATGTCTTTACTGTGGGGGGAGGGGGGGGGTAGAACGGGACACTTAAACATTAGAAAGTTCACCAGTAGATATCGACTGCAGTAAAAACCCACCTGATCTCTTTACTAAGCTCCGCCTCTGCAGTCTGGTTTTCTCCGGGGTCGATTTTGGCCCTGAAGCGTCGATAGCACAGCTCACCGCCGGCCGCCTGTCTCCGCAGGTCCTGCAGCCGCTTCACCCTCCCGGCCAGCTCCTGTAAGGAGAAGTGGAGGGGCACCGCCCTTTTCTGCAGGAAGACCGGAGCATCCACCGCCGGCGAGCGTCTCGACTGAGTGTGGGCCTTGTGTTCGGCGGGGGGGCGCGGCTCGTCTGTCCGGGCCCTCTTGGCGTCCGGGCCCGCCGCACGGCCCTCGTTGGAAGTGCCCGGCTCACTTTGGACCTGTAGGGGCTCGGGGTCCTCTGACGCTTCTTCCTGCGTTTCTTTTTTCCCAGCGTCGGTCGGTTCAGAGGAACTGACCGGGCCAGAGCGCCAAGTATCCCGGTGTCGTCGTAGCGACGACGCGATCTGGCGAGGCGCCGTCTTTTTCCGACTTGTCGCCGCTCCACGACTCCCTTCCGTGCCTGAACCCGTCCAGCTCAGCCCCCCCCACTGGGGGGCTCTCGGGGAGAACTCTGGCAGGTCTTGAAGGGGTCGCGACCCCTGGGCGGCAGAGCGGAGGTTTGTCGCTGTGCTTAAAAAAGGTCCTAAGTGTTTTCTGTGCAGGGCCACTGGTCGCAGCTTTGGCAGCGTTCACAGAACTGGAGCTGTGAGGACTTGAGAAAGCTGCTTTCAGGGCGGACAGGTTGAGGGACGACTTTGAGCTGCGAGACGCTGCTTCCGCGTGCTCTCCGGGTTCGGACGCGTTCTCATTAGATGGGACCACAGGACCGATGTCATCTAAAGACAGACAGACAGTCAATGTACAAGCACTGGAACGTCTCTATTATATTACATCATACGCATTGATCGGAGGCTAAATGTGTGCTCACTGGTTCTGGGTATGGGGGTAAAGTTCAGGCTGATCTTATTGACTCCAGCCTCATACATGGTGATCAGAGAGGTCTTCACGACAGCCAGCAAGAGTTTCTCCTCCTGAAGGAAGATCTGCCGTTTGTCGGGCGTCACATTCACGTCCACACACTCTGAAATGACACCACGGAATCACTCGTGTGGGACAGAAGGTCAGCAGTCGGATTCAGAGGGACCTTTCCAGCACTTTTCTTACCCGAGGCAACAGCTATGTTCAAGGCAACAAATGGATATTGGTGTCTGTTGTACATGTGATACACTTCATTCACAAGTTTAGTCACCTGTAAAAACAATTAGTAGATGGAAACGGTTATAATAATTCATCACAGAAGAAGTTATAATAATTTAGTTAGTGTCCTTGTATCTGCTCACAATTAGATATTAAGGCGTTCAAACCCATTTTAAGTGTTTTAAATGATGACATAGGGGCATTGAACTACCTTCAGAGGATCACAAGGCCGGCTGTTAATGAAGAAGAACTGCCTGTCAGTGGCACTTCTCCCAACACCGTGGTCTCCTCGTGACACGAACCCCTCCATGCTGCCAAAACAGTTTCACGTTAGAGGCACAACATTTTATACACAAACCTACTGTACGTACAGGAGTGTATCTCACCTAAAAGGCTGCTTGGGTAGATCTGCATCTTTGAGTCCATATTCTTCAATAACATTCTCTGCAGGAGACACTTGCTGAAAAGGAATAAGACTCTGTATCTGCAGGAAGAAAAAATAAAGTACTTAGCAAATCAAATAAGTCCATTTCTTCAACCGTGGATGTGGTTTGTTAATGAATGTTCCAACCTGTTTTGGTCCAAATATGGCCCCGATGTTGTCCCTCATACTCGGGCTGCCGGTGGTGCCGAGGACTGTGCTGCGCTTTCCCTGCGCGGTTTGGTTGGAGCAGGTAACGCGCACTCCGGTAGAGATGATACAGTAGGCCTGCAGGACATGGATCATTTTGGCATACTCCTGAAACAGAACGGAACAATGAAATATTGGGAATTATAGATGACAAAACAGTTACACTGATTAACCACTGACGGGCTCAGAGCGAATACATTGAAAGATATAAAAAAAGGTTATATTGTAATGTAAAAAGTATGACCTTTGGACTGAACACAAGACTGATCCTAAAGCGACTCACCTTCTTAATATTGCGCTGGAACTCCTTGTGTCGAACGGGCAGCGTGTAGAAGAGCTGCTGCAGGCTGACTGTGGTGCCTTGCTGCCGGGGATGAGGGGACTGCTGCACCAGGTGGCCTTTGTGGTCAAACACCAGCTTGGTGCCCACCTGGCTGGACTCGTGGCACGTCACCACACTGAGGACACTGAAGTGGGGGGGAGGGGGTGGGGGGGTCGAAGGGAACTTTAGTTGACAGAGGTGAGCAGGCGTAGGTGCCAAAGCAACGCGGCTGTGATTTACCTCAGAGCACACAAAGAGCTGAGGGCTTCCCCTCTGAAGCCAAACGTTTCCACGCGGATGAGATCAGAGAAATCCCTCAGCTTCGACGTGTGATGCTTCAACGCTGCAGAACGAGAGGAGTTTTCCCTTCACCGTTAAGATGAGGCAGACTTTAACTAACCCGGACGGGATAAACAGCGGCCACACTCACTCAGTCCTTCAAAGTTGGCCTCCTCTACCCCTTTGCCGTTGTCCGACACCTCCACGAGTTCAGCTCCGTAGTCCTTCAGCCTGACATCTGGACACACGCAAAGTTGCTCAGTCAACATCTCCTATTGGACTGGAAGGTAAAAAGATGAACACCGTGTGATTTCGACAGCCGTCCTTACCAACGCTAGTGGCGCCTGCGTCGATGCTGTTCTCCACCAGCTCTTTCACTGCAGTGGCCAAAGTCAGCACCACCTGTCCCGAGCAGATCTGATGCACAGAGTGCTTGTCAATGGCCTTTATGGCTCCTGCAGGTTCAGAGCTGATGGGAAGAAAACCAGTGATCAGTGATCAATGATGCACGGCCAAAGATCAACACATCCATACATGAAGAATGGTGGAAAGATGACAAATGGTAAAAGCTCTGTGTGAGCTGCGACGAACACCTGAAGATTGTGGGAAGGTCAGGTGACCTTATAAAAAAAAGTCGATACAAGTTAGCTGCAGTAAGCGCATATTACTGAAATGCAGGTTAACGTTAAAAAAATACTTTGATGTTTAACTTACCAAGCATCAGACATCTTCAAGGTCTAAAATCCAAAAGTATGAAATGTGACTTCATCTGAAACAGAGAGAATACTGATATAATTTAGCTGCTTTGTTTTCATTAATCAGATGTTTTCAAAAGCTTCCCGACGCAGGAGAAACTGTACCGCGCGCACTGCACGTGTTGTCACGAGCTTCACCCGTGCGCAAAACCTGCGCATGTTGACCACCTAAGGTTAAACCAATACGATAAAAATGTTGAAAGGGTTGAACAGCAAATTAACTAAATATGCGAGTGATAACGGTAACAAAAATACATATCACTCTACATAAATGAGTAGCGTGAAAGCCGTTGCCTCACTCTTTGTAGGATTTCGTCACCTAAAATTAACTCACCGAAATATGACCGAGCGAGATGTTAGGGAGCGTCTGCATGCACCTCACACAGAAAGAAACGAATACATTGCCTCATTGATGCAGACGTCTTGGCGGTAGTTTGAAGCTTTAATTTCCACAATTACAATAGAAAATGACACTTGTAGTTGTTTTGTAAAGTTATTCCATGCTACATTATTTTTCTAAAGGTTCATATTTGCGGATACCAAGCACCGACATTGACAGACGACCCCTAAACGGGTAAATCATGGCCGTCTTTTGACGGAATAGTCCGTGTGGTATTTTGGCAAGACATATTTCAATATTGTTAACACCGGGAAAAGGACGTTTGTGACGATTAGACGGACTGTGTGAAGAAAGTCATGTGAATTTGGCAGTACTTTATTTTGTCAACATTTGTCAAAAATGTTCCGTTCGACGTCCAACTCCGGACTCCGGAGGACCGAGGAAAGTTCTGGAAGTGGCAGCAACCTTTCGATATTCTGTCATTTCAATCCCCTCAAGACACGTGGAACCGGGAGTAACGTGAGCCTGTTCGCGGCTGCTAGCGAAGAGGACGACGAAGTCCGCTTTGACAGTAAGCGTTTCCTCGCGTTGCTGCCGAATCGACTCGGTCTAGCTAGTTAGCGGTTAGCCCACATTATGACGTAACGAATAAAACGTCGGGTTATCCAGCAGGCTGGAGGCGACCTTCAGCTCTTCTACGTGGAACTAGTCTGGACATGCCGACTCTTCCTCCCTCCTGAGAGGAGATGGGAGTAAAGGAGACTCGGTGACTCGGTCCTGTGTTTACCATCAGGGAGTGAGGACGGAAGGTGGAGGAGTTTTCTGGTCCGTGCAGATAAGAGTTGCTGCTCTGCACCTCCCTCTTATGTACAAACAAGACCGGGTCATAATTCGCATTCGAGGTGAACGGGGGAGTAATTAAACGTTTTGACAGCTTTGGCTGCTTGATTTTTGGGGCACACGTTTTTTTATTATTTAAATATGGACCTAGGAGACAGAAACATTGTTGAAATGATTGCAAAGGTTATCGAAGAAGGTAAGAGGAGATATTGCGGTTATGTTAGTATTTTATTCCAGAGTTCAACAAAGTAAGATATAATCTATTTTCTATCACATGTTGAAGCAGTTCATTCTTTGTTTTATTGAGCACTGTTTCCTCTTTCTCTCTTTATATCTATTCACTTACTTTTGCTTCTTTGTGTCCTCAGCGTCCGACACAGATAACAACCGTGAGGTGTTGATGGCTGGCCGGCGTTACCCGTCCGTCCAGGAGTTCGCCTCAGCCATCCCCAACCACCTTCTCCTGGGCTCCCTGCTGGAGCACCTGTGCTTCGTCTACGAGAGCAACCCCACGCGCTCCCGCACGCTCTTCAAAGGTCTGTCCTGAGATGTGGAACGTGAAAATTGACAGTTTGCATGTTTAAACTACTGTCCTTACATTAGGATCTGTGCATCTTTCTTCACTTATTCCAAACTTCCAGTCATTGGCCAGCGTTTAGCGGCCATGAACCTCCTCTCACCGTTGGCCATAAGTGACGAGTTCAGCACCGTCAGGCTGCAGCACAACCGGGCCTTCACTGAGCTGCTTCACGCTGCCAGCTCCTCGCTGTATCCACAGGTAACCGGACCCCTGGGGGGGCTCTTTCGCATGTTGTCAGTTTAGGACTTGGACTGTTGTGGGAGTATTTGTCCTTGGTAGGACAGGCCAGCCGTCTACATGTCCACAGAGTGGTGAGTGTGTTTGTCCTCATCTCGTTCTGCAGGGCCAGCAAGCTGCCGGCTCCAACGCGCACAAGCCTGCTGTCAGGTAGGCTGTGCTTTACGTGTTTTCTAGCGCAGTATTATTGTGTTATTGAGTATTGTGTATGAGATGTTTGTTTTGGTCGTCCCGCAGACCCAAGGAGGGGCTGTTTCAAGCACAAACGTCCCGCTATCTCAGTGAATTTGAAGAAGTGTTTAGACTGGGAAAAGGCTCTTATGGAAAGGTTTTTAAGGTATTCCACTCTGTTTCTACTGCATGATTTTTTCTCTTCTTACAAACGACTCCATCACGGAACGCAAATTGAGTTTATCAACACAAACATCCTTTTATTTCTTCATCTTGAAGGTTATGAACAAATTAGATGGACAGTTTTATGCTGTGAAGAAAATTCTCATCAGAAAAGTCTCAAAGGATGACTGCATGAAGGTGGGGCATCAATGTTTCATCAATACAGCCTTTATATATCCAAATCCAGAGATATAATGTACTGATACTTGCATTATTTTGTTTTGCTGCAGGTCCTCAGGGAAGTCAAAGTGTTATCCAGCCTGCTGCATATGAATGTCGTGGGCTATCACACTGCGTGGATGGAGCATGTTCAGCCTGCGTCATGTGAGTACTGCGGTTTGGGCTGAAACAATCCTACTTACGCTCCCCTGAGTTTAAAGAACAATAGCAGCTTTATTTTTTATCATAAGTGAGGCTTAATGTGAAAGGCATCTGTGTTGCAGATCCTGAGTCTCTCCTTCCGGCGCTGCAGCCCCCTGAACAACTGGACAGGTGGGATCAGTGTCCATTTACTGTTGCCTGATAAACGGCATATAAATTGATATTGATGATGATGTTTGTAAAAACTTGATGTTTGTAATAATTAATGAAATGCGCTAATAACATAACATTTGTTATTTGAAGGTGGAAGTTATTCTTGCTATGACATTTTATTTGTGACAATATACCAGATGGATAATTTGGATATTTTAACAGTAACGTCGTTTGAGGACATGTAGATGTGATATTTGATCGCTGCTCTTTCAATCACAGCTCCGATGAGAGCTCCGACAACAGCAACAGCTCCTCCATAGTTTTTCAAAGCCTCAGTCAAGCGCCAACAGACTCCAGAGCCAACGTGCCCCCGAGAGAGGCCGAGCCCCTCGGCGCTTTGGGTGCAGCTCCAGTGTGTGCCGAGACCACGCGCCAGATTCCCAAGAACTACGTCCCCTGTGTGTTCCTGGGACAGGGAGGTCCACCCAAGAGCTCCAAATGTCCAGCGATGGGTTGGGAGGGCGCAGCACTGGTAGAAGACGAGTCCAGCAGGGGGGACATCGAACTGAACAACAACTCCTGCATCGACGGGGAATTTCAGCAGTGGGCCAGCAAAAGACGTGCGGCGAACCCTTCTAAAGAGGTGGGCACCCGAAGAGGCTTTCAGTGATCATGCAGATGACCAACAACGATTGCCATTAAAGCGTAAAGGTGGGATTTATTTTTAAAACGTACTTTTTGTGCAGTTCCACCTGATGCTCTACATCCAGATGCAGCTGTGTGAGCGCTCACTGAAGGACTGGATCTCCGAGAGGAACACCAAGCCCAAAGAAGAGCAAACCCCAGGATGTAATTGTTTTAAACAAGCCAACATTTCACAAAAAGGATGTAGTTCCGGTACAAATTGTAGGTCAAATTACACTCACTATATATTTTATTTCCTTTAAAGGCCCTTATGGATGTGTTGACACCGAACACACCCTCCGTCTGCTCAGAGGGATCCTGGAAGGAGTGAAGTACATCCACTCCAGGGGAATGATGCACAGGGACCTGAAGGTAAGAGGCTTCGACGTTTGAGGTTTTCTCTGAAGCTGAACGGGAGTTTGCATTGACAACTAACAACTAACGACAAATAAGTCATCGATGTGGCCTTGGTTCTCCCCATCTTTCACAAAGCAAATGTTTTTTTCCTAGATGTTGAACACAAATTCATGTAGCTTATCAGGCAGATGTTCTCTCAAATCTTGGCTCTTCCCTTGGACATGTGCTAGATAAAGCGGGGAGGTGCAGAGGACTGTTCCCAGAGTGCTTCACCGCCTTTAAAAAAGTTCGATCTAATGCATATATTTCAACTGGGCTGGAAACACCAAAACGAGCCATGCAGCGTACTGATAGGTGGAGAGCTGACTGGTGACTCCCCTCAGCCTTTTTTTCATTTTTCAAATAATGGTAAAGATGAAATTGGAGAAAAAAGAGGCTGAACATTGATTTCCCAGATTAAAAAGCCCTTCACCTTTGCATTGGCGTCGATGACGTGCTCAAAGAGGAGTCGTAGACAGCAGTCTTTTCAATGTCCTTGGTAATGTATTTTGCTTTTAGGTACGCATGGGAAGGATTATCTTGTGGTAATTCAAGTTCAGTGTAGACAAATTATAGTTGAGTTGTTAATGTGATATGAAGCATATACATGTCCCAGAATCATCAAAGGCTTTTAAGAGAGGCCTCAAATAGTTTATTCCTTGCAAAAAACTTGGAAATCAGTATCTTTACACCCACCAATATATAACAAAAAAACAATGTGTCCTGTGTTTGTTTTTTTCCACAGCCCAGGAACATTTTCCTCCTCGGTAACGACTGCCATGTTCGAATTGGGGACTTTGGCTTGGCCTGCAGGGATATAATAATGGAGGGCCATAAAAGCACCCCATCGTCCATCAGTGGTAATACTGCACCTCAAAGCTTGTTTCATTTTCATGAGTCCCTCAAAGAGTCACCAGTAGATGGCGCCATGTGCCTTACAGTCACATCTCTGGTGTATTCTGCAGAGTCTTCACATACTACAGGTGTTGGCACGTTTGTGTATGCCGCTCCCGAACAACTGAAGGGCTCCCATTATGATTCAAAGGTAAACTAATCAATAGTATGACGACAACAATAACAAAAATGTCACAATTTTCTGTGCTATATTCGTATAATTTATTAACTTAACTTAACGCATTTTATAATTTGTCTTTATTGTTATCACTTGTGTGATGGTTTTATTTGTCATGTTGTTGCTCTCCCAGTCAGACATGTACAGCATCGGGGTCCTGGCTCTCGAACTTTTCCAGCCGTTCGGGACTGAGATGGAGCGGGTCCGGACCCTGGGGGACCTGAGGGAGGGGAACATCTCAGACTCGTTCTGCCGGAGATGGCCCGTCCTGTCAAAGTTCATTATGAAGCTGACGAACAAGGAGCCAAGTGTTCGTCCCACAGCCAGCCAGCTTCTACAGAGTGAACTCTTCTTCAGTAAAGACATAGTACGTTGGTACAAATGTCGGTTCCCGGATTACTTACAATGTGCAGCTTTCTTCATTCTGCATGTGTGGCTTTGCTGCATGTGTCACCAGAGTGTGCTTCAGGGCTCCAACCAGTACGTGATAATATTTGACAACACATTTTAACCATTTGTTTTTTCCTCCTAAGGTGATCCACAGTTTACAAAGAAGGGTTGAAGAGCAGGAGGGAGAAATCATGCAGCTGAGGAGACAGATCAGTCGGCTTCAAAGCTCAGAAGTCACAGTTAGTGTCTCTGAGTCTGATGAGGCCAAAGCCTTATAGGGTCTGATTTATTCAACTACTGTTGTACTTTGTTTTGGTGACTTGGCACGAGTGGTTGAGTGCGTGCGTGCGTGGGTGCCTGTGTGTGTGTGTGTGTTACATTTGAATGTGTCTTGTACACTGAGATGTAACGGTGCTATTATTTATTTTCCTTCAGCTGTTTAATAAACCCACTTCTGCTACACTCGGATTCAGCTCTATTGAAATGCAGTTTAACTTGTTAGATTTGTAAGAAGCAACATGTGATTATTTGAGATGATGCTTTGAAGTAGTAGTAGTATAAAGTGACCTATAGGCATTGTTCCCAATGTGCATTATGGTATTGTGCAGCTTCTTGATCCTGATCACTGCCTGTCATTTGTTGAGACAGTAGGCCTTCCCATTTAGATTTTGTGGGGATAATAGTTTATTTGTGTACATCCATATTCAACCACGTGTCTTTGTTTTCTTGTCTGTACATGTGGTTGATGGTGTTTTGTAAGGTTAATTTACTGGTCACAGTGAATGCACTTTATTTCATTTAAATACTGTGGCCACTATGTGATCTATTTTAAAATGAGCAATTTAGCAAGGTTACAACAATCTATGCTGTGCTTTACTTAAAGCCAAGTAAATACTTATAGTATATATATATATATGGCGGTAAAGCACGCAATATTGATTGTACATTAAGTACACAAAGGTCAGACAAGTGTTCGCGCGACGGATCTTCCCGCAACATCTTCCCCTTAGAGGAACGGCCGTGTTAACCAATCAGAACCCTCGTTTCATCGCAGGTACCCGGATGTACCCGTAGGGCAATTAGCTACGTCATTGTTCACCGCCGGACACCCGCTGGAAATAAGGAATGGATTTACAACCGCTATTAACGTATTCATAACAGATTCCAGGTGAGTGCGCTGTTGATTTTAAGATCGAGCGATACTCGCACTGTGCAGCAGTGATATTTCAGCAGGCCTGAGCCGCGCAGATTTGTCGTAGTAACCTTACACCGGTTCTCTGTCATGTCGGGAGAGACCAGCACAGTGAGCGCACACAGCCGCCGGTGTCGAGCCCCTCCTTTCTCGGCTAGATAGACGTCCCGTTACCCGTTCCCGCGCTTTATTATCCCATTTACTTCGAAGTGTAAACAGAGAACTACACTTTGACGTCGGTGGAATATGGTTAAATTATCCCTCGCCGCGTCAGTCGGCTTCCATCGTGCGCGGCTAGCTAGCACCGCTAGCATCAACACCGCCGCACGTAGCCAGCTAGCGCGGTCGGTCGGTTAGCTAGCTAGCTAACGTTAACGTTACGTCTCCATGGCGCTCGCGACTCCTGGAGTCACTCGCTCTTCACCGGACCCTCTAGTCTACTCATCGGCGGGGCAAGTGGGCTTTTATTGGGAGTTCTGCCGCCCGGGCGGGCCGGCGGAGGTGTGATGCGTGTGTTCGGTGTGGCTTTGCGCCGCTGCGTGTGAAAGGCCCGGCGGCCGTCTGTTAGCCGACGCGAGGCGGTCTGCCGGCGCGGGTGGGAGGGGACAGCTGTGGATGTAGAGGCGCTTCCGACTGCGACGGTTCCTCCTGTCGGGGAACGAGCCGACGTTAGTACCGTTCCCCCGGTAACTCCAGAAGAAGAAAGAAAAGTAAACATCTGGTTGGTGTTTTCTGACGTTTGTTTTGAATGAAATATTACTAAATGTAATATTTTATTTTCATATCATCAAGGGCCGACTTCTAATCAAAACTGTATATTATGTGTATTTCCAAAGCAAAATTGCAGAATATATTTGAGTCAGTAATATCCAGTGTTTAATAGTAACTAGTGTTTAAGGATGAGAGATTTAACGCTAGTCATTTCAGACTAACCTAAAAGTTAAAATCATATCTGTGTTTCTTCTATTATCATATTATTTTGTATGATTTATTGTGTCTGCAATGTATTGCAATGCATTTATTTGACTGCACTTTTTGAGTGATTTCTGATCAATTAAACCTTATTTCAGACCAGATGAGACAAGAATGACTAAAAAAACACACACGTTATTACTATTTGTGTGGAAAAATCAATGACCATTGCATTGTTTGGTTATAATCTTAAATTGTACTGTGGTGTTTTCCAAATTTGACAGTGACGAGTAAAGCAACGTTAGAAATGAAACCTTTAACTCAATTGTGTTTTGAGCTGCCGTCTTTGTTTCTGCCACTCATACAGCAATGAACAATGACCATAGTTGACAGATCTTCAGAGAAGTCTGACCACGAGTCAGTCGGGTGTAAGCGATCTCCCTTCACCAGTGGAAACGTGGGGATGGACGGTAGCTGTTCCAGCAGCTGGGCGATGGGTCCGTCCATGTCCGGCGACTCTCCGAGGCTGAAGGCCGCAGGAGGCTGCCTCGGCCCGACGCCCGGAGCCGCAGTCTACAACAGCACGCCCTCCTCGGTGGACTGGCCCAAGGAGCAGGGTGGGGCTGTCATTTGATTGGTTTTTAATGCAAGAGTTTGTTAGCTGGTTGAAGACGACACATCGTAGCTTTTTTTATTCATCCCCCCCCACGTGGAAGACTCCCCCGATCTACGTCGTCAAGCAGTACAATTTGACATGAATTTCAAACGTATACAAATGGTCAAAATCATTCTTCTCATATAAAAAATGAGGATGTACACGTATGTAAATAAAACCAAGCTTCACAATTGAAGCCTGGCTTTTTGCTACTGTGACAGTGTGGCACAACCGGTTTTGTGGGTGTGTTGTCTTGTTGCTTCCGCTCTACTTTTATTCCAGTTGTAGAACCAAGCCGGTTTTCAAGAAAAAACACGATCAGGCTCTTCAGCTTGTATTGCAGTATGCAGGAGCAGCCTGACTAGTTTTAGCAGAAACAAAAGAGAAAGTCTTTATCTTTTCTTCTTTAGCTTGTTTTGCAGACGCACTCGGTAGTCACGCTCACATGACATGACGAATGCTGATTGCTTTGACTATGAGGTCTTCAAGATTCCTTTTTTCATGGTCTGCTACGTACTTCCATTGATCATGTAGCATATATAGATACTTGTTTATAGCCGGGACTGTACAGTTATTGAGTTTAACTTTAGTAATAACGTTGGCCGTGTGTGTTCACAGTGATGAGCGGTGGTGATGGCATCGACTCGCCCCAGAAGGTCCTTTTCCTTCAAGAGCGGCTCAACCTAAAGTGGACTCAGGTTCACCGCATTGGTGCAGGCCTGCAGAACATGGGGAACACCTGCTTTCTTAACTCAGCCCTGCAGTGTCTCACTTACACACCTCCTTTTACTAACTATTTGCTGACACGGGAGCACTCCAAAACATGTAAGTTGCTGTATCATGATGCTTCTCTGGAGCACAGATGCTATCGTGTAATTGTACAGTCATGCATTATTGTATTACATCAATCTACGAGCATCTTCTGGTCTGAGTCATGTCTCACTCATCAATGGTTTGTCCATCTGTCGCTGCTGCAGGTCACGAGCCGGGGTTCTGTATGATGTGCACCATGCAAAACCACATCATTCAGGTTTTTGCAAACTCTGGAAATGTCATTAAGCCCATTGGTGTGCTGAATGAGCTCAAAAGTAAGTGGTTATCTGTTACAACACAGAAATTGTGCAACACGTTTACCTGAATCGAGTGACAGGAGGTGCTGTTTCCCTTTTTTAATTTTGGAGGGAAAACTTTAGGAGGGGTTTATTCGGTCTTGTTAAAATATTTTTCAAGTTAACATCCTTGTGCAAGAGTGACATCATTAAACAACGTCTTACAGTTTTACTCTTGTTTCTTTCCCTCACAGGGATTGCTAAGCACTTCCGCTATGGAAGCCAGGAGGATGCCCACGAGTTCCTGCGGTACACAGTGGACGCTATGCAAAAGTCCTGCTTACCTGGAACCAAGTAAGTCAATTCCTAAAACTGTACAAAGTTTAGCAGAATTCCATTTTTTATTTTAAGATAGGCCACCCTATAGGAAGGCTAAGTCTTCTACTGAAGTGTGTAGTGCCGCTGCCATGGAGGTCATGTACCCTTACAGAGCGACGTGCATGTTTAATAGATACTCTGGACGAGCCACTGTGCTCTCAGGGGACCGAAGGGACCTCAAGCATCAGGTCCATTCTTAATCTGTACCAACAGGTGGCCACTCATCTAATTACTCTTGCTCTAATTCTCCCCGTTCTCTCTTTGGGACAGATTGGACCGACAAACGCAGGCAACCACTTTCATCCATCAAGTATTTGGCGGGTACCTACGGTCCAGAGGTACGTCAGAAGTGTTGATTTAGTTTTTTTTGATTAGACTCTTCTACAAGAAACATTGATGTTTTCCTGGACTAATAAATACACTTTTTTCTTATTTTTCAGTTAAATGTTTAAACTGCAAAGCAGTCTCTGATACATTCGACCCTTTTCTAGATATAACTCTAGAAATTAAGGTAAAGAATGAATCTCCCTCACATGTGGATCTGATTTTCCGTCGTTTTGCACGTTACTGCATAACTATTTTTCTAACTACTTTAGTTGGATACATTTTGTCTCAGTTGTTACCAGCAATATTCTTTTCATTTGATGACAATTGAATATGATTGAAAACAAGTTTGCTATAACTAGATAACAGTACAAGTACAACCTTTCGAAGAGAAATGCCATTTTAACCACCAGATATTTAGATATTAGAAAGGGAAAAATAAATAATGCTTAAATAATTGAAATACACAACCACAAGAGGAGATAAAATAGACTCTTCATGCGGATAAGTTGATAACGTAATCATCGTTATTATTATGTGACAGTCATTGTAACAAGGCAATAATTGCGCTGATGTCGTTCTGCACGCAGACGGCTCCCAGTGTCTCCAAGGCTCTGGAGCAGTTCGTCAAGCCTGAACAGCTGGATGGAGAAAATGCCTACAAATGCACCAAGTGAGTTGTTTTACAGACTAAAGGAATGCCGACAAAGACTTATTCATGCGTCCCACAGCTAATCGACTTAACATTACTTTCCCTCAGGTGCAAAAAAATGGTCACAGCCTCAAAGAGATTCACCATCCACCGCAGTTCAAATGTGCTCACCCTCTCACTCAAACGCTTTGCAAACTTCAGTGGAGGCAAAATCACAAAGGTACTGAGACATTAGACTAAAACATCGAGAACACAATCTATCCTCAATAGTTGGTGTTAATCAGCTGTGGTTTGGTCATCAGGATGTGAAATATCCAGAGTACCTGGACCTGCGGCCCTTCACGTCTCAGTCTCAAGGGGAGCCGCTGGTCTACGGGCTGTATGCTGTGCTCGTCCACTCTGGGTTCAGCTGCCACGCTGGACACTACTTCTGCTACGTTAAGGTACCGGCCCCGCTGTGGACCTTCTAGCCTCATCGCGGTACACATGCCCACATTTGTCTTCCAGCAGTCTACCAACAACTCGTCGCTGTGATGAAGAGTTCCTACAACAGCTGTTGTTGTTGACATTGAATTTGAACTGGACGACGTGTAAGAGCGAGGCCTCTTTTTGTTGAACCTGTCAACTCTTCTGTTGTGTCTTCCAGGCCAGCAATGGGCAGTGGTATCAGATGAACGACTCCTCCGTGTCCGTCAGCGACATCCGCTCCGTCCTCAACCAGCAGGCCTACGTCCTTTTCTACGTCAAGTGAGTGAAGCGTCAGTTTAAATTTTGTTGTATTGAACCCTACCGCTCATTTGCACTTGTTCACACTGGTAATGTCTCTAGGTCCCGTGATGTGAGGAGAGCAGGCGACTACAGCCACATGAGCCATAACCCAGGCGTCCCCGGTCAGTCTTCTCCACGGCCGGTGGTGATACCGCGCATCAACACCACCGTCCACCACGGCAACACCGGCTTCATAGGCCCGCAGCTGCCCCCACACATGACCAAGGTACTGCAGGTTATTGCAATGTCCTCCATTTAAGCTACGCATCCAGGGTTTGACCTCGACGCTCAGAACGTGTCCTTGTGTGCTTTTTGTCTCCTCTTCAGCGCAATCTCCACGTTAACGGGAATGGATCTCTGAGGGACTATCCCACCAACTCCAAGCCCAGCACCAGCGTTGTGGGCAAACCTAACCACGGACCGGCCTCTTCCTCTGCTTCCATCTCCCACTCAATCAGCCGGCCCACTATGATCCCGGACCACGACAAGCGCCAGAAACTTTCCTTCTTCATTGGACAAGGCAAACTGAACCGCCCGTCGTCCTCGTCGTCTTACAGCCAGCCGTCCTCTGCCAGCGGCAGCAGCTGCTCCTCCAGCTCTTTGTCCTCCTCACAGTCTACCTCAGACGTCCGCTTCGTTCCACGTCAGCTTAACCACGCGTCCCGCAGCAACGGGGATCACCACGCGTCCTTCTTGGTGCCCTACGGCCAAGAGTCCTCAGAGGAATCGGACCAGGAGAACTGTGGCTCTCTGGCCGCGTCCCACCTCAACGGAAACAAGCGAACGGGGGCCGCCTTTGATCATTCCACGCGAGCCACCAACGGACTGTCGGCAGTGCACCACAATGGCAACGGGTTACACGGGCCGACCAATGGCGTCTCCGAATGCAGTCAGAACGGACACCACCATGAACACCACAAAGTGAACGGACACGAACCCCCCGATAAAGTAAATTCTACGCTCTGTGCTCTTCTCTTCATGGTATATTGGTAACTTCTTTATTCTAAATGAATGCTGGTTTGTTTTTGCTCCTCAGGTCTCTGGCAGTAATCATGGAGGTTTTTCCTCTGTGACTGCTGTTGCTGCTAATGGACTCGACAGTGACCACAGTCAAACAAGGTAAGATGAGCCAATCACATGGATAATAAGAAATAGTCAAATGCTTCATTTTATTTTGTTGGTTTCCACAGTGACGAGGCCCATAATTCCTCCTCATCCAAGGCCAGTTCTTCTCCGGGCATCCATCCTGCGTCCGGTGACAGCCAGCACCTCTCCGCCCCGGACACGAGGGCGAGCGACGCGTCTGAGCCCCTCCCTCAGCACGCAGCGCCCTCCGCCGTTACCTCTCCGCCCTCGGCTGCTCCGACAAAGACCCACTCCGTCTCGTCCAAAGAATCGGCTTCCCCTGCTGCTCGGCATTGCGACCCTACGGCCTCATCCGTCCCGCCGGACTGCTCCCGGAAACACAACGGGGCCTCTGCAGCGCCACAGAAAGTCTGCAGCGGTGGGGGGGATGCGAGAGATTTCCCACCGACCTGCAGTGCGTCAGCGGGGACTGAAAGACGCGGCGATTCTGATTCTGATTCCAAGGAAAAACACCAGTTCAAGCCCAGTTTGAGAGGCCATGAAGTACAAAGTTACAGAGAGTGCGAGAGAGACAGATCGTACTGGGACAGAGACCGGGAGAGACACTACAGGGACCGGAGTCACCGGCGGGACCCCAGAGACCACCACCACCAGCGGCCGTACAGGGAGCGTTTTCCTCCTCACAGCCGCTCCTACAGGGACTCGGGGTCCGAGCAGCGCCGGGAGCGAAGCCTCCAGCACTCGAGGGAGCGCGACCGCGACAGATGCTCCAACCATCACCACCATTATCACAGCCGCCGCTACAAAGAGGACCGGGGCCGTGAGCGGAGGGGACGCGGCTCTCCGTCCAGGGAGAAGTGTCCCGATCGAGGGAGGCGCCGGCCGGACAGCCGAGAATCACGGGGGAGCGGCGGCAGGGAGAGGGACCGCTATCCGGCAAAAGAAGAGAATTCCTCAGAGCCAGAAACCTCCACAAAGTCCATGGACTCGCCCACTCAGGCCTGTCGCTCCGCGTTCGGATCGGCTCCAGACGGGGGGGATCAGAATCACAGGAGGTCGGCTGATCCTCTGAGCAAGGAGAGGGACGACGGCTCCGAGGCCCGCCGCTCTGGAAAACACAAGAAGAGCAAGAAAAAGAAGAAGTCGAAGGATAAAGACCGGCGCCGTGACAGCGGGTGGGTCACACCTCCTTTGCCTACGTGCTTCATGTGCAAATTTGTCTTTGCCGTTTGCTCATCAGAGGAAAACCATCAACCATCATCAGACCAGACGCCTTCATATTCTATAGATTTAAACCATGATGAATTTACAGTTTAGCTCAGTCACCTTTAGTTAGTGGAGCATATGGAATAACCATGTTGTGTTTTCTGTCGTTCCCTAGAAGCTCCGAAGTGGATTCCGACCGAGCCACTGAAACAAAAAAGAAGAAGAAGAAGAAGAAAAAGAGGTCGCGGGACGGCGAGTCGCGCAGCCCGGGAGCGTCTCGCCGCCAGAGGAGCAGAAGCAGCGAGGAGGAGGAGAGCCGCAAGCGTCGCCACGACGACACCAAGGAGGCTCAACGCGACCGCGTGTCTCTGCCAGAGAAGCGCCGGCGCCCGGACCACACGGATCCAGTCTCCTCCAACCACGCGGCCCCCACACACGGTTCGTGTCACCTCCATCTCAACGGACACAGAGCTATCGACGGTGTCCCTCCCCCAAAGTCGGCCTCAAAAATACCCAACGCGTGGAAATAACGCCGCCCGCCGCGCAGCCCGTCCTGTGCGTGTCCATCCTGTTTCGGAGGGAATGGTTCTGGCTCGTCTCCGCACACGCCGGCCCGACCGGTGCTGCTGCGCCGCAGGAACTCGTATTATGGGTGCAGATATTTATGCTCCACGCTATGCAAACAGATTGTATGGAGGCCTCTTCTCATTTCAGAAACACATTTTAACAGCAAAGGAATGACGTAAACGACTTTTCTTTTGACGTGGTGCTTCTTTGTTGGGGTCATATTGTATTTTTACCACAAACAAAGTATTTTAACTGTTGAGCTCTTTTTTTTTTTTTCTAAGGCAGATTAATTTGCCTCAATTCTCCTAACGGTTGATAAGAAAAACGACTGTCACTCAATTAACATTTACGATGAAGAATATTAATATATATACTCGTATGAACTCAAACTCTGCTTGGAGCTTGAACATCAACTGCTGCTCAGTGGAACTCAGGACTTGAACACTTGTTAAAATCTGCTTCTAACCCGAATGATTCTGAAGGGAAAGGTGTTTCCTCGGAGACGAGCGGAGGCCTCGTGTGGCTGCAGGTTTAAGATGTCACCGTATCCGCGGGCGTCTTTGGGTCGTTTCTGTGCTCGAATGAATGAGGAGCCTCGTTAAACCTGGACCGACTTGAGAACATTTGCCAGCTCTTTGTATTTTATTTGGTTTCCATCGTTGCTCTGAAGAATCACCCTGTGGTTTTTCTTCAGATACAAAAGGTTTCTTTCCTCCGGATCATGACTCTCACGTTCTTTTTATTTTAAACATTTAAAAGATAAAAACATAAGAAACATGGTGTTCTGGCTGTGGACCATTTCAGTTTGCTTTTTAATGAAAGTTTGTTTTGTAGCGTGATAAAAAAACTGTGAATTTAATTTGAACTGTATTATCAGTTACTTTTATATGTAAACATCCTGTATCAGGGTTCAGTAGATGTGTTACTTTTGTTTTTAGAAACCTTCATCTTCAATTTGACCTTTTTAACTTTAGACAGAAGTTGAAGAACTGCTGTTGTACCTTTTTAGTTTAGCATGTCAGAATTTATATAAGGTAGAAGCCTTAAAATACATTTGTGAAAGTCAGAAATTGTAATTTGGTCTTTGACTTTGTTTACATGAAATGAATGAAAAATGGAAGTTGATGACTACGAGTTGTCGGATTTTAGCAAAGCTCCTGTCTGCCTTTTGTATCATATTAGGAATAGAGTGATTGTATCTGTTAAATCACGTAGATACAAAGTGTGGACTGACACCGACGACTCCGCTGGCTCCACGTTTCATCCACGACACACTTGGACAACCAAAGACGGCCGAGCGCACAAACTCTTTCTCATCAGCGTGTCATTTTATTCAGAGTTTCATCCGAGGATTCCGGAGCCGCGTTTAGATGTGACGATGGCGTCGGCTGCCTCGTCCTTGGTCTCCGTTTGGGGGATTCCTCACATTCCAGTCAGCGCTCCCCAGACCGGACTCCTTAAAAGTGTCCTGCGTCCAGTCTGTCGATCCGGTTCATGTTCTATACTCTCTAGTCCAACTAAGCATCGTGACTTTTCCTTTTCTAAAGCATCTTGAGTTCACTGCTCTGCACAAGAAGCTGCACAAAGTCCTTCTTCCACTATTGTAAAGGTGTTAAACTAAAAATGTGAACGGGTATACGGCTACTATGATTTACATGCTACGTAAACACAAGAAAGACATGGAACAAACGTATGTACAATATATTCTATACATGCATAATGTAAACCGGGGGCTTTCTCTTTTGTTAAACAAATTAAGAAAATAAATTCAAAAAAAGAAAACTTCAACACGAAGGTGGATTTTCAATACATAAAATGACCTTTTTACTGAATGAATAAACGGTGCTTCACTCGATGTTTGTGAACTATTAACAAATACGGCGCCTTCGCCACAATCAGACCAGCTGATTATACGAGTACAAAACGGCAGAAGGGCGTTGCCGCTGAAGCCAAAACGCTGACCGTCCCCTTGGAGACAGGACATGAGGACTGATCTACTCCCTTGTTTGTCCAGCAGGGGGCGATGTCGTCGCAGCCACACAAAGCAGAGTCCCCCCCCCCATGTTAGAGGCTGTTAGAGGCTCGTTGTTGTTGTTGTTGCCGCTGGCGATCATTTCTTACTGGCTATCCTCCGCTTCCTGGTGGCCAGCATGTCGTAGAAAGGGTCCCTGCTGATGCTCGCTCTGCAGAGACCACAGGGGGGAACGCGTCACTCATCCACACTTTACATCCGGAGAAAGGAGAAAAACGCCCACATGTGATGCTTAAAACAATCCAAGGTGGGTTTTTGGGAACCAGGTCCACTAATTGTGTTTATTTATCCCAATAACACCACCTTAATGGAGTTAATGGTCTATTTGAATAGTCCAGTTATTCTTGTTAAGTGACGGGTTGCTGTGCTTCCAAACTGTATTATTGTTATTATTTACACACCCAGCTGTTGGGAGTCACTCTGATAGCGACCGCGTTTTCCTTCTTGCTCCGCTTTGGTTCCTGAGGGAAAATCTCTCTCACTTTGTCAGAGCTGTCATTTTTTTTATCTCGAAAAGCGCTGAAAAAAAAACCCTCACTTTCATTTAATGGAAAGAACGTACGTCAATGTTAAGTGTATTTTAGAGTCTGGAAGCGTTGTGTAATAAGATCTGTGGTATCGATCAAATTTCTCCAGTGTGGCTGAAGCTGAGTGGACGATAACCGGCGTTCTCATCGGTTACCCATCGGGGGCCAATTTACTGCACCTCCGCTCCTCTTTCTGCTTAACATGACAAACCAGGTGAAAGGGCTGCAAAACAGCGAGTGTGCCTGACATGGGGTGTGTGTGTGTGTGTGTGTGTGTGTGCGTGTGTGTGTGTGTGTGTGTGCGCCTGCTGAGCTCCAGTCAAAGAGAAGTGAGCTCATCCAGCAGCAGAACAGAAATCACCTCCTGAGTGTCAAGTGTGAGAAACGGAGTCACATTTAGTCACCAGTGTGTTTGTATTTGTGCACGTCTGCACATTTCTGATTAGGCTTACAGCTGTGTGTGTGTGTGTGTGTGTGTGTGTTTCTCACAGCCAAGGTCACACATAGAGTCCCACCGGGCAGCTCGCTGTTGGCTAAGTGCCTCCTCGGTGTAAATGGATCCCCGCTAAGGCGGCGTCTCTTACTTGATGGATTTGATCCACTCCTCCTTCTCCTCCGGCGTGGGGGCCGATATCCTGTACACCACGTGGTTGCCCTCGACAACTCGCCCGTCCGCCTCCGTCTTGCAGGCCTTGATCACCTGACCTTTGTGGCCGGGGTTGAAGAGCTCGAAGCAGTTCTGGGGAAGCAGGAGGCAACAAATACCGTGAGAACATTTGAATGGCATTTTTTCAGCGGGACGGGAAGGAGTCTGAAATTGGTTCTTACGGGTTTCCGGGGCTCGTCCACCTCTCTGATGCTGAGGTTCTCCAGAGGAATAATCCCCCGAGGCTCTTTGTCCTGGAAACGCACACACACACACACACACACACACACATACACACTCGGGTGACGGGGCGGAATAATTCTGCTTCGTTGTGCAGATCACTGAGGTCAGAGTCGACCCGATCATTTCTCTTCCACTTCCTCCAAAGATCCAACGTTACGGACGTACGAGAGGACTTTCACTCAGCGAGGAGCCAAACTACTACAGTCACAAGGAGGATAACGCACAACACGCTGCTCCTTTAGTGGGGAGGTGGGGGGGCGTAACCTCCCTACATTCTCCAGCCTCCATCCTTCAGCCACTGCTTTTGAGTCTCCAGGCCCAGATGTAAGAAAAGGGGGGGGGGTGGGGGGGGGGGCTTGAGGAACAGCCTTGTGTCCCGCCTGTCATCTTTCTACTAATGAGGCGGCACAGCAGGGGGAGGAAGTGCCCTGGGACAGCTGCTCACAGCTGGCTGTGTGTGTGCCTTTTTTTGAATGTTTGTACCCCCACTGCAGCGTGTGTGTGTGCGTGTGTGTGTGTCCGTGTGTGTGTGTGTCCGTGTGTGGGGGTTGTTCGGAGGACCGAGATGAAGTGTGGATTGACAGGCAGCGGGTCGGGGGGGGGGGGGGGGGAGGCACTTGGCTTGCGGCTTAGCGGTGCCAGATGTGCACCGTAGACTTTGCAGATGTTTCCTCTGATGCCTCGTGTCAGTTATTGGAGGTGGATTTCGGAGGGTCTGCATTCCAGCTGGAAGGAGGAGACTGAGACATCTGTGCCCTTTATTCCTGACTATCTATTTCATGGTGATTCACACCTTTTTTCTCAATTAGCTAAAAATCTATTCATTGAAAAATATGCTTATTTGCATTGTGAACAGTTTGTTAGCTTAACGCTGCATGAAGACAACAGACCCTGAAATGTAAGAACAAGGATTTCTGGCTTTAAGGAGGATTAAGTGCTCGGCAATTTCCCTCCGTGAGCACAATGGCTTCGTGTCGTCATCGTGGGGTTGTCCCGGCAACCGGTGCATCCTCCGGGGAGTCGGCGGGCCGAGAAATAATCAGACACATAAGCCTCCATAAATCTTCTGGTCTAACTGCGCGTTCCTCTGCGATCCCCTCGGATCAGCCGGCACGCGGATGGAAGAAGCCCCGATTCTCACCCAGGAGAAGACATCGGCCGGCCCACTTACCGTTGTGTATTCAAAGTAATAGAGGCAGTTGTCGGTCAGGATGAACCAGCGTCTCTTCCACGTCTTCACGCGGCCGCCTGCGGAGAGGAAAACGTCACGTTTGAGTTGCAGCTCAAGAGGCGACCGCGTCTGTGCACGTCTGGCTCCACGTGCCACATCTGGTTCTGGTTCCTCCATCAGAGGCCCCTCCCGGCCCGGAGAGATGGGGGTTACTAGCACGCCCCCCCCCCCCCTTCCCCCGCAGACACTCCCCCTTGTCTGAACAGAAAAGCTTCACCAAATGAAATATGAACCGATGGAACATCTGAATGGAGCGATTAAACAAGCACATCTCCTCATAGGCCCCCTGGATCAGATAAAAGAAGATTATTGGGATTATTGGATTTTCTGGTAATTACATCGTCAGTGATGTCATTTACCTTTTGTAATCCAAAAAACCCAATGCGTGCGCTGTCAGCGTGCAGCGTGTGAGCCCCACAACGGCATCTCTGCTGACTGAGAACGAGCGCAACGCAGCCGTTACTCATGTCACGCGTGTGTCACGTTGGCTCGACCCAGATACTCCATACCGCTGAAGTAAAATCACAGAATGTGTAGTTTATTATTCATGGGAAATCTTTACCGTCGGATGCACTCGCTGCATTTAACTCGTTGAAACGTAATGAGGATTTAAAATACGGTCGACTGTTCAAAGGGTTCAAACGATACAGAAAGCTGCTTAAGAATCAGAATAAGTCTGGAGATCCGGATCCCTTCAGGCCGGATGTTTCAACCCGACATTCATTGTGGATTTCTGCTCCGGGATGTTTGCATGTTTTCCTCACCTGTTGCTCCAGAGAGGGAGGTAACACAATGCATCTCACGCTGTCACCATTTAAATGGGTGAACAGGACGAACTATCGGGTCAACAGCTTATTTGTTGGATGCATCCGACGTCCTCGCATGCAGAAAATACACGACGCATTTATCCGTGAACACATTGCTGAGAGACACAACCTGAGTGTGTAACATGCTGCTCATACGTGATGGACTCAGGCACAGTTAAAGGTGACGTGTGATGAGATCTGGAGGAGCTTCACAGCAGAGCAGCGATGCGTCACATTTAACCGCCACCCGAGTTCTTCGTTCAAGCAAAGACAGAAGACGTGTCTCACAAAGCAGGCGCTGCGCTGAGCTCACTAATCGGGGGGAATGGACTTGAAATAATGTGGCAAGAGCAGCTGATGAGATGGAGGGCAAATGGAAACGAAGAGAAGAAGCAGCAGCGTGAGGCTCTGAGGAGCGAAAGGGACGACACGGACAGAAGCCCAGGGTCTCCTCCGTGTCCCCGTGTCCCCTTTTCCCTTTCTGGTTAGCTTAGCGTTAGCACGTGCTCGAGATGTGAAGCAGCAAAACGCAACGGCGTCGACCTCATCCTCCAACTCTCAGCGAAGAATGCGATGAAGGACATTTCACAAGCGTTTTGCACTATTCCCACTAACTGGAATTAAAATCAGTCCAGCGGGCTGACAAACTGCCCTGAATACAGCCGGGAAGTTAAACAGAACATTTACAAATAAGGAGTGTTTCAAAGTGGCCTGACCACAAATGATTTGCTCATGACCACATGACTTTTCCTTTTTTTAATTTGGTTATCACAGCACACGCTGGTGACAAACAAGCAGCGTAATAAAGAGCGTGTGCGCTGCGGTTATATGAGGTCTTCTCGGCATAAACATTTGTTTTCTGCCTGCAGACCATCTGAGACGAGGAATGCAGAATTAGACATCACGGACCTCCTCCTTTGAATCACATAACCCATCGCCTCACAATGCTGTTCTTGCTGACGCAATGAGCCGGTGCGCTGAGGAGATGATGGCCAGAGCAAGGAGGAAGGAGGAAGGAGTGTCACCTACCTCCTAACACAGATAGTTAAGAAGAAGGGACGGCCATCACAGACAGAATGAGAGAACAGAACAAGTTCAGAGAAGAGGAGCGTGGAGCAAAAAACAGAAGGACAACGAGCACAAAGATCACAGTGACTGTACTCGGAGAAGGCGCATGCTTCAAGTGAGGGGAGAGGGAATAGGAGACCAAACGAGGAGGAGAGGTCACGAGATGAAGGACGAAGGCAGAAAAGAAACGTTGGCGTTCTGCCGTAGATCTCCTGGCAACCATCAAGAAGGTCGACGAGTTCTGGGCCAAAATGGGGCTGTGTTAGGAGACGCGATGAGCCGACCACACAAAACGCAGTAAATACGCGTTTCTTGGTGATCGTCAGCTCACCGCTGGTCCTTTATTTCAGCGCTATGAAGACGGTTTACACAACGTTTCACCTTTAACCCCTGGATGACCTGCTCATATGCTAAATATGGAGTTGTCCTTTTCCTGAGTTGAGTGGATTTGGTTATTTTTCTTTAGTTGTTGCCCCCAAGATGTGTCAACCTCCAAGATGGCCGCCAGAGAGCTCCTCGTAAACGAGTTACGAAGACTTATCACCAGGAAATAAAACCGTCTAATGCTGAAAATCAGCCCAATCAAGGAGACCTTTCTGCCTCTAAATGGACGTACCGAGCTTCAGCAGCCAGCCTTCTCTGTCGGGGTTGAAGAACGTGTGCGTCAGATCGTTGCCGTCATCTTCTGGGATTTTGAAGGGTTCGTTTTTGATGCTGTCGTAGAGGTTCTGCAGACAGATGAGGCGAAGAATCAATCGCGGGGAAACGCCTCACGTGAGTCGTCGTGTCTGAGCGCTCGCAGACAACGAGGCCGATCCTCACCCTGAGGAGCTCCTCTGGAAGATCTCCCCCTTCGTTGATGCCCCTGTTCATGGAGATGAAGCGTTCCACGGGGGGCTTGTCCCTGACGTTGGGGTTATGGAGGCTGGTGTTCAGCATAATGATGGCAAATGACAGCACGTAGCAGGTATCTGAGACCACAAAGGGAAGTATATAGTTGGAAAAAATACACAATAAATCTTTATTGTCCAGTTTCTGTTACTTTTTTTTCTCCTTATGGTTTTATTGTCTTCTTCCTATTTACGTCATATAATTAGACAGTTGACTGAATTGTGTTTAGTATGTGTGGTGTAACTTTATCCAGTTCAGTGTATAACAAGGTGTCATCAGCATATTGTGATATTTTGGATAATTTCTGTTTCTTGCATATTTTGGCAGCGTGATTGAAAAACTAATTCAAAGTGTAGAGAATCTCCTCATCGGCCCGTGAGAACAGACCACAGCTCTTTTCCTTCCCTTTTGTCTACGGCATTTATGTTTCCGAGGGAGGGGGGGGAGTAGGATCGAGAGTAACCGGTGAGGCTTTAGTCCACATGTTCAGACACAGTAGACGCTCTAAATGAATCATTCATTCCTCTCGGTCTGCCTCCCCTCGCTGATGCACTCTGTGCCGCGCTGCCTATTGTCTGCCGACAACAAATTGACCAATAAAAAGAAAAAACAGAGTAACGCGGAGCGACGGGAAAGTGGCAGATGAAGCACAGAGAGACGTGGGAGGCTCATTCCACCGGGGATCCAAGGCGGCTGGTTTCATTGAGGACGAATGAGGGTACGAAACTATCCCACTCACAAACACGCGTGTCTAAGAACCTTCTCTGGAGCACATTTGATCTTGTAGCACGCGGCCCCGTCGCGCTCAAACACAACCGCTTTCACTACCCAGCGCCTGTAGCGGCCGTAGGCGGCGTTTATCAGCACGCATCACTCAGCCTGGTTCAGTCGTCCTGAATAACGGATGTTTGTTGCTGGTTGTTTACGCTGAACTCATCTTCATGTAATCTGTTTAATCCCCTTTAAGCTTTAGTTACAGAAACTCTTATGGCTTAGTGTATGAAACGCATTAAAAATACAGGCCATGACTGAACGCATCCTCCACCCTGTGACGCCTCATTCAACACGGTACAGTAAATCCTTTCAGCACGTTGCTCTTCTGCAGGCTGTGAAGGGCCTCTCGTCTGCTGAAGGACCCCTGGTCTGAGCTGCAGCAGCATCCTGGGGTCTGACCTGTGGACTGGAAGACTCCGGCGTTGCACTGGCAGTAGCGCGAGGCGAACGCTTCCATCATGCGGTCGATCTTCTGGGCTTCGCCGGGCAAACGGAAACTCCACAGGAACTGGCTGCGATTCAGAGGGAGATTTCATTCGAGAGGTCAGGGGGGGGGGTCACACGTCATTGCTGTCGTAACGTTCGTCCGCCCCGTGTTTCTGCTCACCGGAGCGCTTGGACGAGGTTGAGGTCCGCAAACTCATGCAGCTCCACGAAAGCCTGCAGCACCTTGATGTTGAAGTCGTCCCTGGTGGGAAAGAAATGCAGATGAGACAATATATGATATCCAATCTCATATATATATGTATATATACACACATATTTATATCCGAGCGGTTCCTTCTATTCCAAAGGGAAGATCTAAGCTCTCTAAACAATGTGAAGGCAGATGACATCTGCTCTCATTCAGATATCATGGATGTTCCTGATCCTGTACCGTCTCTGTGATGCGGATTGGTCAGAAGTATCCGGGACTTTCCTGACTCTCCGTTTGGGGTTTATTGTAGAAGGGACACTGGCTGCAGCCGTCGGCTGACTGGAAACAAACTTCCAAACTTGTTTTGAAGTAACTAATTATTTGGCCGATGACTTGGGGGACTTCTTGTTCTTGTACACTAAATCAAAGGGATCCCGTCCTATGAGGGTCTGAGATGTGAATGTGACGCTGTAGGTAGAACATGGACAACGTGTGCGTGTAACAAAGACAGCTGACATTCAGCCACATCCATCTCCTACGATACGTTCTCCTTCCTCCTCCTCTTCTTGTGTGCTTTCTCCGGTTCCCCCCGTCTTCATGCCCCCCCCCCCAGCATGTAATGACTGGTTGCTGCTCCCTGCATAAGCTCCATTAAGCGCTAATTACTGAGCATAAACCCTCAGCTTGTGTTTAGTGGGATTTTCCCCGTGTAGGTGGCCTCTTTGATGATAAGCCTATTGGCAACGAGTCCCCAGAGACACCCCTCAGTGCTTCATGTCTCCTGCAGTCTGACAGATGTCTCACCGCTCGCCCAAGTAGTCTCCGATGACGGTCTTGTTGAGGCCCTCGCCTTTGTAGAGGAACTGAGCGATGTCCTCGGGCGTGTGTTGGAGGAGGTCGTTCTCCAGCAGGAACTGGATTCCCTGAAGAAGGAAAAAAAAAAACTTTGTTTGTCTCAATTGAGGACGGCTGATGGGACGTCAGACAGAGAGCCCGGCGTTTCCCTTCGAGGACACACGGTACCTTCTTTGGGTCCATGTTGAACTTCTTCCTGCCCATGGCGATCTGCTTGTTTCTCTGGGAGGATTTACTGGAACACAGAAGCATTTCAGCGCGTATTAATCGGTTTCTATTATTTGTGAACATGATCCTAGAACCACACGAGCGCGGAGACACGGGGAGCATCGTTTCTTTCACGCAGCTTGTTGTTTGGACACTCAGAGACGTGTAGCTACGGCAACCTGACGTCCTCCTCGTCCACGTCTGGTCCGGCACACGTATTCATGAACCGCCTTCAACATGCAAATCCAAAACTCACTTTGAAGCCACCTTTGTACCTTCATGTACGTCAATGTTACCGATGCATTCGATAGAATTCACTTCACGCGACACAAACCGTTACTCACGTTTCTCCGACACACGTCAGCTGCTCGATCTCCGTCATGACCTCCGCTATCTCGAACTTCAGCTTCTGAGAGGGAAAGAGCGAGAGGGTCGGTTCCTTCCTTTGAATTGAACCTGGAAAAGCCTTCCGAGGCGCAGGAGGGCAGAGGATGCCGGTCCATCATGTGCACATGCAAATAGATGTGCAAAGCTGCAGATGGAAGGCAAATGAACCGCTGAGGAATAACTGACAGGGACTGTTCTCCCCTGTGGGATCACGGTTTGACACTAAAATCAATCTGCACAACGGCTCGGCCTCAACGCTCCAATACGTATATGACACTCAGACGTCCAAGCACGCACCTCGATGTCATCGAGCAGCTCTCTCTTCCTGCGTCGGATGTTTGAAAGCTCGTCCCTCTCCTCCGGGGACAAGTCCTCAGGAACTGGAACATGTGAAGGAGGAAACACAGCAGACTTTAGCCCGGCTTCCGTGCGCCTGCACAGCTCGCTGCAGACAGCGACGGGCCGATCGAAGGCGATTCATCGTCCTCGAGCAGCGACGCGACAGAGATGCTGCTTCAGCTGCTTGAGCAGCAGATCTCAGATGTTGCTCTTAATTAACCAGAGGAAGCGAGAAAGACCTTAATTATTGCACTCGAACGTCTCACTCAGGCTCGGGGAGGCGTCTATTAATAAAAAACAATCCAGATTAAGTTTTCTTTCATTAAAAATGAATTTGCTAATTTAACACGGCTTGCGACATTGATTGGGCTTCACCCCCCCCCCCCTCGGGCCAAAGAGGAAGGACTGTTTCAACTTCCCACTCCTTTCCCAATCCCACTCCTTTTCCTCTCCGTCCTCCCCCACACACACAACGTAACCCCGAAACAACTCCCCCCTCTCTGCAGCACAAAGAGCCATTTGCCTCATTAAGACGGCTTAGAGGCAGAAAAAAAGAGAAAATCCCTCGGCGGGAAAGTGGCGCGTCTACTATCCTGCCGCAGCGTTGTGCCTCCGTGCTGCTGCGCGGGAGATAAAAACATGTCGCCCGTTTTCCCTCGCGGGCGGGAAACGGTTCCAATTAGAGGGAAACGAGGTCGGCGGCTCGAGGGGAAGCGTTGAATCCAACAGATTGTCGAGGAGTTTGGTTCGCCATTGTTAAAGACACCGTTCTCCTCGACACTGAAACAAAAGGACCGTGACCCAGTTATGTAATCCTGAGGCGCCGTAACGAGGGGGGGGGTCAGGTGCAGCTGCAGAAACAGCTGGAGGACGTCCTCCGTGTGCCGTAAGAGACAACAAGATGCTCATCGGTGCTGCTGCAGCTTCCTCACAGAAGAAGTTCTTCTGCGTGACGAGCGCTTCCTGCATCGGCCCTCATGCACAACCAGGTCGCCTGCTCTTGAAATGTGAATTGTTGCAAACTGTTAAACGCCTGAATAATAGTTCGACATTTTGGGAAACACCGTCTTCGTTAGATAAGTTTAGTTTAGTGTCTCCACATCGCCGCTTCCATGCGGATCCACTCACATGCTTCATGTTGTGTGTCTTTGCGTTGCGACAAGCATCAGACCGTCTACGTTAGATGACTTTACGTGTCATTTAGCTTTCATCCGAAGCGACTCACAATGAGTGAGTGAGTCGGCTGCTTCTGCTGAAGTGAAACTTCTTTATTTCTGTGTGAGAGAAATGAGTTCTGAGGCCGTGTGAGGACACGCATTCTGGTCCATCTCACGGAGCGGTGGGCCGAGAGGTTCCAGCGGGTTTAAAACGCCGACACGTACACCACAGAACAAGAGGCTCCGGTAATCCCCCCAAAACCCCCCCCCAAATCCCTCAAAGTCTACTTCAAGGGGTAAATCCCCTGCTGCTCTTCACACCCAAAACCAACCACTGCCCCGAGCCCCCCCCCCCACTGGAACCAGAGGCTGGGATGGGCTTCAAACCAACGGCACCGACCCGCAGACTGAGTCTGGTCACATGTCAATCAGCTTGAGCCTGTTGGAGCGGACGGATGGAGAGGGGAAATTAATCAGGTTTAAAAGGCCTTTCCAAGTGAAGACCGCAGTCTTCATACCGGTGGCGAGGTCCTCGGGCCCACGAGGCTCAGACTAAGAACCCCGGCGGCGCTGCCACTGCTCGCCGGCTCGTGTGGCCGACTTTGGGCCAGAGGGTCCATAATGTAATGTCTCAAAGTGGATGAGCTTTGAAAAAAAAAAAAAAAGAACGGTTAACCCTGTTACCCGGTGGCCCTTTTGGCCCAGTAGGTCACACCGCAGGAACGCCCCCCCCGGCCCCCAATATCCCTTTAACTGCAGATGAAGCCGGTTCAGACAGACAGACAGACGAGTGCATACACACCAACAGCAGTTGGCATTATTCCCCCCCCCCCCCCCCTTTCACACAGATGTTGATGTCTGGCCTCCGGGATGAAGCGGTGCGACACGATGTGCAGCGCAGCACGCGGCTCAGGAACGCCGTGAAGTCTGCACGGAGGCCGGCGCCGGGGGGGAAAGGTCGCGCCCCCCGCATGCGCAGAAAGCCGTGCAACGTGAAGCTTCACACTTCAGGAGGGACAAAAACTAAATAAGGTTTTTAAATAAGAAATGATTGATGTCAGAACCTTTCGATGGCAACACGTCTGTGCCTTGGTGCACCTCCTCTGTGTGCGTGAGAAGGGAGATTTAGGGAGTTATTGCGGCTTCCCGTTTTTAACTACATGCGGGGTCTCGGGGGGGGAGTCGGGGTGTCGGGGAGCTGAAGAGCCCCCGCCCTGATTGCTCCGTGTAATCTGCAGTCGTGGGGAGGGACCTCCTGCTGTGCTTGCGTTTGTGCGAGAAGGAGGGGGACACCGCGTCCTGCTTGTATCGCAAAATCTGCTGGGCATCGGCGGCGCGTGGGCATTATATCGGGCGAGCGGCGAATGGAAGGGGGCTTCCGCTGCCATATGCTGGTTGCCAAAGTAACCATAATCTGATGGTTTCATCGGATTACATGGAGGCCGTTTCTTCTGGCGCCGCCGGCAGGATGAGGGGCTTTCGCAGGCCGAGGACCGCCTCCCTCGTCCCTCGCCGCAACAAAGCTAATTCAGCAAAAAGCGTTGAACTGCAGCAGATAAAGAGAGACGACGTGAACGTTACGCGGCTCAGCGAGCGTTGTCTTCATTTAGGCGTCCGGTTTCTCACTCAACACGGAGCGTGACAGAGATCTTTGAGGGCTGTTGCTTTCTGTGAGAGTCGGGTGATTGACAGGAAGCAGATATGAACAAACGCCGTATCTGATGTGAACACGTTATTGTGACGGATATCCATCTCGGGCCGGCGTTCAACGCGCACGCCGTGGACGAGAGGGAGCGCGCCGTCTGTCTGAGGCGCGGCTCCGTTCGCGTCCATGATCGCACTCAGAATGACACCAGACATCTTTGATCCCCCCCCCCGACGTTTCAATGATTTGTCTCTCTTGTGTTTGGCTGCAACTTCACTGCAATTCCTTGAAGATGGATGAGGTTTAATGTGAACGCGCTCCGGCCTGGAGGGGGAACGCACGCCGTCCATCATGGACAGTGAAAAGTGCAGGAAATGAAATGAAAGAGAGCCAGGACGAGTTAACGCGGCGAGAACGACGTGGGCGTCGGCGTGCTTCTCCATTCCCATTGAGCCCGAAGCCAAGAAACAGCTTGACAACCTGCGGCTGCACATCACGCATCAGTACGCGTGTTTGTGTATTTGTCTGGTTGCACGTGGTATTCTGTGTAGTACGTTTAATCTTCTAATGTCGTACCACAAAATCTGCCTTGAAGCCTCGAAAACGACACGGCCAGTCTGCCGTCAATCGAAGCGATCGCAAATCAGCAGCTTTCAGCACATCTTCTGGCGTCTGTGTCAGCCAATAACAAAACGTAACGAAATCCGCTGAGTAATAGTAAAAAAAAACGTGCGTGCAACTTGTGACCAATTCTTTGCCGAATTAGCGGCGATGTGCAAATATCCCACGTGGTGCTTCTGCAGGGATGAAACAGCCGTATAGCTGGTGCCTCTCTGGCGTCCTCCTACACACTCGCCCTTCAGCCAACAAGGGCCGTACCCTAATCCCCCCCCCCCCGCCAGATAATCCCCCTCACAACCAAACACTGAACCACTCCACTGGGTGTCCATCACACGTCCGGCGACTTTGAGGAGAAGATAAGGAATATGTATATTTGTGGAGTGGAGACATTTCCAATCAGAGACGGGGCCCCGTTGAAAAGGCCCTCAGGCTGCAGTCAGATAGCATTTGTTGTTTCAGCGTTCAGTCCAATGGCAACAGAAGAATCGAAGGAAAGGCCTTTCCCAATCCACTTTTCCCACGGTCAGATAGACAGAGGAGGGCCGATTGACACCGCGAGGTTATCGAGGCGCTCACACGGGAAGCGCGGCGGAGGGAAGTCCATTAACCAACGCCTCCAGCCGCTTGGCGGCGTCTGAATCCACAAAGACGACGTCATTCCAGGGAGCCTCGGCCCTGACGGGGCTCTTTATTGGAGGGCGTTTTTTAAAAAGGTGAATTCTATTCATTTCCGCGTTTTAATGCCTCCGACTCCCGAAAGAGACGTTTTGTCAGCCGAAGGAGTCCCTCGACTGCGGCGCAACAAAGCCGCTCTGAAGACGAGAAACATGCAACAGAGCCAAGTGTTGAAATGCAGGGCCTCCGTCCAGCCTTTCCACTCCGTCTCTGCCTCTGTGCTCTTTCCGTTTCTCCGTCCAGCTATACGATGACGCTAAAAATAGACCCGTGAGCAATGAAAACACTGACTTTCGAGCCTGTTGCTGATTTTCATCCACTTTGAGGCCCGGCTCCGTCTGCTCTGCGGCAAGTTAACACAACAGAGAAGCGCCAGCCGTGATTAGCGAGCGCCGTAATGAGTCCCGCGCCGGCGAGACGCCCTTCACTTCACTGCGTGGGTGACTTTGGCTCAGCAACATGTGTGGAGGTCCGTCTGCCTGTTGCATCACCGCCACTACTTCAAAGATGTCCCTTTGTGCAGCGACAGGCTGTCCATTATTCTGCACAAAAGGTCCCTGGCTTCAGAAGCGTCCCCGTCCCCACTTCGGGGCCCCCCGGCTAATCAGTCACCCTGATCGCCAAAACGCAGCCGCCCACGAGCTGCTTCGGCCTCACGCGAGGCGGCTTGTAGGGGGGGGGGGGGCTCAGCTCCTCATGCAACGATTACTAATCCTAAATAGCTTTAGGCAGAACAAAGCGCGTCCCCAACTTTCAACATGTGGCGCGTGGTTTGCGTGCACGCGGCAAAGAACACGCTGCCCAACGCACACATGTGAGGCTGAAGTGCAGACGTGTTGGCACGCAGAAAGCGGATTAGACACGTATCTGACACGGTGAATCAGCAGCTGCAGACTATAACATACATACCTGCAAATCCTGGTTCTAAACTATTGGGTTATCATGGTAACACGCAGAACGTCTCTGCCGTGACCGATTTAGCCCGCCGTGATACCAGCGTGCATCACGGCGTGCATGTGAACAATGTTAAGTGATGCGTGCAAGAGAGCGGGAGGCAGCGAACATGAACTCTTATTATGAAGTTCTTTTAATATCGGCCTCACATGCTTCGTGACGCCGCTTGTATGTTTCCAGTTAGGTGACAGAGGGCGACTCTCTGCGACATCCTGTCACGTGTTACCGTGACCGCTGGCCTCATACGGCGGATGGAACACGTCATTAACGGACTGGTTCTTGAGGAGATTTGGATATTTCTTGGGTAGAACGTTGATACTAAAGGAAACCTGAATGTGAATGTACGGCGCTTTTATCAAAATGTAATTGAAATGCAGCATATATAATAAGATAAAAACAACAGAGCGATTATAGAAAGACAGAAATAGTTCATATTCCGTCTGTCGGCAGAAGTAGAGTCTGAATTGTCCAGATGTGTCTCCTGGATCGTCCGAGTCTCTCACCATTTAACTGACAAAGCGTTATCAGCCCTTTGTTTCCACTCCGGCCCTCACGGCGGTTTGGATTATCTGCTCTGAAGCATCTGTGTTTCAGCAAACGTATCACATAATAAGAACTGCGAGCAGTAATCCTGGTTAGACGCGCAGCTGCACGGGCGCCATTCATTCACACTCGCAGCACACGACCCGCCGTGACTCCATGTCACCTCCACCTCCTCCACTGTGATCTGCACTAAACTAATAACAACGTGTCCACCTCATCTACTTTGTCTCCAACGTGAGACTCAAATATCAGGGACTCGTTTTATTACCACTGCTTTTTCTCAAAGGATGTAGAACCTGCTTGTGTGTCCTCCGAGTCCTTGCAGAAGACATTCAGATATCTTATCAGATTTCCACCAGTTTAGAGGCTTCAAACATCGCAACCAGACGGTGAGCAACTTCACAGCCCTGCAGCAGGACATCGAGCAGATGGAGACGTTCTTCAGCGTTAAAAGACAGAGAATCACCCGCGAACCATTATTGACGATCATCGGCTCTTATTGAATGATGGAATCATCCAGGCTCTGAAATACCTGCATGCATCGTCGCGCCCGCGCGCACACGCACATCCATCCCGTCCCCTCGTGCACGCGCGCCGCCAGAGGAAGCGGACCCGACGCTGGAGACGCGCTTACCGTGGTCGTCTTCCTCCATGGTGGCTCTGCGGGGGGAAGGTGTCTTGATTCGCGGGCTCCTCTCTTTGCTTTCCTCCCCCCCCCCCCCGCTGACGCCGAAGAACCGGGCCGCTGCCAGACGTCACCTGGGGAGAGAAAAGGAGGAAAAGGGAGGCGAGAAGAAGAGCCGCAGTCCGGGAGCCGGACGAAGGGAGGCGCGGAGGAGCTGAGCGGGCGTTTCGGGGGGAGGCTGGAGGCGATGTGAGGGAGCTTCTCCCCCCCCCTCCCTCTGCTCCATCCTCAGCCGCCTGCGTTCACACGAGGCGCAGCGCGTCAGCGGCTACGTCACCAAGCCCCGCCCCTGATAAGAGAACCACACACACACACACGTTGAAGCCTACAAATAAAAGCAAAGAGAAGCCAGTGGGAACACTGAGGGCCGATGGCGGAGGGAGGATTTTAAAGGAAAAAGAAGAACACGAATGTGTCAGCGGCACGTTGTCATCATGTCCTGCTATCAGATGTTTATCCAAAGCGACTTACATTACACTTTAAACCCGTGGCTTTTTCACATTTTTGCCTGGGGAGCAATTAGGGGTTGGGTGTCTTGCTCAGGGACACTTGGACATGGAACATGGGGCAGCCTGGACTCGAACCACCAACCTTGTGCTTCCCAGCACACCTTCTCTAACCCCTGCGCCACGACGACCCCCGTCCATGTTGGTTCAGCGTCAGCGACAAGTCAAGAATCAGCATTGTCTTTCTTTTGACCACACAGTTGTTCAGTAGATCCATCAGCAGCTTGAAAACACGGACCTGCAGCCGGTGTTTAGTTCCTCTTTAAGGTCGGGGGTCATGCTCCTTGAGTGCAGTCAGGGGTTAAACTCAATCAATGACATGGGGGGGAAACTGATAAGCGCGAAACATGTCAGACGTGCCTCTGCTTCTATTGCAGATCTAATTGACCTCCTTTACCTCCCGCCAACCGCCGACTTTCCTTCCTTCCCTAGTTGTGCGTTTGGAGCGCAGACTTGTCCTCTGCCTGTGACTCGTCCCCCTTGGTGCGGGGCGCGAGGACAGGACACCTCTGGAGGCCTGTGGCCGAAAGCTTCCCGGCCGCCCTGCCCAGATGACCTCATGCCTCGCCGAGGTTTTTCCAGGGAAGATCCCGGGCCACGCCGGCGGCGATGTGCTGCGGGTCGAGGGCAGGGCCCAGCTCGTGGTCGGAAGGAAGGGAGTTGTGCCGAGGACGTATTGTACAGCAATACAGGCGGACAATGGAAGAAAGTTGGAGAAAAGGAAGTGATAAGACCCCCCCCCCCCCCCCCACACACACACACACACACACACACACACACACACGCGTTTCAAATCAGTGCAGAAGTGACAGTCCCTTTTCTTTGAACTTCACCCCTTTAAGGGACGTCGTGACCCGACAGTACGCAGGAGTCCAGCGGGTTACTCTTTGTGCGACAGACACTTTTGTGTACCGGTACACACGGCAGTGCTGCGGGTGCTTCCTCAGCCTTCGATGGTCAAAATGTGACCCAAAGAGAAACGGTTCCGGTTTAATTGCCTTTACGTATCGATTGGTTCAGCCTCACAAACCAGCGGCAGTCTTGTGATCTGATCACATGCTTCTGACACAAAAGCTGCTCTCTGCTGGGACATACGTCTTTCCTGTGTTCCCTCACACATACGTCTTATCTGGTCTATGAACGGGGCACAGCGCACTATGACACACTTCGCTCCTCAAGGGGAGCGTTAATGTTTTTCTCCCCCCCCTCAGACGCTCCTGGCAGAAACCACTACTGACTGCAGTGTCGGTGGTTACAGCCGGTTTGCAGCAGGATTCCCGCCTGCAGCCAGACACCATCGCAGGGTTTCACCTTCAGTACGAAGCTCATCCACGTCCCGAGCTCACAACAAGTGCAGTGGGTTCTGTGTGGGGGAAGTGAGGGACGTCAGCTTTTGGGAATGATCGCGTGTCGAGTGCAGATGTCCGGAGCGGACACAGGAAGAGGCTCGGTTTCCAGTTTTAGTGGAACCAAAAAGGGTGCAGTCCAGCAAGCTCCCTCCATGCTGTAACCCAGTTAGTTCCCATATAATCAATGAAACACTGCAGTTTAATCCGTCTGCTGTTCACAGTGCACGCAGTGTTTGGTTGGATGTGGAACGTTTAAAAATGAAGCCGATACTACGGCATTCATGATGGAACACAACGTGCAGCATTCAGCCTCTTTGATTCATTCTCCACCCATGAACTTCTTTCCAGTTTATTGATAGAAGTAAGATTTATTTCTCCCGTTTGTGAGCCAGCAGAGGAGCAGTGGATGCGCTGTGGGAGCGTGGAGCTACAGGGCTTCATGTGTCCGCCTCGGTGTCGGTGAACACGTGTTCTTTCTGAGGTATGTTGAGTCTCACTTCATTTTCACTGGAAACACGTTTCACTGTTACTATTAAGATTACAGCCGACAGCAGCGAGCTCCTCTCTGTCACACTCCTTCAGGTCCAGGAGCTGCGAAGAAGAGCAAATTACAACAATTCATCAAAACTGCAAACAGCAAACTTCCAAAACCTCGCACAAGTCCACTCTTCTTACAGGCTTCTCCTTCGACTCATTACGTTTGGACGCTTTCTGCGCTGTTCCTCTTAAATTTGGCTTTATTTTCTCTCCTCCAAACAGGCTTATCCAAATGTTCTTGGCCTGAAGGTTTGAATACCTGAACAATGTGGTAAAGATGTTGTGCACAGCAGCTTCAGATGTGTTGTCATCACAAATAATCTCATTTATTTAGATGTCTTCAACGTATTCAATGTCAAAAGAGACACAGAATGAAAAGGGAGGACAAAGGAAACGCGTCGGCCTTCTTTCCAACTGCGAGCAGAATGTTGTAATCCCATCCTCATCGCTCGCATGTGACTCACCTCACAGCTTCAATGGTTGACTCATGGTTGAGTGCAATTTGGGAAATGATGGGACCACACAGAAGAAGTCCTCTGTCACCTGATGACTAAAGCTCTGCAAATGCTGCAAGTCACTGCTTATGCAGAGTCGGGACTCCTTCGAAAGTTTATTCACGGGGAAGTTTGATGTCTGCTACATGGCTGCCTTTTGTAGTTTTGTGCGTTCATTCATGTGTGTTACCTTCTTATAGTAGCATATTAACAGATTTGCATTGCCCAGCGAGGGCTCCACTGAGAGGTTCTCTGAGCATCAATCGGATGCTGAATGATTCATAGAGACGCCAGTTATTTAGGATTTTAGGCTTAAATTTGCTCATTTGGGAAATGGAAACAGCAGCAGCACAAAGCCCTGTTCCTTCATCAGCTTAATGCGTTCTGCTCAGCTGATGGAATCCAAGGAATAGCATGCGGATGCCCTCGTGCTGTAGCTTCCACTCCATTAGCAATGTTGACTTTCTCCCGCATGTGTGGTACCAGACTTCCCGTGGACTCTGTTGTGAATGCCGCTTTCATTAAAGAGCACATTCTGGCATTTAAGCGTTGATTGCGTACAGACAGTCGCTCTGCCTCCTATGCAAATGAGAGCAGCGTGACAGGGGTCATTAGGTGTCGGTGATTATTTAGAGGGCTAATGGTTCAAGATAATGAGCCGACTCTCCGAGCTGCAGCGTGAAGGAAGGTGCATGCAGACCGAGGCAGGGAACGTGACCCTGCACACAAGGAGCCTCAGCGGCAGAGTCCTCTCTAGTGGTGGAGAAGCACTACTGGTCAAACCCTCGGGGGTGAAGCTCCTGCTCGTTCCTCCAAAGCCAGGCCTGCAGGTTCCAAAACACGCCTCACATATTGACCTGAGAGCAGGAACCGGTCTCAATGTCACATGTTGATTCGCTGCTAATTCATATGCAACCATCCAGTCCATTTAATTCTACAATGAGTTTTTTAGGTGTTTGTCTGCTTCAGAACATATTTCATCTTTAATTTTTGAATTTAATTCTCCGTCTGGCATCCCGAGGTCCCCCAGCGGGACTCCACTGGGTTTTACAGCCTCCCTGGTGTGCCGGCGACAGGCCTGTTTATCCTTCATTAATCTCTCTCCTCCGCTTTCTCCCCCACTTAGTGGCCACGTTTATCCTATTAATGTGCTGTTTGCTGAACAAATCCCCCAATAACAGATCCAGAGTCGAGGTTACTAATGTATTGATGTGCATGTGTGTGCGTGTGTGTGTGTGTGTGTGTGTCCTATACACTCAGTGGTTGCCATGGATTCCGTGATTAATGGACAGAGAAATAAAACCATTACAAAGATGATACATGATGCTTTAGGCAAACTGTGACTACACTGTGTGTGTGTGTGTGTGTGTGTGTGTGTGTGTGTGTGTGTGTGTTTTAGATATTTTAGCATTACAGATGTGTACTATTATACATTGTAGATTGACAGTAAAACTGTGGAGATGTAAAATGCTGTCCTCTCGTGTTGAAGTGTATTTTTAAATTTGATGATGTCTTTATGTAAAATCTTCCTTTACATGTTAAACAAATAGCTGTCAGATAAATGTTGTGGATTAAATCCCCCTGAACCATAAACAGCTTAAACATAAAAAAAAAATGTTTAATCAAGTGGAAAAAACATCCCTTAGTTGCACAGTTGTAATGGAGTGAATTTACTTTCTGCCACAATATCACTTTTTATTTATTCAGAGCATTAGGTATGTGAGATCCAGTTATATTTCACAGCCAAAATGTTTTGAATTTGAGAATCAAATTCTAGATCTTCCAGTACCGCATTAACACGAGCAGAAACCATATTATATGAAGGACCAGTTGAGTCTGCACTTTGTTTTGTTGTTCACACATCCAGAGTCCGTTGTGCAGTTTGTGAGTGAAATAGTGAACATATTAATTATTTATTTACTTCCACGTTCAAGATACCTACTTGAACTTTTCCTCTTTCTGCTCCAGCCGCACTACACGTCAGAAGAAACGGTTTCACTCAACTCTACTTGACAAAGGGTTTCTAGTTTCTATAGATAATAAATCAACTGCATCTTTACCAGCTGCAACATTACAAATGCTACACATCTACGACACTGAGCATTATTATCACATTAACTAGCTTTATTCTATTGCATCCCACCTGTGCACTCCGACACTGACGAAGAAGAACACTCTACGAGCCCAAGGGGGCGGGGTTTTCCCTTCCTGCTCGGACCGGATGTGACGTGTGACATTCTCGGGAGCAGCAGCTTCTAAACTGTGGGCGTTTTTTTTCTTCCCTTCCTCAATCTTTTTTCCTTTCTGGGTGTTGCCTGCCTCCAACTTCCACCGGTTTGTCGCAAGAGAAACAGGAACGAGACGGATTTTTCTATAACCACAACATTTATCAACTTGGACCGCGTTCGAGGCCCTCCCCGGCACACTTTGTTTGTACTTCTCGGCCAACTCCGGACTTGTTTTACTTTAGCCGCCGTTAGCCCGCTAAGCTAACCGGGGATCGAGCCGCTGTAGCCTTCGCTAGCGAGACGGACGTCCGATGCAGGCCATTAAGTGTGTGGTGGTGGGGGACGGGTACGTTGAACCTTCTTCTTTTCTTCATCGTCGCGTTGAACTCTAAACTGTCCCCGCTGTTAGTCACAATTGCAGCGGCCAAGTGAAATGAAAAACCACCCCAGTCGCTTCGGTTGACCCAGTTAGCAACAGTTGTTCGAGCGGCTAACGAGCCTGCGGTGACTTGAGTGACAGCTGTTGTCGTCCCGGCTGTGCGGCCCGTTCACACGGATCCGTCCCGCGTTTCTGGACATGTTTGACGTGTTTCTTTAGGAAGGAAATGTCCAAAAGCTGTGACGAACAGAGGGTCGCAACTCATTTTGTAAAATATGTTGTAATCGGGCTTTTTAAAACATTGAAGCAGGTAAAAGGTGACGATTACGTCTTAACTTGGTTGATCTCAAGTCTACTTCTAACCAACATTGTGAAACACTGTTTACAGTATTGTTTGCATTTAGTGAATGCGGACATGAATCTGAAAGCTTGGTTCAGTTGATAAGACTTCTTTAAGTCGGCCTCCACCGGTTAAACCGGTCGTTCCTGGCTCCTTAACCCAAATGTTAAATTATACTTAAGACACTAAATGTGATCAAATCTGCTGGCGTCCTCATGGTGTTTTCTTTGTCCGTCTCTGATCCCAGGGCTGTGGGGAAAACATGCCTGCTCATCAGCTACACTACCAATGCCTTCCCTGGAGAGTACATCCCCACCGTGTAAGTCTCTCACACACACACACACACACACACACACACACACACACACACACACACACACACACACACCGCCTGTGAGGTGGTCAGAAGTTGTTTTAGAAGCGTATTAGGATCTGTGCGCTGTGTGGTTCGGGCTCTAATCTGTTCCTCCCTTCCTTTAAAGCTTCGACAACTACTCTGCAAATGTGATGGTTGATGGGAAACCAGTGAACCTGGGCCTGTGGGACACAGCGGGGCAGGAAGACTACGACCGTCTCCGGCCTCTGTCCTACCCTCAGACGGTACGTATATGCATTCACACCCAGCGGGGACGGGGCCTCGTCTCGGGCCACTGCCGGGCACCGACCGCCATCTGCCAGACAATGCTAGCGTGAACACTGCTCTCCCTTTAGCGCCGTTGAGAGGGAGTTATTCACTGGCTTGTTAGTGCCTACGGCGGTCAGCGAGCAGAGCGCTGTATCCATAGTACCTATACACCGTCTGGAGGAAGTGAAAAGCAGCCTTGTTTGCACTCTTTGTGCCGTCAACAATCTGGCCTCTGTGCCAACGACTCGCAGGGAGCTGAAAGTGAGAGTTTGTGTGTGTTTAACCCCCAGAGTCCAGATTTGTTATCTAGTTTAGTGAACCCCTCGAGTCCGTTAGCTCATTTTAACATTAAGATTCTTGTACGAGTTGTAACAGTGGCGGTTTGAGTTTTTAATGCTGGAATGATGTTTATCCTTTTCTGTCCTCAGGATGTTTTCCTGATTTGCTTTTCACTCGTCAGTCCAGCCTCCTTTGAAAACGTCCGTGCCAAGGTGAGAAATGCCAGCTTTTAAGCCTGCAGCGGGTCACAGCTGTCAAATATCTGAATAAGTTATGACACGACTAAAACGCAGGTAGAAACTTGATACTAAATGTTTAAAAATCTGTTTATCTGAAAAACTGACCCCTTTCTTTTAGTCTGACGTTTATTTAGATAAATGTAAGAAATGCCACGCATTGTAACAGCCGGGCTGAACACTGTCCACCTGCGTCCTGCAACCTTTGACTGTGTCCCCCCCCCCCCCAGTGGTACCCTGAGGTGAGACACCACTGCCCAAACACACCCATCATCCTGGTGGGCACCAAGCTGGATCTGAGAGACGACAAGGACACTATCGAAAAACTCAAGGAGAAGAAACTCTCCCCGATCACCTACCCTCAGGGCTTGGCCATGGCTAAAGAAATAAGTCAGTTCCAACACACACACACAGATAAAAACGCTTAAATGATCTCAGGCCGCTGTGGCCGTGTGGTCCAAACCCTCGTTTCTTTGGTAATCTGACTTCTCCCTCGGCTGCGCCTGCAGGTTCGGTGAAGTATCTGGAGTGCTCCGCTCTGACGCAGCGCGGCCTGAAGACGGTGTTCGACGAAGCCATCAGGGCGGTCCTGTGCCCCCCGCCCACCAAGCAGAGGAGGAGGAAGTGCAGAATATTGTAAGGGACTACAGGGGGGGGGGAGGAGAGGACGGCTGGGGGCCTCAAATATCTCGCCCCTCGTGTCCTTGCTCACATAGAAGCTCCGGTAGTTCGTACTTCCATCTGAAAAACGTCACAGATTCAAGCGGCGCTGAAGTTTCCGTTGTTAACTTACATCTGTTTAGTTTGTTCAGTTTGACGTAAACACATTGATTTCTGTTAAGGCCTTTGGGGGATGTGAGGGGGGGGTTGATTAAGGAGGATTTTTAGAAAAAGTACAACATGTGTGTCATTTTCTCAGACACTACAGACAAACATTACTCGAGTGATTTTATCATGAACTCACAGTAGATTCCCCTCCCAGTGGAGGTGGTGCTGCACACTAAGATTCCTGCTGCCTTGGTGACACTAGTTTGAGAGGAAAATGTTGTTTGGAAGTTCTAATGTCTCCTTTCCATCGTCATGCCAGCTGTGGTTTAGAGGCCCTTCTGTTTACGTGCGTCTTCTGGCTGGTCAACAGTTGTCCCTTTGTAGTCCCTCCAGGAAACCACAACGTCTCCTCCTTTTTTCATTTGGTACCAGGGGGCTTCAGCCGGTTTTATGATGTCTAGGAGCCGGCGTATTCTCGATTGAATGTTGCAAACAGATTTAAATGTTTTTGTTATACAATATGAGCGTTTCCTATTCAGCAAATACATTTTATTTTATAATGAGCAATGATCAAATTGCACGGGTGCTCCGGGGTTCCACTGTGTAAACTCATTTTATCAGCTTCAGTGGAAATGCTCACTTGCATTTACTTTCATGCTAAATGCGATTTGGTTTCCGCTGTAATGTGGTGATTTCTTTACTTTTTTTTTTTAAGCAAATAAATTCCTCAAAAAAGCTTTGAAAAAAAATTCTGTCCAAACTTCAGTTAATGAACACAAAACTGCTAGTACTGACTTTAGTACTTTTATACTCATTGTACCTTTGAGAAAGTAACCAGTAAAATGCTTCGGTGTTTGTAGCCATGCTAGCTTCATGCTAGCTTCATGACTCATCTGTTAAACATCAGCATACTGTTGCTCGGTGAATTTCTTTAGCATGTCGATGATGAAAATGTTGTCTTCTGTTGATTTACTTTATTATTGGTCAAGTAACGCTTTTACTTTATAAAATTATACAGGATTAGTGTTTTTATTTTTTCAAGATGGATAAAATGAAGTATGAGAGCCACAAGGGAAGTCAACTTTTTTTCAAATGTAACCACAATGGCAGTTTATGTAATTTCATTAAAGTAAAAAAATGAAAATCCAATAATCCAGTTTTGGTTTTATTTGCACACCATGTTAGAATGATATCTGTATATCCGCTGTAGTGTGGACAATGTCGAAATAACCACACAGAGACCAAACTGGCTGACTCGACGCTTCACTGAGATAAATATCACAACCTGGAACACGTACGCTTTGGATACTTCATGATAAATTAGACTCCCCACTTGGCACATTGCATTATTTGCAATCCACATCAGTGGAAAGTACCTCTGAATCAGCTGTGTGCCATAAATAGATCTAAATGCCATAGAATCCAAACTAATGCTTTTTAATGTATAGTTTTATCTTGTACACATTCCTTCATTTAAGACACCTTTGCTACTTTGGAAATAACATTGTCTGAAATGCTTTTCTCTCCAAGCAAATCATTTGTACAAAATCCTTCATAAGACACTTTAAAGACACAACCACTGTGTTTTATTGAATCAGAACAAGGGTGTAAAAGCATAAAACAAACTGGGGCACTAAGAAAAACATTTCAGTTTTATTTAGTCTGTTCTGTGGACGATGACGTGTTCAGCGGTCCTCCTGTTCCGGGGTCGTGAACCGACTGAAGCCCTCTGAGGCACATTTGTGAATGTCAATCAAATTAACTAAACACCTGTAAGAAACATCAGAGCTTCAGAGCACAAAGGAAGGTTTATTGGTGTAAAGTGCAGAATTCATTCACAAATTTGAAGAAACGTTTTGATCAACATGAAATCTCAAGCAGACGTTGATGCAACGTCTTGGTGTTAATTCATCCAGCGGGGTGTGTAATGTCAAACAAAGAGGTCAGGACTGAAATACGCGCTCACCTCCCGGCGGGCCGGTTTGGGCTTTCCACCCGTCAAACACCAGCTGAGCAGCCACGGCGTCTTCGACTCCCATCCCTGTTGGATGAACGACGCGGTGCTGGTTAGTGCATAACGGGGACGGAGCACACGTCGAGCAGCGCTTACCCAGAGACTTGAAGACGGTGGTCTTCTCTCTGTGTGCCGACTTGGTCCCGTTAATGACTTCTCCGAGCTCCGCAAACACCTGGACCTGCAACGAGAAGGCTCACATCCTGTAACCGCTCGCACACCTGCTGCGTCACCGGGGCGGGTAGAGAGCGGTCTGACCCCAGAGAGGATGACGTCGCCGGACTCCTGCATGGCTCCGTCCCTGCTGTCGCTGTACACCACCGCCTCCTTCATCAGCGCGTCGTCCAGCTCCCGCCAGTTCGGCCTGCAAGCCCCCACCGCTGCGGGGTGCAAACGGGACGCCGAACGGCGTGAAGATCACGCCCCCCCGCTTCCTCTTCCTCCCTGCCCCTCGCCGCCTCTCACCTGCCACGTGCGCTCCCGCTTTCACCCACCGACCGAAGAGCACCGGCTCCGTGCTCCCGGTGACCGTCACTATGGCGTCGGCCCCCCTGACCGCCTCCTCCACCGAGACGCACGCCCTCACCGGACCCCCGACGGAGCGGCAGAACCTCTCCGCTCCCTGGCTGGTGCGGCTCCACACGCGCACCTGTTGGGGAATGAAAACAATCGGATGAGTGAAGATGGTGGAGGAAGACCTGGACAACAATAGACATTATTTTTTCTCACATATTCACAATGAGATATTGCGATCACCTCTTTGAATGGGAACATCTCGGTGAAGATGTGGTAGTGGGTCAGCGCCTGCTTGCCCGTCCCCAGGATGGCCAGCACTTCTGCCCCGGGGCGCATCAGCAGCTGTGTGACACAGAAGCAGCAGGACAACGTCCCGATCAGAACACCCGCAGGATAGAAAACAAGCAACGAGACGCCGTTGGACCAGCGGAGGGACCTTAGCAGAGATGGCGGAGACCGCGGCGGTCCTCATTCCTGTGACCTCCTCGCCGTCGATGACCTGCGGGTTGGACACACGTTACGCTGGCGGGCCGGCTGAGGCCCCGGGCGACCTACCCGTGGGACCTGGACGCGCGGGTTTCACTCACAGCTTTTACATTCCCGTACTCCGGGTCCAGCAGGATCACTGTGGCCTGAGTGGCCGGCAGCGCTGAACCAGCGTCCCTGTGGTAGAAGCACACGAGCTTCGTGCAGAGGACCCCGTCGTTCTCCATGTATGTCGGCATGGACCCCAGGAAGCTGTGAGAGTGAAGCAGCGGCAGCCAGCAATGGACCCGGTGTGTTAATGTTTCATGGCTGAGCACAGTGCAGCTTCAGGCCTACCCGTGGTGCTTCTGCAGGGGGAGGATGTTGCGCACGGGCTGGATCACCTCTGCGCTGTCGCGTGTGGAGAACTTCCCCAGAGCTTCCTCCAGGCGGGGGACCAGGTCTCCGTACTGCAGCAGGCGCTGCACTTCGTGCTTCCATATGACGGCGGGAGGCTCGGCCATGGCTGTCACTGCAGGGAGAGAACTTTGAGCTGGATCCACCTCCGCCCCCCAAAGGAGGCGTCACCGCTAGGACGCATTCCACACATGCGCAGTAGATTGCTGCTTGTGTGCTCACGGACCTGTTAATCATCAGTTAGAATCACAAGCGGAATCCGCCTTATTGCCTCACGCATACGTAGAATTTGAATAAGAAATTCCCTCGACTAAAAATATGGTCTTGCTCTTTTTAGGAAAGAAATTACTGAATTATTTTCATTTTCTGCCACTTCAAACTTCTTAACTATATATATATATATATATATCCTATATATAATATGCTACAGATTAAACTAGTGGCTCATAACATTTTTGGCATGTGGCCCTTTACAAAATATAAAATAGTTGTGAGCAGCTAAATTACAATAGTTTCCTCCTTCACTTCTCAGACCGGTTATTTAATAACTGCTGGGGGTTAAAGTTTGGGAGGAAGTATTTTGCATGGAAAAAGAATGATTTAACTCTTTATAAGTTTCAAGTTGACACAATGCAGACAAACAAAATGAATGTAATACTTGTGGTGCTTAGTTGCAATGAAAACCTGCAAACTATTTCAGCAGCGCATTGCCCTTAAACTCATCACCTCCAATATGAATTACAATTGATATGAGACGGTTAAAACCACACAATCTGAAAACATGCAACACTGAAATGAACAAAAACACCAGGTTTAAATAAAAAAAATCTTTTATTGTGCATTGGGTCATCCCACAGCAAACTGATGCACTGAACTTGACACAGTGTCCTAAGTAAAAAAGGAAAGGAAAAACATCTATATTCTCTGGTCATGCATCACAACTTCATTCTTTATATCAAACATAATTGGTCTTTTCCAGGAGACGTTGTGCGGACAGAAATTAGACGAGCAGTCTCTCGATGGCCAATTGAACGGACTGAATCTGCGGCTTGAGTTGGGAGCCCTCCTTTATGGTGACTGAGGTAGCTATGACGGGGCGGGACACCCCGCAGGCCCGGCCCAGGGCCTGCTTGGAGCGCACAAACACGTACGGGACGTTCTTGTCCTCGCAGAGCAGAGGCAGGTGGAGGATGATCTCCAGTGGTTCGGCGTCCGCGGCCATCACGATGAATTCAGAGATGCCTCTGTTCAAGGTTTTAGTGGCTGGAGAAGAAGTGCAACACAGTTAGTACACATACTCACTATTCGGTACAATGTAATGAAATACTGCAGATGTCTAAGTTCAAAACTTAGACATCAAAACTAATATTTCATTTGCAATTTAATCAGCACGAGCAAATAGTAAACATTGAATTCATTGATTTAAACAGGATTTCTCTCATGGTCATCGTGTTTGTACTCATCACATGGAAAGACCACGCGACTCATGTTGCACGGCCCCTGAAAAGTGGATCATCAAGTGACCATCTTACGTGAGCCCGGTTACATTCTGGTCCATTTACTCCAGTTGGCTCACCTTCATTAGCGCCCTTCCTCAGCTGCTTGTAGTTGGAGGCTTGCTGCACCAGGTCCAGGATGGTCTTGGAGAGCGTGGCGTCGGCCAGCGGGTAGGCCTTCGGGTTGACTTGGGCTTCAGTCTGCTCACGGAACACAACGCAACATTAACAACGCAATAGTGGCGCGCGGCGCGGACGAACACGAGGGTGTTGCGGTCTAACGTTCAAGTCTTGGTCGACTCGAAAGCCTGGATACGTTAGTTAATAGTTAGCCAGCAGTTAGCTAGCCTGTTAGCTTGTTAGTAGTAGTACAACGCTTACCATTGTGAGTGTTTTATTCTTTTAATCCGGCCCTCTCGGCGAAATGCTTCACGGAGGACTATTGTCGTTGACCTGTGCTTTAAAAAAGAGCAGCAAGACGTAAGAATGGTTTTCTTTATGGAAGTAACGTGTGGAGGCTCCGCGAGGTCTCTCTGCTCTGTCGCATGCAGCACAAACGTTCATCCCACGTGTGGAACACCGCGCATGCGCACTGACCACATCCGCTGGATCCACAGGAAGCACCTCCTCACGGATGCGTGTCAAATTAAATGAATAATGCAATAAAACCAGTTGACTATTATTTATCACAATAATACGACAACATCTATATACGTGCAATAGAGCCAACAACATTGAATTCACATAATGCTTTTACAACAATTTGTAACTTTATTTTATATATAAATATATATACGGTCAGCTCGCTCACCCATAACATTGTGTTGTAGTGATACATGTACTTTTTAAATAAGCCGCACGATTAAGTCGGTTTTCGAAGAGAAAAGTTCAATTTCAACATGTTCAAAGCATCCATGATTATAACCACGTTAATGACGGGTGTAAAAACACAAAGCATTTTAAAATCCGTCAAGATTACAGCGAGATAAGAGTATTAGCGTCAGTGCAGATCCCTGACTTTACCTCAGGTAGCACACATCGCGCCAGAAAGTTAGCCTGTAGCAAGATGGCCGCCGGCGACGACGTTCTAGACTCCGCCAGGAAGTCAGCTCTACGCGCTCCATTACGTCCTCGCGTCATCAGAGGGCGCCCACGCGATGCTCGGCCGGTATTCGTGCGAGCGAGGGGGGACGCGCTAGGCATTGTGGGTAGGGCACTTTCACATCAGCCATATTGCTCTGACCGACGGAGAGAGGGAGATGAAGGGGATCCGGGGAATAAGTCAGCTGTCGGTGAGATACTTCGTTTCTAACAGCGTCCCGGGGCTCGTGTCCGGTCAGAGTGAGACGGGGAGCGGGTGAGAGGAGGCGAGCTAGTCGTGGCCCTCCGGTCCACCGCCACTCGCGGTTACGTAATAAACAACCGGCAGGCCGTTAACCGTTTTAAAGTCGCCGGGGAAGCCAGTTCACTCTACTCGGGCTCTGAGGAGAGAGAGACGGATTCTGGTCGACCGGATTTAGCTGATGTTTAACTTGATGTTCTCATTGAAATACCATTGATTCCAAAAAGATTTGTGACTCATTTACCAGTTTTCTGTCAAAAGTCTGACATCATTTCTAGCTTTAAAACAACACAACTTCCTTTAGGAACTTGATCTTAATCAGAAGGTTCCAGAGCACCTGGTCATTTGACTTTGCTTTCCGTCCATATTGTCTTGAAAAGGTAAGAAGCTAATAAAAGAGATAATAAATAGACTTTGGTGAGATTATTTGGTCACAAGACGGCATGCGTCCAGCTCCTCCGTATCACAACACACAAGGAACCAAACACGCCGGTGATCAATTGTTAATTGGCTTCCAATGTAAAGCAGCAAGTAACACACACACACACACACACACACACACACACACACACACACAACCTGCCCGTGCATCAGTCAACACTGCAGTACAACACATTAGTAGTAATGTCCCGTCTTCCCTTTGTCCAGACCAGGCTCTACGCGGCCCAGGCTGCCCGTAAGGTGGAGTCCGCTGGGGCCGCCGAGCACGCAAAGTTTCAGCCGCAGGAGGTGCAGGTCAGTGGTCGTTTTGTTTCTCCTCTGCAGAGACGCTTCCATGCTGTCTGCCAGGACGGGCCAGTCCCTCGGTCCGGCCCTTGACTGGCATGGAGCTCGCCCCCCCCGGGCTGCCCACGCCACGAGGAGGGTTTTTTTATGCTCATGCCTCGCTTAATGTTTTTAGTGGCTGACATGTCGGAAATGCTGATGCTTAAGGACACGTCTGTGTGCGTCCCGTCCAGGTGACCAGACTCCCCAGTGGTCTGGTGATTGCCTCCCTGGAGAACTATTCCCCAGCCTCCAAGATCGGAGTGTTTGTCAAGGCCGGCTGTCGGTATGAGACCCCTGAAAACCAGGGGGTCACCCACCTCCTGCGGCTGGCCTCCAACCTGGTATGACGCACACCGTTTTTCGCTAAACGCAATGTCGAGCATCAATATTTGCCATCTGTCGCAGCTCGGAGTTGATTTGATCTTTTCTGCTTTTCCAGACCACCAAAGGAGCTTCGTCTTTCAAGATCTGTCGGGGTGTTGAGGCAGTGGGGGGCAACCTGAGGTCAGTAACCCTTTAGAAAGGTCCTAACACGCTGTCGGACACTTCTTTTGTAATCTCATGTGTTTCTCTGCAGCGTGACGGCTTCCAGAGAGAACATGGTCTACACCGTTGACTGCTTGAGAGATGACATGTGAGTCTTTGAATCAAATCAAAGCTCATTATTCTGCATTACAAGAGTTTAATGCGACACTAGTCTCCGACCAGGGGGGCGTTTGGTATTTACGCTTTTTCTCGCTTCCCGTCGCTCGTCTGCAGCGACACAGTGATGGAGTATTTGATCAACGTGACCACCGCGCCGGAGTTCCGACCCTGGGAGGTGTCTGACCTCACGCCCAGAGTGAAGAGGGACAGAGCCCAAGCTGCTCAGAGTGCTCAAATAGGTTGGCCTCCATTTCCACCGCGACGCACGCACCGACTGGAATATTTAAAATGCTGACTACACCCACAAGACGGGACTCCTTTTACATTTTAGATTCTCTCTGAAAGACCACATCTGGAAGGAGATTATTTTTGTTGTTCGAACGCTGTTGCTGAGGAAATTTCTCTTTTGCTTGATAACGTTCAAAGTGAAGTGAGTGTAACTTATCAAATCTTCACAGGCTTTGAAAACACGGACAACAAAGGGTAGAAGGAACCTTTTAAGCTCATTGAAAAGTCCTGCGACTGAAGTTTTGGGTGGAAACTCAGTTTATGGTTCTCTAGACTAAAACAATACAACTTTGAACCTTATCCCAGATATTTTTCAATTAAATGTAATTTAATGTAAGTATTGAAGGATTAGAATATTGTGTTTATGCCTCTTTCGGTCTTTTCCAGGTGTGATCGAAAGTCTGCATGAGGCGGCTTACAAGAACGCTCTCTGTAACTCTCTGTACTGCCCTCAGCACATGGTGGACAACATCCACTCCGGCCACGTGAGCAGTCTTTAAATGTTCATTTCTGAAGCCTTTTGGTGTCACTATTACCCACTTAAAGTCTTTCTAATGTTGTTGTATTTGTGTCCAGCTGCACCAGTTTGTCCAGAACAATTTCACAAGCTCAAGAATGGCTCTTGTTGGACTTGGTATGGTTCATTAATGATAGCAGCATGTTTTTATGGCGGCCATAATGTCGACCAAAGTAATATACACATTGCTTTCCCTGAGGACCAAAAGATCCCCAAATGCAAGATGCTGCTCTTCTTCAGGTGTGGACCACACGGTGCTGACGCAGGTCGGGGAGCAGTTCCTCAACATCCGCAGTGGGGCGGGAGCCACAGGGGCCGCGGCTCAGTACCGTGGGGGTGAGTCATAGGAAAACCTTTCAAACTGCGCCCGCGGAGCTTAAACGTTCCACGACACAAGGTGACGCCCTGAATCCTCGTGCCCAGGTGAGATCCGACTGCCCGGCGCCGGCGGCCTGCTCCACGCTGCAGTGGTCAGCCAGGCGGCGGCGGCGGGCTCCAGCGAGGCGCTGGCCTTCAGCGTGCTGCAGCACCTGCTGGGAGCCGGTCTGCATGTCAAGAGGGGCTCGTGCGCCTCCAGCAAACTGGTGCAGGGCGTCGCTAAGGCAACCGCCGACCCCTTCGATGTGAGCGATTGAGCCTTTTTTAATATCAACTTTTTTCAGCCTTGGCGGGTTTTCAATCGTAGTTTCAACATTTCTTCCCATTTTTCTTTTTTCCTCGAACAGGTCAGTGCTTTCAACTCGAGCTACTCTGACTCTGGTCTGTTTGGAGTCTACACCATTTCCCAGCCTGCAGCTGCTGGCGATGTGAGTTCCCCACGAGTCCGTTCAGCAAAGCAGCGGTTTGTTTGGATGCAATGAAAAGCGTCTGCAATCAGTGAGGCGTCTCCATGTAATATCTGTCCTCCTCCGTCTGTCCAGGTGATCAAGGCCGCTCTGGCCGAGGTGAAGGCTGTTGCTGACGGTGCAGTCACAGCTGCCGACCTCACTCGGGCCAAGTAAGACTCCTTTTAAACATCTAGTGTGAGGATTTGCTTAATAGCAGAACCGTATGTGGATGAAGCCATGCGTCCACTACCTGAAGGGATTCACGGTCACTCGGTGCCATTTTGGCCAGGAGGTGGCGCAGTTGTATCTAACTAGAGAAGGACGCCTGTGCAAAGCTGGAGGACGTTTCATCCACTCGGCTTCACGCTTGGCAGGTGAAACCTTGGTTTCAAAAAGGCTCTGAGGGAAGAACCATCGATGTGCGGTTATCGGGTTTGGGTTAGCAGTCAGCCAGTCACTTTAATATCTACCTTTTGTGACTGATGGGCAGTTTCTGCTGGTTGTTTATAACGTTGTGGCTGGAGAATCCATCAAGTCAAACTCTTTGCTCGTGGATTGCGTTATTGTGCCTTATGATGATCTTGTGTGTGTTTCTCTGCAGGGCTCAGCTCAAGGGGCAGTTCCTGATGTCTCTGGAGACTTCGGAGGGTCTTCTGGAGGCGATGGGCTCTCAGGCTCTGTCCGAGGGAACCTACTCCTCCGCTGAGCAAGTCTCCAAGGACATCGACAAGGTCTCCTTGACCGACGTCGCCAACGTAAGATGTTGATGGTTGTCCGGATGGGACGAACGTTACGGAGTTTATGTCGGATAGAGAACAATTCTACGATTCGTTTACTGTGTGCGAAACATTCTGAGCATTCTTTCTGTTTTCTTTTGCAGGCCGCCAAGAAATTTGTGACCGGCAAGAAGAGCATGGCGTCCAGCGGCAACCTCGTCAGCACCCCCTTCGTAGATGAGATCTGAAGCCCAAACAGAGGTTTCATCCACGGGAACAAGGCAGTTGTTCAGTCATAACGCCAACGGATATTTATCGGTGTAACAGGAAATACAATATGTGTCCACATCAACTGTGTAGCTAATGTAAAATAATGAATAAATTCTATCTACCATACAGAGTTTTAACTGTGTTCTGTTGTTGTGTGTGTTTATGAGTCCTGTAATGTGCCATGAACGTGGGGGTGTTATGGAAATTGCCCAAATGTGCTTTAGGGAACTCATGTAAATTGTCACCTTGCATAATCTCTGATGACGCAAAAGAATTCCACGAGCGTGAGCTCTCGTCCAGATGTTCTCGCGAGAAAGAACCGCGAGAACATGAGTTCTACACCTCTCCCTCCCTCCCCCCTCCCTCTCACACGAGTCGCTTCTCCCCGTTAATCAGCGACCGCCGCCGGGTCTCCGCTCGCTCCACGTGACCGGGACGAGGCGCATCCGGGGCAGAAGAAGGACCAGCGGGTCGGCCGGATGCGAGGGGACACTTCGGGGGGGGGGGGGGGACCACCCGGCTCATCTCACGGCCTCGCAGCGCACGTCATGTGCGGGCAGACGCCCCCCCGCCCCCACCGCGGGTTTACGCTTTAGGTGACCGACCTCCACATGTCCCGCCTCCCTTCAGGGGGGGGGTGTCGGGGAGACAGACACGCGCACCTCACTGACCTCCACCTGCGGACCGACATGGACAAACTCACCGTGATATCCGGGTGCCTCTTCCTCGCTGCGGACATCTTTGCCATCGCCAGCATCGCCAACCCGGACTGGATCAGCACGGGGGGGTCAGCTGGTAGGTGTTGTTGTTGTTGTTGTGCGTGGATGTCATCTGTTTGTAGGAAGCAAAGACCAGAAATAAGAAGTTGTCAATGTAGCGTTTCTCAACTTGTGTGCCCGCCCCCCCGGGGAGTCCCGGTCCCACTTTGAAAGGGTTGGACCGAGACGTCACACTAACGATAAGAACTAAAAGGAAACCGTGAGGCTGCAAACAGAACAAGTCCGTTGGTTTGGAGATGGAAGTAACGGCGCCTGTTCTGCTGTTTAAGCCTCATCAGGGTCCCGCTGTAAACACGTGATGACCTTTGAGCTCTTTGCTGTCAGACGTGCATCTCAACAGACAGACAGACAGACGGACGCGCTGTGTTTGATGCGTTTGGGTTATTTTACATGCAGGGTTTCCGCTGGTCTCTTATTTCATTTTCAACCTTTTGGTCTCCAGCTGGAATGAGCTCAGACGTCAGGCAGCTCCCTCTGGAGCCACTTCTGAACATCTCTTAATGCACGTATGCATCAATATGAGCTCGAACACATTTACCACGCAACAAAAGGCTGTGTTTAGATGAAATGACGGACTTATTGCACGAGTAATATAGAGTAATAATCACATGCAGCGTCCCAAAGCCAAAACATCGGCTCAACCTGATGACTCAAAGCTCAGTAAAAGCCCAGCGGCCTGAGGTCCACCGCCGGCCGAAAGCCGCAGAGAAACACGGAGCCGGAGGGCCAAGTGGTTGTTACAGGATTTAATCAGCTGCAGCAGCAAGTTGACAAGACAACCAGCGTGTGAGGCGACGCTTCTTGCTCTCGCCTAATCGGTCAAATAGCAAGAAGCCGAAGGCAGGAAGTGCTGTTGGGGAGCGGAGACGTGGGGACTTTTAATCGGGCCCCCGGGGGGGACGGATCGTCCCACCTGAGGGAACCTTTTCGCCTCTTCTCTCTATTTGTAAAGACCTGGAGGGCGTAGACGACAAATACAATAACTGATAATAATAAGAAGGGTTCAGTGAAGCGTCACGTCACACGTCACGTAAAACCATTAAGTGACTGTTTACTGATACAAGCTTATTTCTGATGTCTTTCTCCACAATGGCGCTAAAAGACGTCTTGTGTTGAACTCGCTCGTTTCCTTTTGCTGCCGCGCCCCGTATGAAGGACACGGTGTCCCCCTCCCTCCTGCTGTGAGAGGAAGTGTTGAAAAGGAAAGGGACATCCTGTGTGTTACGGGGCAAAGGTGCACAGATGTGGTCCAGGCCTGATGTTCCCTCCCCCCCCCGGCACTTTATCCGTGATGAGGAACGGAAGCCGTCCAACGATAAATATTTAACGGGCTGACGGACGTGGAGTCGCGTTACAAAATACTAAACATTACTCAGTGTCCGAATGGCGTCTCCGTCCTGCATTCTGTGTGAGACAAGCTGCTTCTCTTCTCGGCCGTCGGGACAATTATATTAATTCTACAGTCGGTTTGAATGAAAGAAGCTTAAAATACACGACGTGTTTCGAGCTCCAAAGGCTCGCTGGGGACAAGGGGAGAGAAAAGGGAGCGAGGCAGAGGAATAGTGACGGTGTGGGAGGATTTCATTTGGCCTCTGAGTGTGAGTGTGTGTGTGTGTGTGTGTGTGTGTGTGTGTGTGTGTGTGTGTGTGCGCTCCTGCCAGGCTTTGTGGGACAGGAAGCGGTCAGATGTTTGATATCATTCATGAATCACTGCTGCCGCCCATCACAAGGTTCCCATGACAACAGCTTCCTGGCCCGGTGGCTGTGGGGAGTCACAGGCACTCGTGGGAGGGGGGGGGTCGAATGAACATATTACATATTACGTCTCTTTATTTTTAACATATTACGTTCACATTCCAACACTGAGATCCAGTCTCAGTTCCGTCTCCCACAACCACCGAAATGAGTCCGACCCGAACGGGTCGAAAGTCTGTGTAAATAACGATGTGGGGCGCTGCGACTCGTGTGTCCCCGCGCAGGCTCCCTCACGGTGGGCCTGATCCGCCAGTGCCAGACCATCCACGGCCGGGAGCGGACCTGCGCCCCCCCGCAGCTTCCCCCGGAGTGGATCACGGCGCTCCTCTTCATCGTCCTGGGCATCGTCTCCCTCACCGTCACCTGCGGCCTGCTGGTGATGTCCCGCTGGCGCCGCGAGGCCGCCCGCTTGGCCCGCTGGATCGCCTTCGCGGCGAGTAGGTGCTCCCTCACATCTCTTGTCTGCGTGCCGGGGGGGGGGGGGGGTCCCGAGGTTTGAGAACGTCTCGAAACCGCCAGCAAACGTAGCGGCTCCGTCCGATTTCCTGCTGTCACGGAGCCGGATGAATGAAAGTAGCTTTATTATCACGATGAACCCTTTGAGCTGTAAAGCGCCGCATAGTTTATTTCACCGTTTATTACTATTATGACTGTTTTCAAACTTGTTCTATACGTTGATCTTCTGCGTTGAGCCGTTTTCCATCCGTCCATCCGCTGTGAGTCCACCTGTTTATTCCTCGTCCCGTCCACAGTGGTCCTCTTCTGCACGGCTGCTCTCATATTCCCGATGGGCTTCTACGTCAAAGAGGTCGGAGGTCAGCCGTACAAGCTGCCCAACAACACGGCGGTGGGCTCCTCCTACGTCCTCTTCGTCCTCTCCATCTTCTTCACCATCGTCGGGCTGCTGTTCGCCGGGAAGGTGTGCCTGCCCGGCTGACCTGCTCCTCGTCTTCCGCCTTTGTTTTTGTTAGAGCGGACAAGAGTTGTCCATCACGAGGAGGAGCTTTGAAAGGGCCTCCGTCCTCCTCCACCAGGTGGAAACACAAAGGAGAATAGTCCACTTTATATACATATATATACATATACAAGCATCGGGAGTTTGATGGAGCCGTGTGGTTTGATCCTTCTTGAGATCTAATGACAGATCAGCTGCACACTGACGGATGTGTTGGATATGGTGCAGTTACCTCCACCTGGATGGAGGCTCACAGTGTGCAACACATCCAACAAACACATTTTATTTATTTGTTTAACGGTTAGTCTTTTTCTCTTATTGGAAGGCCCAATGCATCCCAGTTGTTAATACACGGAGGAGGAACGCTTTGCCTTAAATGAGCCGTTAACCCAAAAGGAAGAAGGACGCCGTTGAGTCGCTGAGACGCTTTGGATCAGCTCGGAGATTCTGGACTGTGGGTCCAGATGTGTTGCAGGACGACGAGCTGCTCGCAAACGCGTTGTGTTTAAACCTTGTTAACTTTTACAGATAACGGATGCTCCCTTCACAGCTTCCTGTTGTCAAACACTGAATCTCTTTCTCTTTAATATATTTGATGCTGTATGAATGAACGGTTGCGGCCTTTTCTAGAAGTTCTTGTAAGACGATGGAAGATCTCCGCTCAATAAAAGTGACTCATTGGAGCCCTGATTGTCTCATCAATCATCAAAACATTTCCTTTTAGAAGAACACGGGACTGTAATTGTTTGCAACCTGCCGCCGTTTGGAGTGAGAGAAGCCAGCTGAGGTCATCTGGGAGCCGCTAAGAAGGTTGAGTTCTTTCCATAATTCAAAGGGGCTGAACATTAAAGCCTCATTTGTCATAAAGATTATTTCACAGCTCATGTAAGAAAATCAATTATCTCAAGATAAAAGCTTTAAAAACAAAGTTGGCTCGTTTTTACCGTCTAACATTCTTCGATTAGAAAAAAATAAATCTTTTCTCCGGTGAAGCAGCTTTTTTTCCCAGCAGAACCTCACACACACTTCTCATCGCCTGTGTGAATGCACGGAATGTTCCGGTTGCCATAGGAACGTCTAAAAGCAGCGTCTGGTGATGTGCGTTCTGGGTTTTTCTAAACGAATCCACCAGCGGGAACAAAGTCGCCCCAAACGTCTCGCTCTGCTGCCGGGAGGGAAGAACGCAAACAGCGCTGCTGACTCGAGCCCCGACATGCAGAATACATCAGCTTCTCTCTCCAAGAAACTCCACATTGCAAAAGGAAATGCATTTGACAAATACAACAGGAGTACAAGAGAACGAATGTGGCTGCAGGAATGTAACATGTCCGAAATGTACACGGAACACATATTTATTTCACATTTTCAGTAGAAAAACAGGTTACTAAAATGTTACAAAACACTTTTAGGTTTGACTTGGTGTTCCAACTCGGCAAACATCAAACAAACAAAGTGACAACAATGTGCTTTAAAAATATACACAATTCTGAAAAGCCGTGAGAATGAAAATGTATCTATGAAGTCATTTTAAAGAGAGTTTGGCACATTACACGTAATAGTTTAACAACAAGCAGGTAGACTGACTGGATTTAAGGAGCCGTTTCATTTTAACCACAAGAGGGCGCACTTTACTGACTTATAACGTGTATATACAGTTGTTGTTTGTGACCTCGCTGCATGCTGTCGGGCCTCCATGCGTTGCCGCCGTCGTCGTCGTCGTCTCAGGTCGTGGCGGGACTGCCGCCGCCGCCGCCGCGCTGCAGCTGCACCGCTCGCGCCGCCACCAGGAGCAACGCACCGGCGAGGAGCTCCAGGCCGTAGGAGAGCCAGGCCAGACCCAGAGACCAGCCGAAGGAGGTGCGCACGGAGGCGAGGCCCTGAGGCCCCACCAGCCTCTCGGCCTCCGCCAGGGCCCGGTGCGAGTACACGATGTAGAGACTGGCGCCACTCAGGGTCAGCAGGCCTGGGGGGGGGACGCGGTGCACTCACGTTAAAATGAAGGGCTCGCTCGTTCTTTCGTCGCCGTGAAGCTGAAGCTCGACATTAAAAGCAGCAACAAAGGCCAGTAGCTCCCTAAAATCTCATACAGAGAAACAGGAAGCGTACAAACGTGCGAGAGGTCTGACGGCGCCTTAGTTCATCGGGGACGACGGATGGTTGCCATTGGAAACGGCCTGAATGCTCCTGGTTTTGAGGGGATGCGAGTGGAGCGCGGCGGCCCCCCAGCACGGAACTAATAAGGCTTTTATTGCAATGGCGCCCCGAGGTGCCGGCGTAGGAGGAGGAGGAGGAGGAGGAGGCAGCGTCTGAAGTCTCATTCTTATGCAGACACACAAACACGCACATTGTCACAACACGTGTAAACAGGACGGCTACTGAGGACACGCTGCCTGCTGCCACAGGCCCATGAAGAGGAATCACGCTAATCTAATGCTGCAGAACAAGGATTATGAAACTATAAATATTACAGTATATAAACACGTTTGTGAATGTGTCGCAATAAGGGACGATCTATTTTTTTAACACTATTATACAAAGTGTGCGAGCTCAGGTGTTGAACAATCAATACTTACCACAAAAGGTTTACAAATATCATTTTATGAGGGGAAGAAGGACAGTTTGTGGGACAACTTGAGACACTAAATACACTTAAATTCCTCTACGCGCTGTTTTAAAACTCAAAGTTCACAAGACTAAAGAGAATCTAAATGAAGCCTTTTCTTACATTCCACACAGAGGCATGCGATGCTCATTAGAGACACAAGAGGCTTTAAGTGTTTCTCCATCACAAGGTCCTGTTAAGAAACTATGTGAACCAATAACTTCATTACTCAAGATACCCAGATTAACAGAACCGTGCTGACTGGATTAACGTTAATCTAACTCACACATTTACTATAATATGCTTTAAAGTAAAGACCAAGTCGATGCTTGAAAGGAAACTTGTCATTTTGGATTCCAACACCCGATTTATCTTTATTATCTTTATCTCAATTTTTGAGCAAGCTCACATATGATGATAATATAGATCTCCTAGTTTTCATCTGTTATTTTGCCACATTGTGACAAGCATCAAAAAGTAGGTTGTGGTGATGATTTTACCCACGTTGTTTAAATAAAACCACACACACACACACACACACAGACACACAGTAGTGTTTCTACCTGGACCACTGTGCAGGTTTCAGAAGCCTTTCCAAGTGTTACTGAAGACGGCATGAAATTAAAAACACAACAATGGAGAGACACAAATTTGGGCAGTGATTGTTTTGGAAGCAGATTCACATCCCGTTGTGTCTCCCCACCGTCCAATAAAAGCTCCCATAAGCATCCAACTGATGAGTGCAGTAACACCATCAGCCACACACACACACACACACACACACACACACACACACACACACACACACCTGCATGCTATCAACACATCAATATGACCTAATCAATCAATCTGTGGTGCCCTTTGGCCGCAGGAGGTCAGCACCTTGGAGTGAGGTGACTTCAGGCCCGCACGAACTAACCACATGACCTCGCTCTCCTCCTCCATTCCCAGGTCGAATGAGTGGAGAGGGACGCATCGATCAAGACGCATTTCCCGGGTCTCCGGGTCTGATGCTGCACACGGGGGCTCTGGTCAGCCCCAGTGGAGCTGATGGGACGAGGGAAGGAACTGGACCTCGACTCACTGCAGAGGAAGAAGTAGGTGGCGGTGCGCGCGAGCAGGACGGGGCTCCGAGCCAGAGAGCTGACGAGTCCACAGATCCCCCCGAACAGCATCAGGACCAGGCTGAGGGGCAGCACCACCACGATGGCACTGTGCATGCCTGCACACACACACACACACACACACACACACACACACGGAGGACGGTGCATTATTAGTAGACTTCAGTACACACACACACACACACACACGCGTGTTGGGCACAAAGAAAGGAGGCTCACCGTGCTCGCTCTCGGAGTACGTGGCGGAGTCTTCTGCCTTCATCTTCTCACCTGGATGTGACAATTAAAAGCACGCGTCACTGCGCTGCCGGCGGAAGCGGGCAGTGCGCGCGGACCATCTTACCCTCGCCGACGCTCCACAGCCCCGAGTGGGAGCTCCAGTCCTCCGCGTCGCTCGCGTTCGCGGGATTCATCTCGATTATGAACCAGTACTCGGTTCCGAGGGACGCGGCGAGAGAAGCGAAACTCAGGGTCCCGCAGATCCCGGCGGCGACGACCAGGGAGCCGAAGGGCAGCGGCATCGCGCAACGGCCGGAGGTGGAAAATCACGCGCAACGGCGGCGGCTGGAGCTCGCGCGCGACGCGGGTCGGTTGTGCGGCGACGCGCTCAGGTGATGTGACTGACTGCAGGTTCTCTGGAGTCAGTGAGACACTTAACGCCAGGGGGGGGGGGGGGTCCATGTGAGAGACAAAGAAATACAGGCAGCTCGGCTGCAACAAACACACCCAGAATAAGAAAAATATTTATTACTCATGTTGACTGAGTTGGTGAGGAGCACATCTCCAAGTCTCCTCGGTTCACGTGTTAAATAAATCCAGTCAGCGTTCCTCTTTACTTTAATATGTTACATTCACTTATAGTACATTTGTCAACGCAATCCCTCCTCAAAGAACAAACCATGTTAAGTAGAAAGAACAAGTTTAATGAATAAGAAACATTACATGACAACAAAAACACATTTACGGTGCAGACACGAGGAACAGCCGGCTATGAATCCTTTGCACTCCAGCTCCTTCATCTGCATCGCTGTTATTCTTCCCCCACCGCCGTCTTGATGATCTCTGCTCTTCTCAATTTGGCTGCCTCTTCAAACTTGGTGATGGTCTCGTTACAGGATTTGTTCTGAGTGCGCAGGAAATTAAATCTGGATGAGACACAATGTTCTAACAAGAAACTTGTGACATTCTAAGGATGCAAGTGTTGCCGTGCAATTCATTCTTGTTTAAGTAAAGTTAAGAACTGGAAAATGATATTGTCACCAGTTTAATCAGTCACATTATTAAATGATGTCAATAAGCAAGTCGACATGTCTGGTGTTTCCTGAACAACGTACGATGATGAACTTGTGCCTCTCCTTCTGTAGTTTGAAGAATTCCTCCACAGTCAGATCTTCTACTTTCTTTTTCAGGGCCATGAAATGGCAAGATGCTGAATGAGATTTGTGCTCCTTCCTGCAAACACAGAGACAGACAACATGTGCATGTCTTCATATGGAAGGAATGGACACTGAAACATGCACTGAACTGTAACAACACCCTCACCAGCATCATCCAAAGTCTGAAGATAAACATTCTTCAAAAAACAAAAGTCTTTGTTATAAACTGAACGTGGAGTTTAATATTTAAAAACATCTAAAAGGGAAAATATATGGTACTTTCTCCACACATCCCCTGTCTTTAATGTCATCTGTGACTCATGGAGCTCACGGTGGGATGATCTTACTCTGGGTCATCTTCTGGCTCCCAGCCCTCCAGCTCTTTGAGGCAGAAGAAACACATGGCGATGTCGGGGCTGTTGCCCGAAGGAGTGTGTATGAAGCCAGCTCGGGCCATCTGGAGCAACAAATAAACAAACAGCTCATGAAGAAAAGAAGAAGATATTACTTGTAGGTGTGAATGCTGAAGTGATGAGTTGATTGACAGAAAACAAATCAAACACCACCGGTTCTGCGTAACCACGGCTACCATCATTATTATCATTTAGTCATTGCTGCTCTTACTATGAACACACATCCCTGTGGATCGTGGTAATATTAGAAGTTGCATTTCTATTGGGGACACAATTACTGCTTTTATTATCATGGTTAACCTTCCACATCCACGGCTATTGTTGATATTATTACTGCATTTATTATGTTTTAATAATTATTCTGCTTAATACGAATCATTTATGTCGTATACATTACGATATAAATGTCATAAAAGGTTACATCTTTTTTTTTAGTGTGGGTGCTGGAAGGAAATGTGTTATTTTGGGCAACACAAAATAAATAAAAAATAAATGTAATTAATTGTTCAATGAAAATATTTGTATTACTCCATAACTAACTTTTTACTGTGACATCTTGTGGGTATTATGCGACAGCCATACAAAAATAAAGCATTTTTCTGAAACTTTATATATTAAATAATTCATGATTAGACAGGACTGATTTGAGCCCTAGTCACATTGTCTGATTTTAGTTAGCGTCAACTAAAGTTAACTAAGCGCTCCCTTTTTACACTTAACGCCAGATATCAACGTTACTATTAATCCAACGTTACCGCTTTGACACGTTGCTGTCACACGGCTAATGCGGGTTAGCCTGTACACACGTACATTAGTGAGTATCTACAGGCGGGCCACCTGAAGCTGGACCCCAGGTGAGGATACGACGTGTTACGACGTGTTACAGCTAAACGTTGTGTTTTTGTTGCTCCAGCTAACGCTAGCTACTTGTGTTAGCACGTAAGGGCCGTGCGCAGCAAAGTGAAACGTCCACTCACGTTCTCCGGAGTACACGAGCAGTCTTCGTCAAAGGGCCACCCCTCGAACGTTTTCAGCCTGTTCTCATAAAAATACATTTTGATGTCCTCTTCGTTTATCGGCTCCATTGTAATAAGCGTTTATAAGTGTCCCAAAGCCGCCGAGACGTAAGGGTGCTTTCAAATTTTGGCAATTTTTCACCTCGACTCCTTTGATTGGTGGACGCGGACCAAGAGCGTCACGTGTTCTCTTCTTCGTGGATCAACCGATCGGCAGTTTCGATAAAAAAAACGCACTAGTGCGCCACCCGGTGTTCTCGGCTTCATTAACTATGAAAAAATAATAATAAACACCTTTGTTTTAACAACGTGTTGTTTTGAAGACGATAAAACACATTTCCACTCTCTCACACTGGCCCCTGCATCGAAAGAGAAGAACAAAGCCCGCATCCACCGTGACGTCACACACCCGCCTTCCGCGTGGTGGTCATGGGTAATGTAGTTCTTGGGTCTTATTGGTCTAAACTGCGACGCGCGGCAATTTTGTCAACAACCGGTCCAGAGAAGCTTTTCCATTTTTTCCTCCAAAAGTGTTCCGTCTCATTATCTCTCACTGTAACACCGCGCTTTATGCAGACCAGCCCGCGTCTTCTTCTTCTTCCTCTTCCTCTTCTTCTTCTTCCTCTTCTTCTTCTTCTTCTTCTTCTTCAGTGTTGCGGTTATGGAGGGTCGGTGTGCTGTTGAGACCTGGGCAGAGTTTGGCTTCTCAGGAACACCATGCGCACCGTGGCTCCAGGTTGCTTTTGGTACTGACGTGCTCCTCTTCGCGGGCACCGACGAGGTCTTCGTCTTCAGCTCTCATGAAAGGAAACTCACGGTAACGTGCCACTCGTCACGCTGACGTGTACCCGCGGGAAGCCGCGTGTTCACCTGTCATGTGTCGTGTTGTTGCAGGTTGTCATCGCGTGTCCCGGTCCTGTTACTGATCTCGTTGAGAGTCATGACAAGCGGTTCCTCTTCGTGGCCTGTGCATGCAGAGTTTATCGCGTCAGCTCTCAACTACTGGAATCCAGGTATGAGCCCTCATCTAGGAGGTGGCGAGATGAGTTCCTCTCTATTGCATTTTAAAGCACATGAATAATGGCCCATTTGTACCATGAAGCCATTGTTTCCTCCTACGAATGCGTCTTTTCTTACGTGACCATTCACCTCTGCAGAGCTGGAAGCCCCCCAGCTGATGCCCACCGCGGTCCAGCCGAACTGAAGCTGACCTCCGAGTTCCTTGCCTTTGCAGAAGAAGGCGTGTTGTCGCTGCTCCTCGTCGGCTCTGTCCTCCTGACGCTCTCTCAGAGACGCTCGTCCTGGACTCTGACTTTGTACGGATCCTCGGACTATGAGGTGCTCCGGTCAGTCAGTCTGGCCTCGGGAGTTGTGCACAATGAGACGGGAACGAGAAGGAGGCCACCGCTGACCTGTGTCCGATCCAGTGCCGCAACGCCGCCACCCTCCGCGTCTTCATCTGTGAGCGACGGCTGCTTGTGCCTGGAGCCGATCCTCTTCAAGCGGCTGTTTGGAATCGACGCCGCCCTCGCCAAGTCGCCGGTCGTCCTCTGCGGCCTGCCGGACGGGCGCCTGTGCTTTCTTCCCCTGCGCCCGCCCGGGTCGCGACTCGCCGTCCTCCACAGCCTCGAGCAGCCGGTGGTGTTCGTTGGAGCTTCTGGCGTCACGGACAACGGTCGGGGACACGCGCGTTGTTTGGTGGCGGTGGGTGAACAAGGGAAGGTGGTGCTGATACAGGCAGAGAAGGGAGGGGCGGAGGGAGGGGCCGACAGAACGGGTTTCACCGAGGGGTGTGTCCCGGGGCCCGTGGCGTGCGGCTGTGTGGATGAAAAGCGCCTTTACTACAGCACCGGGTCGGACCTGCTGGTACTGGATCTACCGGAGGAATCACCTGAGAGAGACGGCCCGAGTGTGGAGAAATCCAGAGTGACCCACGCAGCCCTGCAGAGCCCCTCCAGTCTGAACGTGTGCAGGGTCCTCGCCTTGGCTCCGCCCACACGCAGCACCGCAGGTGAGCAGGTCAAATTCCCCAGTGGTGGATTTGCTTATCCAAGCTTACGCGTCAGTTGCCTGTCCAGCAGTCGGGAACATTGACGGGAACTAAAGACGGAATGAATCCAGGAGCGTTTGTCCCCCTTTACATTTTACTTAATTTAATTTTTTAATGAATTGCTTTTGCTCACCAGGGGAAGTGGAGCTGCTGGGACTGTCTGCCAGAGGGCAGCTGCAGAGGATCACCTTACCTGTGGACAGAGGGGATGCAGGTTGGCCCAACGCGCCGTCCACGCCGGGGGGGCGCGGCGTCCGAGACCTCCTGTCTGCGATCGGGGACGTCTGTGAAAGGTGACGCCCGACACGGCCGGCGTTGTTTGGAGTTAACGTTCTGTGTCCTTTGAGGTCAAGCGTTTTTTTTTCCCCCTCTGGTTTTCCTTCAGAGCGGCAGCGCTGAAAGCGGCCGTCAAATCCAAAAACCAAATCCTGAGGCGCCTGAACCAGGTGCTCAACATCTGCTTCCTGCTGACAGCCGACACGAATACCGGCGAGCGGGACAAGCCAATCGGATGCCGCGCCACGGCCAGCTGGAGCAGACTGCTGGAGGAAGACTCCCTGACGCTGACCTGCGTCCTGGACAATTCAAGTCCTTACGTTTTGGAACGCGGCTGGACGCTGAGCGTCGCCGCGTCTCCTCTGTCCGGTCCTCCGGCTGCGGGAGGCCAAAGCCCCTCCGCTCATTTTTCGTTCCCGTTCCACGGTCTCCACCCGGGCGAGACGCTGGAGGTCTCGCTGCCCCTGGCAGCCGCAGGTCAATCGTCCCTCCCCGTGACGGCCAGCTGCTCGCTCAGCTTCTCCCTCGCCGGCCTGCTGGGCGAGGAGGCCGCCGCCCTTCCCGGCCTGCAGCCCGGTTGCGTGAGTTTGCCCCTGAACACGCTGACGGTAGACTGGCTGCACGCCCTGCGGGTGACAAGCCCCGCCCACGGGAAGACCCCACCTCAGTCCGGCAACACGTCGGACGCCATCCAAGCCTTTTTAAGGTCGCGCCGGATGGGCTGCGGCGGAGCAGCAGAGGCAGGAGGGGAGCGAGGGCGGCACGCGGCGAGCGTCCGGGTGTCGGCGGAGTCGCTGAGGGACGCGCGGGCGCTGAGAGCCTCCGATGCGGACGCTCCTCCAGATGTGGGCCTCTCTCTGCTGGAATGGCTGCTGTCCGAAGCCCTCGGAGGCGTCTCAGCGGGACGCCGCCGAGGAGACGGGAACGCCCTCCGCAGCTCAGTGGTCCACGGGCGAGACCCGAGCGGACACCCGGTCAAGCTGACCGCGAAGGAGGTGAAGGATCGGACGCTGAACCCACGGAGGTTCGCGTCGTCCCGCTGACAGCGCTGCTGCTTTTGTTTCCGCAGGTAGTAGTGGCGGAGGGGAGGAGGGGGGAGGAGGAGGAGACGACGCCGACCGCGGTGGAGGTTCAGGTTGAGAGCTCATCCGTCGCAGCAGTGTGTGGACTGCATCACGCCGTCCTGACCCGGATTCAGGTACCAGAGGTCACTGAAAGCGGCGCGCTAAGCTTTTCAATGGTGTCACGTGAAGCACGTTGAATTGCCTTGTTGTTGAGACGTGGCGTGCAGATCCGATTGCCTTCCCTTCACTCAGGCGCTGCTGCAGACGGCCCCCGAGCCGGCTGCTTCTAAGCGGCGGACCCAGAGTGCAGGTCCAAGGAACGCCCTGCGGCGGGCCGAGGTGAGGCCTCCGTCTGCGCTCCGTCTGTTCTGCACCGTCCACGGTTGAGGCTCAAACCCAAATGACCGGATTTATTTGTTACTCAGCGCCTGCTGCAGCGGATCCAGCAGAGCCGGGTCTCGGGGGCCTTCGGAGTAGGCGTGTCCACGGGGACGGTGTGCCAATCACTTCTCAGCGTTTACCAAGAACTCAGAGAAAACCCTCTCATCGTGATTTAACACCTTCTCCGATCTTATGAAACCGGACTCTGCAGCTGATGCGTGAGAAATGTGTGTCCATAAATATGAGGAAGAAAGAATTCATGATGCGTTATTTTGTCATTTGTACTGTATTGTCTCAAGTCCCAGTACAAACCGCTAGGTTCGCCCCAGGGTGACTATAGAGCTCCGGTGGAATAAAAAAGTCTGCTGTAACCGTCTGAATGGGTGACTTCCGTCTCGCAGCTGGTCGAAGTTTCACATCTCCAAACGTGTCAGACGTGCAGGTGTAACATTTGACATGATGTCTGGTAGTAAGTAAGTAAAGTAAGTAAATCGACTTGAATTCACATAAATAATATCACCGAGAGAATCAAAAAGATCACAAACTGATGTTAAACTGCAAAAAGAAAAGATGCAAAACAACCACAGCAACAAAAAGACCACAGACAAAAAACATCAAAACTAATACAAAGTACAAAAACATAATCAGAATCCATAACGACTACAAAGAATCACTTAAGGGAGCTACGAGTATAAAGTCTGTTTCCTGCTCCTTTTCTTCTCCTCAGACTGTATATGAAGGTTTGTCTTCAGAACGTCGCCCGCCTGTAGTTTAGTTCATGTGGTCAGAACTGTCTTATCTGTGTATAAAACATACATTAACAGTCGTACAAGTGTCTTTTTTTGTATCTTTATGTTGCTAAAGGACGGAAGAAATGTAGAAAAACAAAAGCAGAGACCAAGTCCTCTTCCTGCCCCAACAAACCCCCTCACACCGCCGTGCTGGTGACTGCTGAGAGGGGACCGGGCTTGTAAGACTACGTCTGTCTCCACGGGCGCCCTGAGCCGTTGAGTCAGAGTTCGGGCGCCTATCGGACGGCGTCAGTACTCCCACAGGGCCGAGGGGCTGAGGCCCAGTCCGTCTCCCTTCAGCGTGCCCCCCTGGTCCCCGCGCAGGTATTTGCCGTTCTTGTCGCGGATGGCCAGGCGGCCGTGCTCCGGGAGCTCCAGGGCGAAGTCCTCGGGGGCCTCGCCGTCTGAGCACACCAGGCCGCCGCTGTTCACGTACCAGAAGCGGCCGTCCACGCCTGCACGTGGGGACGCACAGACAGTGGAGTCGGTGAAGGGCAGAAACAAGGAAGAAGAAGAAGCGGGGATGAAATCAATCTGGTTTGTGAGGGGGGGGGGGTCTCCTGACCTTTGATGTGGTACGCCCCGTTACTGAACTGCAGGGTGAAAATGTCGTAGACCGATCTGCTGCCGTCCAGGAGGTTGGAGTTCTTGTGGCGGCAGACGAATCCGTTCTCTCCTCTCAGGATCAGCATGGGCCGGTTGATCAGCTTCAGGGTGAGCTGCTCGTCCTCGCCTGACACAAGGGGACACGTGGTGAAGACTCCCCGGGGGGGGGGGGTGACGGTGAGGGGGTGCGTGCAGAAGAAAGGTCGCTTACCTACGGAGTCGCTCACGGCCAGCAGCTGGCCGTTCTTCTTGGTGCAGATGTATTTTCCGTTGTTGGCCTTCAGTGCCACCCGGTGGCCGAGCCACTCCACTGAAAACATGGCGTTCGCCGACCTGCAGGTCGCAGAAGGGAGAATCTTTTGGGAAACACTGGCGTTACACGTCTGGTGCACGCGGGGAAGCAGGTCAATCGAGATCCAATCAATCTGATTTAAGATAAATATAGGCGGTCGAGATCGATGAATCAACCCAGTGACATAAAACCATCAATGCAAAGAACTCCCCCTGTTATTTCATTTATCTGTGTTTGCAAGCGCTTCTATATTCGCCGCTATGACCGACTCGCTCTTTCAATGAGACCTCTGGTGTTCAGCGAGATCATCAGTTCCTTCTGTTGACCCCGTGTGTGTAACACAAAACACGACACGTACAATTGATCACGTGATTCACTCACGCTTCCGTGGCAGTAATCTGGATGCCTCCGTGGGCCACCAGGTCCCAGTAGTTCCCTCGGCTGGTGCGCAGCATGCACTTCCTGGTTTCCTTGTCGATCTCCATCTGGAACGTCTCCGTGTCCGTCTCCTCTTCCTGATTGGCTGCCACGCTCACTCCTGGGAGGGCGCAGCAGAGCACGCGGCGTCATGAATACTTCAAGAGTAAAACCGGAGGCCTATCGAGTGTCTTGAGAAACCCATCCGCTCACCGCTGTTGACTATTTTTTATTAATGGTCACTTTCCATTCCAGTCCTTTCCTTTGCAGTGGGGCATTATGTCAAATATGCAAGTGCTGCAGGTTCGATATGCACGTTCACAAATATATACGTGATTGTACTGAGCAGATGTAAGACTTTTCTCCTTTGCAAGTCAAAAAACATCCAAATGTAATTACGGAAACGGCAACGTAGCCGCCTGCTCCTCAGGTTGCATCGTTTAGTTTGGCCCAGCGTGAAGGACTCGGTTATTTTCTACTATAACTGGATCTACTTTCCAGAGTTTGAATAGTTTTTCACTGATTGGTTCTGGATGCATTAAAAGAATATATATGTTATGGAAATAAATGTGCTAAATGAAGCTGCAGCCTGAGTTCAGTCAGGAATATCCTGCCGTTTCTTATTTCTTCCATTCACTCCTCACACGCGCCACATTTTTAGATCAGCTGGTCTCTTCAATCCAATAAGCAGCAGAAAACAGCTACATCATTAGCTTCCATCATCTCCCACTGTTCCTCCACCTTCGGTGTGTTTGTGCTGCTTTTACGCAACGCTCCACCTCCACATCTCCACCCGATCTGCACAGATCTATCAGCTCCATACACTCGTTATTCTATCAGCCTCATCACCCAACAGCACCACAGTGTCTGGACTCCACGGGGAGGATTCAGCTCCCACCCGGGGGGGACGGCCCCCTGTTACAAATGTCCCTGAAGAGTCCGAGAGACTTCAGCATCACATGTCATCTGTTAATAATAGATAATTATCTTTTCTTTATTGTCTTTCTCCTGATTGTAATGCTTGACGAGCTATCACACACTAATTGTGTAGAACGCACGCTTCTTACCACAACACAATGTGCTGTACAGAGATAACACGGATAACACTCGCTCTCTGCAGGAACCACATTGACTTCACAAGCAAACAGAATTCACACGTTTGATTGCCAAACACTTTATCGAAAGCACTCAGAAACCAATTACTTCGGCATTTCGGTTGCTCACACGTCGAGGAGCACTGGTGTCAAACCGTGACTCCCGCGACCTCTCTGATCGGGGGGGGGGGGGGGTTGGTCCTCAACGTCTGAAGACACCTTTAAAAACCAACCGCGTCTTCATTTCAGAAGTCCTCCGCGACATTAAAGCGGGACGTCGTTGGATTTCAGTTTTGTCCTGAATGTTGGCGGGAAAAAAAAACTGGTTGCAGAGAGTTAAATCCCAAATTAAATCCCACCTTCCCCTTCTCCTCCCCCCACACACACACAATACCTCCTCATGGTCTCCCTTCTCCAACTTCCTTCCATCCCCCGCCTCTCCCCCCTTACTCCTGACCTCCCATACCCCCCTCCCCCCCCCCCCGCACCTCCCACCATCACCCCACCCCGGGCCCTGCCTATCTGCCCTCTTCACGGCGGGGCTCTGATGTAATCAGCTTTCAAGTGCTGCCCGTCCAATCCCTCAATCCCCTCAATAAAAGAATAAAGGAAAAACTGGGAAATACCAGAGGATTTTATGGTCCACACTTAGCGGGACGCACGGATAATTACGAAGCCCTCTCGACCCCCCCCGAGCTAACGGAGCGATGATCAAGCATATGGGAAACACGCTTTAAAAACCGTTACTGCGTTAGCAGGCCGTGTTGTTTTATACATCGTAAAGCACCCAAAGTGCACGCATGTGTAGAGGGGACTATTATTTAACCTGTAAGAACTGTGCATTTGGGTATAAATCAATCCTACCTCATAGAGTGCTGGCGGGATGACACCGGTAGTAACCACTGCCCACCCCCCCCTCCCCAAATGATCTGCAGACAGGACGTTTCCGTCCCATTATGGATTACTGCAGAAATTTGCCACAGAGTTTATATTTTATTTGCCACAGAAGTTTTCCTTTAATTGCCAGAGTTTATCTGTAACAAATAAAAGTTTACGATACAAACTACAACTTGTCTGCATGAACTCAATGGGTCAATGTGTTTCCCCACATATTTTTATAGAGTATGAAAACGTATTCAGGCTACAAACAGAAAATCAATTGGTTTCAACAAGCTGGAACCAGAATTGGAAAAACACTAAATCACTTCTGTGTTGGGATTAATTCCTCCAGCACCATGAATAAAGCTCCTGACGGCGGTTCAGTGAGGCTCTCTTTAGGCACGGCGCTGCTTCGACACCGCGCTCACCACAACGGACTGCACTTCATGTGCTTACTCAGCATTTTCACCGATCCGGCTTTTGGAAGTCAAGGCACCTCCTCGCTTTTCTGGAGGCCCTGCTAAAGTGCACCTGTGTGTTGCGCCGAAGCAAACCGAACCGAACCGAACCAAACCGAACCAAAGGAGTTCAACATTTCATCTGGAGGTGGTGCTAGACGTTGACAGACTTTGCAGAACGTCCCGGGAATCGCCAGACATTTCAGTCTCAACCAAAGCCTCCGCTTGTACCTGTCTCCTGCATTCAATGGAGACATCATAAGTGTGATCTGAGCTCACAGTGACGGGAAGCGTCATGTGGTTTACGGCTGCTGCTGGATGCGACCGTGCAAGTCACAGCCGCATAATGCAACTGGCACATGGCAGTAAAAAGCCCGGACACAGCTCATTTTTGTGTTAAAAAAAGGACAGTTTCTTCATAATTTCTCTATAGTGGGTTTTCAGCCTTAGCCAGGAGTTCATGACAGTGTGAATCCCATCTGTGTGAAGAAGCCTTTCAGGGCGTTTTGGTTTAATTTGATATCTGACCCTGGGTACAGACTGAAGGACGGAGAAAGGGGATGACATTGCCTCAAAGATGTCATGGTAACTGAGCTCCCGGGACGCTTTAATCACATCGTATTCACACCCGGTAAACTGGGTATCATGAGGTCCTACAACTGGTGAATTATCATTGATCTTAAGTGCGTTTGAAGCATATACCTTTCTGCCCCCCGACTCCGCACCTCTGCCTGGGGGCGCCACCGCTTTCATTCTCTCTCATCCCGACTCAATGTCATGCTTTGTCTACCGATCCTATGTGTCCATTTCACACCGATTCAACCCAAGAATTATCCTCTGACGGGGCCCAGCTGGGACCTGCAGACGCTGTCTGACAGATGAGAGAAGCGGGGACGGAGGAAGGAGAGAAGGATGGAGGAAGGGGAAGAAACAGAGAATGGGGGGGGGGGGAGAGAGATTAGATACGCTGAAACCCAAGCCAGCAATCTAAGGATATCGAGTGCGGCGCTGACGCCCATCCCTGTTGGTCGAGTGTACACGGTAAGGTGTTGTCATCGTTCCCACGACCGCTGCTGAACTACGCGCGGCGTAATCAGTACGCTCGCTGGTGCATCTACAACACACTCACCAATGCACACATCAGCAGCGCCACGTCCCAGATCCAGCTCCACTTACGTTGTCCTACCTGCAGGCTGCAAGTGGAGCAGGCCTGACTAATCCATCAGCTCAGATATCTATTATTAATGGTAAGCTGCTGCCACTATCCCCCCTGTCCTTTTATTTTCGTCGTCCTCCCAACGCCTCGTCTTGCACAACCGTATTTTCTGCTTTTTCATTTTGTTTGTTTCGGTCCACTCGTTCCTCCCTCCGTGTTTGCACGTTTGCATCTTGTGTGCATGTGTGTGTGTGTGTGTTTGTGCGCATGTGTGTTAATGAAAAGTGTGTCTCTTTGGACTATCAGCTCTTTTTCACTTTCAGCGCACAGCGAACGACGGGGAGATGATGAGAGACAGGATGGCAGATCTACATGACAACCTAAGACACACACACACACACTGAAGGCGATGCGGATAGAGGACGACTCGGGGGAGACAGAATTCTATGCATTCCATTGCTCTCCTTTAACAACTTGCCATCTGAATTCAGCTGTAGCTCATAACAGACAACCCTGTTTTATTACTGACCCATTTACTGCTTTTGTACTTGCTTTAAAGTAGGTGGCCGGTGTGATTCCTCTCCGCCAAATGGGGCAGAAACAATGGTGCTAATGTGTGGTGGGAAAGAGGCCGGTGACATAAGGTATGAAGAACGTGTCCCTACACATTCTCCTATTGTCCTCAAATCCTTCGAGAGTCGGATCCTCGATGCTCTGCTTTCCATTTTCTCTCCATCTCCTTAATCATCACGGGCAACCAAAAGGTGGAATGTAAGAAGGCGATTTTACCCGACCACTAAAGAATTTGGCTGTAACGAGCACGGAAGGATTTTGCAGATTAGGCTTCGTCCCTCTTTTAGTCCAATTTAACAATGTGACCTTTCACCTTGCAGAGGCCTTTGTCTTTAACGGTTTGTTTCACTGATTTTCGGCAGCATATCAGCACTGACTGACGTGCTGGGGGTAACCGGGTTGGATTAGAGGGTTAGAGATGGACTCACGGGGGCAGAAGCTTTGGCCCCAGGTGAGAGGGAGCTTGGGTTTCTGAAAGCAGACCTACCCCCCACCCTCCCCTCTTCGCCTTCCAGGAACAGGGGCCAACTTCATCAATAATTCAACACATCTCAACTCACCAATCGCCGCTGCAGGACGGTGTGGTTGTGTGCGGGGGGGCGAGTGTGTGAGGAAGATAAAGCTTTTGTGTGTGCAGAACGAGTGTAAGCAGAGAGAGCGAGAAAGGGAGAGCGCCGCAGTAACCAAAAAATGTGAGCATGCAGCAAATATTTCGTTCATACATGAAGCCTCTCTACATACTGTGTACTAAGTGTGTGTTATACTGCACCACATCTTTTCCTTCCTTTCAACCAATCAGTGTACAGTCATCCCAGTTGTCTGGTTTCTGCCCGAAGCTCCCACTGCTACCCGGGAACAATGAGCGGGGAGAGATTCAGTTGCTGCACCCGGGACTGAAGTAATTTGACCCTGCAGACAAGAATCTGCAGCCGGTGGAGGGGTGTCATGGCCAAGTATGCTGACAAGCAGGGTTGCTGTATGCTAATCCACCCCAAATCCAGTTTCAGATCAGACCGGCAAACCCTTTGGGGATATCAGCAACCGAGTCTGGCGCAGATCTGGTTCGATCAAACCTGATTGTCACAATTACGGTTTTTCTCGTCCTGATCAAAGTAAACTTTGACTTCAACGCGGGGCAGGTGTAATCCATCAGTATAGCAGGGTGGTGTCAGGCCTGTATGTGCACATGAACAGCGTTCAGGTTACACCGAATGTTACCGTAAGCCCAAGTAACAAAAGACCACCAATCACGACTGACTATTTGGCCGAACGTCTTTTCAATATAATTGCTGCAATCGTCCCAGATTTGAGGAATTTAAACCCTTTCTCTGACAAAACGCATCACATTTCCGTGTAGTTGCACAGTAAATTGGTCAAAATTTTAACAGTGCATTCATCTAAATCAGCTGCAGCCCTAAAACAACTAGTATTTGTCAGATGAGGCTGATCCTGAATCAGCCCCTTTTATTCAGTGTTTGTGGAAAGATGCCACTAGTCAATGTGATGTTGATGCATGTTGATGTGCTGACTACCCATAATTACCACGCAATGGTTAGAGAGGGGGCTTATTCCCTCAACCATTCACATTAACCAATTTACTTCCTGTGAATTGTGAGCTCGGTGTCCTGGGGGGCGTCTCAGTGTACAGCGTGTACCTCGTTTAGGGTACTAGGAGTAACTGTAGTAACAGTAGTAACTCAGGTCAGCTTATGAGACATTTGGAGTCCTTTGTAAGACTTTAGGAGTTGTGTCTCGTAAATGCAGGGTTAGGGTTAGGGTTAGGGTTAGCATGGCATCAAGGCAGGAATCTCCTGCTGGTGTGCGTCTGTGTCTCCCTAACCTTGTCTTATTGAGACATATCGCCCGTTGGCAGCCATCAGAACCACCTGTGGGTGGCTTTCCTCCAGGTCAAACAGTTCATCTTTGCCCGGCTTGGAGCAGCGTCCAGACCTCAGGGTGCCGGTGGGGCCTGTGGGAGACAAATACTTCCCCTCACAGTCTTTGAAGGCCAGCTTGCCACACTTCAGCTCCAGCGTGTACGCCGTGGCCCTGCCGCTCTGCGCCAAGAGCTTCCCGTCGCTGCCGAGGAAGCGGCTGTCGCAGGTCTTGAGGCAGTACTTCCCGTCCAGGTAGACGAGTGTCAGGAGCGCCGCCACACCCCAGGGTATGTTCATATCCACGGCGATTTCCCCGTCCTCTGCGGAGAGGTGGGCGTAGCGCTTGCGGGCCACAGACAGCAGGTTGGCCTGCGGGTGCAGAGCCAGGTGCACCGCCCACAGCTCGGCATCTGTGATTACCTGTGCGAAGCAGGACAGGTAGTCCCGAGAGCCGCCAAAGAAGCGGAGGTGCTGCTCAGACTGCAGCGCCCAACGCCCGTCCGACTGAGCCACGATGAGGAAGCGGCAGGCGGAGTTTTGTCCGTCTGCCTCGCAGGTGACTTTGCCGTCCTTGTCAGAGGCCAGGTAGCGTCCCAGGTGACTTCGCAGGCACACCACCTGGGAGTCCTGAGAGTCCTGCTCCAGAGTCCATATCTGCTTCTTTTTCAGGCTCGGCGCCGATGCGTTCACCTGGGAGACAAACGCAGGAGCACGAAGGCGCTGCCTAACAAGTTCATGTCAAAACAAACCCGCACAGACCGTGGCGACGTGTGAAAACTATTCTTTCATATTGGATGAGATGTTTGTACCTTGAAGCCAAAGGATTCTGCAGTGAGGTAGCGACCCTCGTGGTTAATTAGACCAAACTGCAACTTCAAGGGACGGTTCCCATTAGCGGGCATCTTCACCTGTGGATTCAGGAGAAGGAGAACGGGCGGAGGAGTTTAGGATGGGGGAGAGGAGAAAGAGGATAGGCCGTGGGATGCAGAAGTGAGGGGTGTGCTGTAAAAACGTGCGTTGTAAAGAGAAGTTTAAAGAGGTGAGGAACGAGGAAAGGGATGAAGTCATGGAGAACGATGAAATGAGAAAGCCTTAAAGACAGGAAATCAGTTAATTAAGGTACAGTATGAAAAGCACTCCGCAGACCACAAATTCCTTCCCCCGCCCACGGCTTCATTATACATTTTTCCTGCTACAGCCTCCTAATTCACTTACTGTGGTTTTGTGGCTTCCCCTCTGCAGGTTCCGCGGCTCTAATTCCAGCCCCCGGGTCTGAGAGGCTGCTTCTGCCAAGCGTCCTCTCGTAATTCTCTCTCTCCCCCACGCCGGGCCGATCGGGTCTCCCCTCCTCGCCCTAATCAGGCTGCAAAGACCTGCGTCCAGATCAACCTCTCTTCCTCTGCAGACTCCCGTTGTCTTGCACCGCTTCCCTGCACGGCGTCGGCTCTCTCTCCTGTCGAACGGCGCTCTCTCTCTCTCTCTCTCGCCCCGGCCTCGCTCTGGCTTGACTTGTTGTTCACCCCGAAGGCTCAATCGCCTCGTCCCACCCGACCGGCCTTCCCTTCGGGTTTTGATATTTCCACACTGAACCTGCTTCCTCCCCTTCCTTGAAGTCCACGTTGCTCCTTCGTCAGACCGGAGCTTGATTGATGAAGAAGAGCATCCTCAGCGGTCCCGCTAATGTTACGGCGGTGCATTGAAGGACCCCCCCCCCACACCCCCCTTCGCTCTTTCCCTCAAAACAAGCCGTCCATCACAGCTGAAATCAGCAACAAAGGGGGCTCCGCCCCTGTAGTCTTAAGCCTCTCTCTGGCGCTACTTTCTCCCCTTTCTCTCCGTCTCGCTCTTCCTGTAACCCGCCCTGTGTATAATCCTGCTTTTCTCCACGCTTTATTCCGAGCGCTGCCTTTTCCCTCCTTCTGGGACACATGGAAAAAGGTAAATAAAAAAAAAGGACACCCACCCCCCGGGGTAACCCGAACGCCCCCTGTGCCTCTGGGTCAATTGCCCCAATGCGGCTCCCCTTACCTGCCCATAATGGGGGGGGGGGGGGTTAAATTACACACCTTGTGTGATTGCAAGCTCTCTGGGTCCTAATGGGAAATGTGTCTGAGGGGCCGAGGGAGTCGCTCCACATTCAAATTTAGTAGACGAGCAAAGGGGAAAGGATGTGTGTTGTAAAGGAAACAATAATAAGCCAATCAACATATGGGGGTTGTATGACTGTGTGTGTGCAGTAAGTGCATGTGTGTGTGTGTGTGTGTGTGTGTGTGAGTGTGTGTGTGTGTGAGTAATCAACCTCGCCAATCAGCCTATTATAAGTCTTCTTTGCAGAGTAAACAGACGTGTCTGTTCCTGAATCCATCTAATCCTCAAACCAATCATCCCAACCTGGCTAATCTACCGGGACGGCCCCTCCCACCTCAACACACACACACACACACACACGCACGCACACACACACACACACACACACACACACACGCACGCACACCCTCTTCTGCTTGTCAATGGCCATAAACATACACATAGACTCAATGACCCGCAGCAACATGCGTGTCATCACCGCACACACACACACACACAGACACACACACAAAGGGTCCAAGGGTTCATAGTGAACAACACCCACCCAAAGATTTACTCCCCGTGACCCAGACTTGAACTGCTGCGTTTTCAGCAACACAATGTGAGCTACACACACACACACACACACGCACAGACACACACACACAGGTAGTGAAGGACGGGAGTGCTGTAATTGAGTGTGTGAACACTAAGCAGACGGTCATCCCACATTTCTGAGATGCCGGTTTGAGATCAGCTTCCCTAAACTTCCCTAAACAACAACGGAAAGAACTCACGAGATCACAAAAACGATCCTTTTCACCGACACGACACCTGAAAGGGAACCTTACAAACGCTCCAAGAACCAACAGTGAGACCACGCTGTCACGTGGGTGTGTGTCACATATTGTTAATAATGGTCCCATGAATAAAGCGTTGATATGGACGAATCACTACAAACATCCACTCGGCTTGTTGGACGAGATGTTAAATCTCCGCCGTTATTATTTAATACAAACGCACATAAACACACACACACACACACACACACACACACACACCAAAGTTAAAAAAACAAAGTGACACAGTGTTATTGTTATCCGTCTATTGTTGTCATCACTATTATCACTGCTCCCCCCCCCCCCTCATATGTGTCCTATCCTCCGCATCATTAGCCTCCTCTCCGTGGCCCCCGGGGGCAGCGGCATCGTGCCGGCACTCCAGCCGCCGTCGGCACGGCGACGCCCGTTGACAGCCCACCAGATGTTCCCCCTCCCCCCCCCTTCGCCCCTTATTCTGGGACGGCGGCCGTGCACGGTTCACCGTGGCAACCGTGGGATGGTGCTTCAGAAGCCATTACGGTGGTCCTCTGATGACACTCAAATAGCTATCATTACACCTCCTCCAAGGAGACACAGGCGGGGGAGTGAGAGGGGGAGAGGGGAAGGGAGAGATGAGGGAAGGGACGGACGGATGGGTGAAGTGGAGGAGAACATGAAGAGCGAGGAGAAAGGGAGGGAGGGGAGGAAGGTGAGGGTGCAGCGGCTGAAAGTAGGGAGTCGAATCGGCAAATGACGCGGGCGGACAGGACGGGGGGGACACCGCGCTAAGGACGCGGGAGGTGCAAGGAGGGAGGAGATGAGGAAGGGAGTCACCGAGGGGAGAGAATGGGGAATTCAAAATGACCGTTCTGAGTTAACAGCCTCCAGCCTTTTTCTACCCTATTAAGTTCTATTCTGCCATTACTTGGCACCGCGGGGGGGCTGCCTCACACCCCACTGTGCCCCCCACCCCGTACGCTTACAGACGCCCCCCTCACTACGCGCCACAAATACACACTTCCCTCCACGCGCGCCGCTCTCCTCCTCCCCGTTTTCCCCCCACTTGAAGTCATTTCCACCTCGTCCTCCTTCGCTCGTCTTCACTTCAATTCCAGAGGTTGTGAACTGAATGAAAAGAGAGATCATCTGGATCAGCGTCCGAGGCCGCTGCTTGTCCTGGTTTTTGCCAAAAGCACGACCTAAAAATCTGCGTGTTAAGGCCGCGTTGGGCCAGAAGACGACGAGCTTCTACAGCGGCCATGTTGGAAATAAACGCCTGGAGAAGAAGACGGGATTGAGTTTTCTGTTGGACTTCATTGTTTTATTTGAGGTGTACGGGTGAAAAGATAAAGTAAAAAAGGTTAAAGAACGTGTCGCAACCAGCTGACTTAAATGGCTCTCGCTTGGTCACCAAGAGGTCTCTGTCTTATTATACCACAGGATTACCTTTACGTGGAGTTACCAATAAATGCAGATAAGTGATCACACGAAAGCAGTGATTAATTTCAAAAGAACACCGTACCCAGCAACAATGTCGGGAAAGTGTTTTCATGTGTGAACCCAAATCCTCCGTCCTGCTCTCCACTTCTGCATTTTACGCCATCTGATGGAAACATTTAGTGCCTTCCGTCTAATCTCATTGAATAGAATTATCACCGAGTATTGTGCTGATAAAACAGTTTGCATCAGATTGCTTTTCGTGGTTTTCTGAAACCCGGCACGCTCACAGCTCTAATTCCAGAAGCCTCCACTGAGAGGCGATGTCAGCCTTCTGCTTTGGCTCCTTTGTGAGAACTTTGCATATACATTTTTTGGAGGGTAAAAAAAGACAGAAGATTGATGCTTGGTGTGTCAATGATGGTGCCCGTGTGACTGCATGTCGTAGGAGGGGGTGACTTGCTATTTAAAATGGCTGCTTCTAATGTCTCCTTTTGGGGGGGGGGGGCGGCTTCGGTGAAACTGGAAGGCGTCAACAACACGTGCAGATTCATCAACAGTGAAACATCAGTGGGGGAACCGTTTCTGGCATCGCCGGTCCCCGTAGCAGCGTCTCTTGCAGGTGGTTCGCGGTAACAGGAGCGCCTCTAAAACACACTTCGAGCTTGAATCTGTGAAAGTGGGTTACAGCTCAGTGGCGAGCATGCATTCATCATGTGCTTTTAATCCCATCGGTTTGCCTGCATGCTGATTTGATTATGATCAGCCTGAGAAAGCTGCAGCGCCGCTCCGGTCGGCCCATGTGCTCCACGGCGGCTCGGCGTATAACTCTGGCTTTTCTTTAAATGTGACTGAAACGAGGCTTTGAAACAGTCCGGATTAACTGATGTATCGCGTTTCTAAAAACAAACCGCCTCTGAATCATTCATTAATTCACATTCGGCTATTACAGTCCGGGTTCCTGTTTTATGGGCAGAGCAGATCCTTCCTGCGTGGTACGAAAGAGTTAATAACAGAGGGCAGAACGTGACGAGTGCGGGGACTCAGCGTGGGAAACAGCGAGCCAATCAACAGCCAGATTAACGCTTTGCGCCTTCGTGATTGGTCCAAGGAGCGGTCATTGTGGTAAGGTACTCAGAGCCCACGTGGGGGCAGGAACCCTAATTTACGCTCTCATTGGCGGAAAACCCCACAGTCAAGAACCCGCCCATACGGGACTCGCTGCGGTATTGGCCAAACCGCCGTTATTAGCCCCGCCCCCTCCCCCCGCCCACCCTTCCTCGCCTTGTTTTTACGTCCGAGAGGAAAGGAAACGTCCCTCTCGCGAGCGCGAAGGGCCGCGCGCAGTCACCGCGCTTCAGATCCATCAGGAGGCACTAAATAGATGACTAGATATGATATTTATTATTTCTCTTTAACGCCAATTTCCCCGAGACGTTTGCTCTCTGTTTCTTTATGTTCTCTCTTTGTGAAAGAACGCAATCCGGACTGTTTCTGCGCGTGCACACACACACACACACACACACACACACACACACACGTGCACACGCTTGTCCATGTTCATATGCCGTTTTGCAGCGACAGGACCATTAACCTTTAAGGAATTAATTATATTACTAAAGATTAACAAGCAAGGGAGCGTAATGAAATTCGGTGTGTGAGTAAAGCCTCTGGTCTTCATCTACCTGCCTACGTTACATTACATTACATTACATTACATGTCATTTAGCTGACGCTTTTATCCAAAGCGACGTACAATAAGTGCATTCAACCATAGGGTACAAACTCAGGAGAACAAGAAACAAGAAAGTGCAATTTCCTCAAATAAGCGAATTTACAATTTGCTATAGATGAGTGACGTCACAAGTACAGTTTAAGTGCTACAATTTGTTAGTCTTTAGTCGAGGTAGAGTCTGAAGAGGTGTGTCTTTAGTTTGCGGCGGAAGATGTGAAGGCTCTCTGCGGTCCTGATGTCTTCAGAGAGCGCGTTCCACCATTTCGGCGCAAGGACAGCGAAGAGTCGAGACCTAGTCGAGTGTTTTGCTCTCAGTGGGGGAGGGACGAGTAGTTTTGCAGATGCAGAGCGGAGAGTGCGGGTTGGGATGTAGGGTTTGACCATGTCCTGGATGTAAGCTGGACCCGATCCAACTTACATCCAACCCGATACGTCACAGGTTATTTACATTTAGCTTATAACTATTATATTAGTTCCGCCCCAAAACGCGGGACTCTGTTACTGAAGCACTTATTGAGATGAGAATGGGGAGAACTGCTTTTATCACGCGGATGTGATTCTTGGGAAAGTTGTGGGAACATTAAAAAACAAACAGTAAAGGTGTTGAATGAAACCTTAGTTTAGTTGAACTAGTTAGTT